GGACGAAGAAGCCGTCCAACAGGACGCTGCGTATAGGTCGCTGTGTTACGATTGGGCGTTGCGATTGGGCGATCATTATGAGTTGCATAAAACTAGATCTTTCACGAAACTAGTACATCCGTAGAGGAACCTGATATTAGCAAGAAATGTTGTGGAATGGGCGCTCAAGCTCTCCGTCGCAGGTTAAATATCTAGCATGCTCTCACTACCTAGATCTTTACCCCGTTCAACTTAACACTTATTGTTGTTTTCTTGTTTTGAACTGCCAAAATGTTTCGCAATCGGTATGTATTCCTCGTGAGATATATTGGGTGCGGGCCCTATTCTCCAGAGTCGAGCTTGGAATAACTCTTTGGATAAAAACAGAAACAATTCTCAGCAGCCAAACAAAGAGCTTTATTCTGATTTCAAGAGATCATATCCTGATCCTAGTTGTTGGAATGCTTCGCCATTGCTCGCCGCTACTCAGAAAGCTTGGATCTACCCGTTCATAAATCAGATCGGGCACTCGAGGTTTGTCACTATTCATTTCCATAAATTCAACAATATATAACACGTGAATTATCCCTAGGCAGTTAATTATGCCCCTTTATATCTGAATACATGAAAAGAATTCTCTTTTCATAACTTACTAATTTTGATATACCATAGGCTCGTTAAGGACAGTGATATAAAGGACCACGGCCTAGCTATAAGCAAGTTGCTTGATCAATGGGAAATCATATCGGCCCCTTTAGATTTATCAAGTCTATCCACTTCTACTTCTAGGACTGGAGGAATGGCGGCCGCTTCTGACCCAATCTTCTTGCCAACTCCTGGCCCTTTTTTAGCAAATCCTGGAGTTGTCGATCCGAGAGCCCTTCAACTGAAATTGTGCCAACTCCAGTTCAATGAAACAAAGCATGTTAAAAATCCGCCAGCTGATCCTGACTCATTTGTCCTTCAAAATTCGGAACATGGCCCTGTGGACCGTCATAGTGACTTGAATGCTCATGTTAACCAGCCACAGTCTCGGGAGGTGGCAGCCCTCATGCCTGGATTGACGGAGCACATAGACCTTGATATCAATAAGGACAATGATAAGTAAGTAGTTGGAATTTTTTTTTCAAGTGCTGTTACGATGAGCGCACATGAAGCTTATCATAGATATATGTTTTAGATTTCGTTACAATGTAACTCTTTGTGCCCCCACAGCCATGGTAGAACACAAAGGCGAGGTCCCGATCACATATCTAAGCAAGGGACATGTCTATCATATGTCTGTGGTGGATTCCACACCTCCGAAGTCTTCCACCCATCCCATCAAATACCGCACGTACGTCCATGTGGCCTTTGAGGATCCCGAAAAACGCTTGAACCCCGATCCTTGCTGGCAACTGTGGAAGGAGCGTCGTGGATTGAGTGAAGCTAGCCGGCGAGGTGGCAAGGTCCAGGCTGTCGAGTATATAAATCCCAACCAAGGAAGAGATAGAAAAGCGCGACCCTCAGAGGTGGAATTGGAAACTACATCCCTTAATGGGTTCTGTGTTTCTTGGACTTCATGTACGGAGGCGAAGAGCATAGGCTGCACAATATTGATCCGGTTGAATTTTCTTTCAACAGACTTCAATCTTGCAAAGGGCGTCAAGGGTGTTCCTGTCAGACTATGCGTGAGGACAGAAATGGTCTACCCAGCTAATATATATTCTGCTCTTGACACAATGAAGATATATTACTACTGTAAGGTGAAAGTTTTCCGAGATTATGGAGCGGAGCGTAAATTGTCCAATGATATCGCTCATGTCAGAAAGGCAATTCACAAACTCCAGCAACGGATTTCACACGAGGAGACGAAAGCACATGATTTTGGTAAGAGGAAACGAGATGCTTCATCTATGACCATTGAACCGGAGAACCGACCAGCAAAGATTTCAAAGAATTATGATGCAAAAGCACGGTCTGGGAAAGAGCGTCTTCTGCTCGAGGTGGCCATGAAACAGGATATGATTTCATCAACTTCGCCCGTCAGCCTACTCAACCTGAGGGAAGACAACCAGGATACTGTGGATTTTTCTGCTGCTTTTGTCTTGAATGAAACACAGAAGAGCGAGAGTGAGCTTTTTACGCACCAAGCCGATGGCACATTCCTGCCAACCATCTATATGGAAGCTGGGACATTAGATACCTCCTCTTCAACCCCCAGAGATGATTATGTGAATTCTCCATTGCAGGCCTGTAGACGCGAGCAGTCAACTTTCCGAAATTCATCCATTGATGTCGATTTTCAGCATGGCCTAACAGATTGGTCCAGAATTTTGCGACTAAGATCAGAAAACCAGCTGCTCACTGCACAGATGGCTCCTCCGGCCCAGCCCATCAATATGCAGAATCTTTTTTTTGAAAAATTAAATGGGAGGATTGAGGCAGTGGATATTGATGCTACATGCAGCCTGTCCTCACGTCACTTGGCAAAGTCTGGTGAGTAAGTATGTGACCAACTCTTTTTCATACTCACTTCTCTGACCACTTTTAGTTGCTTGCTTCTATGTTCGATTGCGACATACGGACATTCAGAATGTTGATGGGTATTATCATGCAGTCTATATTGCGCAGCGAACCGTGACAAACCTTCTCAATAGCATTTCAAAAATGTCTGGGGTCAGTCTTTCAGAGAAAACACGAGTCTTTCACATAACCCCGAACGGCCTAAAGGTAATCATTGACGATCGTGTCGTCCAGGAGCTGCCAGAAGGACAGGATATGACTGCTGAATTTGTCGGAGCTCATAATGTTGATATTGATCTTCTTAGCTGCTTGAACACTTCATATCCCGAGATTATGCTCTTCTTTTGATGAACAATATTGATAATCGTGACAAACCCTTTAAGTGCCGCGTTACGATTAGGAATTGAGAATTGTTCAAAATTGCGTTACGTTATTTTGTTTTTTGAGTGATAAGCTTAGCTCACTGAATTGGAGCTGCTTTTAATATTTGATAGTGATTCCTGAATATGATGCCGATGATTTTATTTGGATCTTATGTACAATGTCTATCATCTGGGCAGTAAACTCTCAAAAATAACAAGTCAAATAAGGTTTGAAACCCCCCTAATTTATAGAGGCGAGAGTTCAGTTCACGCTATAGCTACAAAGGAAGAATCAGTTTGTCCACCTGCAAAGTTTAGTAACAATGAGGTCGGAACGTCTCAGGGGACTTGGTGTAAACAACCAGGAACCTCTCATCAACTCCTCAATCTCTTCTTTCTCGTATCTTGTGTCATAAGCTCTCAGTTAATTGCCTAGTCGGATAATCTCCCCATCTACATCTCCTTCTGGTTCCTTCATGCTCTCTCTGACAAGTCTTGCATATCTCCACAATGAATCGGTTAACGTCTACTCCCACCTTATTCCTGCTTTCATCTTACTCTTTTTTGGCATCACACTTTACAAGACCCTCTCGCTGAGATATGTCACTGCCTCATGTGCGGATATCATAGTTTTCGCGTGTTTCTTTATTGGAGTCACTCTATCTATGTTTGGGAATGTCAGCAATATTCCATGCTATTCAGAACCATTGCCATGAGGTCGCCAGTTTCAGAAACAAGCTGGATTGTGCAGGCATTGTGTTCTTAATCACAGGCAACTTCATTCCTAGCATCTACTATGGGTTTTATTGCCAACTAGATTTACAAACTGTGTATTGGTCCCTGGTCTGTGTTCACTTTCTTGTCAATCAAACCACGTAACGTACTGACTGTCCGTTTGTTGAGATATCCGTCTTGGGCTCGGATCCATGGCGATTTCCGCATTTCCAAGTTTCCGAACATCTGCGAGGAGGTCATTTCGGGTGGGACTGTTCTCTGCACTCGTTCCAGTGATTCATGGTGTGGTGAAGTTCGGACCGGAGCAAATGAGCAACCAAATTGGACTTTCTGAGTAGTACTGCAAAGAGCTATCTACATATTAGAAGCTTTCATATATGCTGTAAACCATTAAATCCATCCTACTAGAGTCAAATAATTAACAGCGACTGTTTTTTAGGTCCCAAGTGCTAGAAAGTCTATACCCCGGTTTCTTCGACACTTGGGCACCAAATCTTTCAATTTCTAGACACATCTTCAGGGTTTGGTCAATGCGTTGGATTACAACCGGCCGTCATGGCCTCACGATGCCCCTTAAAATGACCGAGTTTTTGACTCTGTCATTCTCATCCCTATCTGTCACACCCAGTGGCTCTGCCGAAACTATGAGACCAAATGTAGTAATGAGAGCATTTATGCGGTCATTATCACCGGCATGAGCTCTATTTTCTCGGATATGAGTGCATCTGATTTCAATCACACTCCTGTCATTCCTAATGAATGAGATTGTTGAACAAAGTTATTTTATTTTGACCCCTAGTGAGTCGAACGTCACTGATGATGCTGCGGTTGCTGGATCAGTGATCCTTGCACTTAATGTTTCCAAATTTGTCTTCAAGCTGAAAGCAGGAGAACTTTACGCCATGCGTTTAGGTTTCAGTGGAGAGGCATCACTGTCACAAGGACGGCTACAGCTTCGGTCCTGCACAAGCTCTCCTTTCCGGATTTTACAGAGGACGCTCATGCCTCCTGGTGTAACGTGGGGAAATGTCGTTGACAGTAACGGAGCATATAAAGCTCATGATATCATTTTATCATTTTATCATTTTAGTTTTTTTGTGGATTTCACCAGCTTTTCTCTTTTCAGCCTGCAATTAATGTGATACACTGCATTCACTCACATAAATTATCTCAACCACATAATCTTCATTTGTCGGGTTCATTAACCGTTGTTAAATACCAATGAATACAACTGTGCTTCACCAAACCTGCAGGAAATAATACAATGACCTACCTATTACCAAGATGAGAACAACTTTATATATGAGCCAATTAGATCGCAAATGGCAAAGCTTCCCAGACCAATCAGATCTCATGCAGGTAGCTTCTAATTGGTTCAAATGCATCTTCTGAGAAGTAAACGTGGAGTAAATCAGCACACAAACACATAAGACTCCATCCATGCAAGTCAGAATCACTACTATGGAGAAGCATGCTGATATACAGGGAGACTCGACATGAGATCAATGATTCTCATTTTTGACCTCTTCGTCTTCTTTCAAACGTAAATGTAAGATTATATCTGATCACGCCTTTCCTTCCTTTTATTACAACCTAATAGATATAATGGTGCAATTCACTCATGTTAACGTCTTCGGCACCTGCTTTGAGGTTACAACAAGGTAAAGTGTTTCGTTCTGTATTGACCATTTGAAAATGAGTCGGATGATAATCTAACTACTTTTTGTTTAAGATATCACCACCTACTGCCTTTGAAAATTGAAGCTTCAAGCCTTCGCTGGTATGCGCGCTATCATTTGTTTTCTCCAGCTACCCGATCTCAAAGGAAATAGGAACTATGTCAGACCTAATCTATATTAAACAGTTCCGCGATCGATGAGTTGATATGCAGTCAAGTTACAGTCAAGAAGATAACCAAGCCATTCAGAAACTCTGAGCTTTCCCAGAAAGCATACTTAGAGCTGAAGCTGCTGAAGCATCTCAAACATGAAAATGTTCAGAATGAATTTTAATAAGTTCTGAAATACTACTGAATCTTCGTGCTGGCCATTTTGCTAACCTAATTGTCATGTCTTTAGATTGCTGCTCTGCGAGATGTGTTCATGTCACCAGAGGACAATATGTAACTAAAAGCCTTACAATTTTCCCATTTTAGTGTGAACGGTGTCTGACTTTTGTCAACATTCAGATACCTCATAACCGAACATCAAGATGCGTCGCTCGAACAGCTTATCCTATCTCAGCCTCTTGGGGAAACTCATTACACGAAAGTATTTCTCTATCAAATTCTTGTAAGGAGTTTCCCGCACCAACAGATTATCCCATTTTTTCTTTTCCTTCCGGCTTGGTCTAATTAATGTTACAGAGAGGATTGAAATACATTCACTCAGCGAACGTGGTGCACTGCAATCTGAAACCATCCAACATCCTCATTGGTCACAACTGTGATCTACGAATAACCGATTTCGACCACGCACGCATTCAGGGCACAAAGGTAACGGAGCCTTTCAGTGAGATTCAATGCTTCCGTACCCCTGAGCTCCTATTGGGTGAATGTACCTACGAGTTCGCCATCGACATGTGGAGTGTGGGATATATATTTGCGAGGATGATCAATAGAGAACTATTCAGTCTCGAAGACTGGAAAGTCAACTCGCTCCACGCGATTGGGTATCCTCCTAGAAGTATGATGAGTGGCATCGATGATGCAAATGTGCGTATCAATGACAAATTACACTGAAGTACCCTCGCAGGGTAATAAATAATTATTTGCCTAATCAACCAAAACCTTTAGATATCAGAAAATCTCGAGCCTCTCCTGAACACCCGGTGCAAGCCCCTGAGGTGCTATATCAATACCACTGATCTTGAAGGTAGGAATGGACCTGTCCAACAAACCTTTTACAGTGATAGCTAACCCGCCTCCCCGCCTCTCCCAGCCATGGGGCTCGCGGAGCACTTACTCGCCTTCGATCCCAAAGCGAGATATCAAGCCAACCAGGCATTGCTTCACAAATACGTCTCATTTTACCATGACCCCGATGACGAACCGGTCTCGGAACAAAGATGGTCAGTCTCTGACACGGATTACGTCAACTTGCCAGTGGATACTTGGAAAACCCTAATGTAGGCGTCCCCCATACCAGAACAGAGGTTTCGCACCCATAAGACATGTGGCATAGTGCTAATGGACGAGGATTTGAATTTTCCTGCCATACTAGCAGCCTCTCCGAGATCCTTGATCATCATAATAAGCAGCTATCAAGCGAAGTTAGCTCGAAGTATGTAATGGTTGAAATGAAATGAGTCAGGGACTAATGAGATCTATCAAGAACTGAAAGCTTTTGCGACAATGTTTCCTTTGTCATTTTTGTCTCATTGACTCATTGAATGGGATGAGGGTTACAGGCTCGCCATCAATTTGGATTCCTTAGATGTATGTATGAATATGAGTTATGGAACCGCTGCGTAACACCTAATAAATTGAATCTTTCTAGAACTATTGTCATTTTCCGCATCACTACTTTCCCAACCATGACAGCCTCTTCTCCCGCCCCGCCACCCCTGAAACTTCCATCTCGAGAAGAAAGAGCGGGCTTCCAGCCTAAGCTGAGTAGGGCAATAAGACCGGTACTAGAATAACCTGCTGACATCCCCAGCAGTTCTATATCTGACCGAGGCACCTCCCAAACATGGTTATCGCAATCGCTATTTCCTACTAGCTGCTTGAGGAACATGATACTTTAGCAGAACATCGAAAGGGTAGATTGATTTGATACCGTCAGTGGGTAAGCAGATGGTTAACCTTTGGTGTGTCGGCCAAGTGAGTGTATGATCTGCTTCATGGAGCCAAAATTTTTGTCTTCATGAGGGCTCTCAGCAGACGGAGCAAACCATATAGGAAAAAAGATTCAACAGTATCAATCTTGAGAAATACGAGGCTACAAAACCAGCTAGGTACTTGAGGTGTACCAAAAAAAGGCATGAGATTGTGAATAGCCATTTCTCAATCACTATAATGCTTCTCTACCATTATATCCAGCCTGAACGCCATCGGAAAAAGTAGATGGAGGCTTAGAAAAAAGCAAGGCAACGTAAATGAAATTTACGTTTGATCCATATCTGGGAATGTAGGGGTAAAATAATTAGTTGTTTCTTCTGTAGCTGTCGTATATAGGAGATATTCGTCATAGTCAGTGCAGATTGCCGGGTGCATAACTTCGCCGTAAGGCACCGGGACAAAAAAAGAAGAAGCTAATGGTTCTAGGTGGTTTTGATGAGGTACTTCCCATGGAGTAGCATTTGGTTCTGGATAGGACGTGGTAGTCATAGTGGGTGTCTGTATAACAGTAGGGTTTTGCTGCCGTGGATGCATAGGCAAGTCACTGACATCGAGCCCAATATCAGTCGCAAGACGTCGAACGAAACCGTCGCAGAGCATCCATGCCCGGTGAGAGGCAGAGTTCTCTTGAGACATGTGATGGAGCCAACGAATGGCCTTTTTCATTGCATTCGAAATAGTCTTCGCATCATCAGGCATATGTCGTGCGCGAAAGGTTAACTCAAGAAGCAACACTGTCGTCGATTGCATAAGATAATGCAATACGCACCACCATGGTGCCATATTACTCAGCCCGATAGCATCAGGTTCATCAGGTATCAGATCTAACATATGACAAGCCGAGCTGACGCATAGTGCTGCAGTGTCGTGAGTGAATTTTTTCAATTTTCGGGTGTGTGCTGCCTGCCGGTCAAGACGACAGAGACAAGGGCGTGTAAGAGTTATTTTAGTGCTATAGTAGAGAAACGCTAGATTCAATCTTTGCCTTTGAAAAGTTGCGGATCCCTTCCTGATGGTGACATCATATGCCTCTGGAAGCCTGGAACGCCAAGCTTCAGTCTTCGAGCTCAACCTTGCAATTAGATGTTCAGTATCGACCCAGGCGGTGTGAATTGCTCTAGCGGTATATAAGCTGCGAATAACCTCCTGCATAATGGATGTGAGGTCAACAAAATAGAGAAAGTACAGCGAGGCATTGGGCGTGATTGTCCTCAACCAATCGGTTTCAACCTGCTCCTGAGCTTGATCATGGTTTGCTGCCGGGCCGGATGTGGAGCTTGCCGGCAGCGAGGTTGAGGTCCGAGTTGATATGTTAGACAATCTAGATATGGTACTCCTAACGCGTCGGTCCCGGAAAGAATGCAGGTTGAGAAGCTGGCTCACATTTTCATCGTGAAAATTTTCTTCCTCAAATGGAATAGGAAAGGGCGCTGTGCAGACACCATCGTCAATGCTGGCAGGTCGGCCAGTCATGGTGGAAAGTAGGTGTTCAAGGGTGTACAGGGACCACCAAACACGGTACCGTATCTCTTTTGAAATATCACTGGTATCTGCAGTTCCGCTGCGCAGGTTGAGCCCTAGTGCAAATGCGGATCGAACAGAGATGCCGGAGAATTTCCACGACCTGCCAAACCATAGATTAAGATGTGTTATCTGAATGATGCGGCGGCTGGGGAAGGGTATGAAAGAGGAAAAGAGTCAAAGGGAGGAGGCTATCAAGAAAGAACCAACAAAGGATTATCTCTCAAACCTACCTGTTGATCTGGCCTGTCGCCAGAAAGTAAAAGGCCACTAGGCCTTCAACCTGCACCCGCTGTAAGTCGGGGTGGCTGAAGAACGCATCCCCATTCATACTGAGCGCCTTTGCCCGTGTAAAATAAATCAGATGGTCCCTGTCATCTACTCCCCCGCCCGCCTGAATGAGGAGCGAATACTTGGCAGCAATGGCAAATATCATGTTCAATATTGCCAACCACTTATGGCCTGGCATTGCGGAAGGCTGGTCATAGAATAAGTTATACTGTGAAGTGAAAACTGCTTTCCCAATGATCGGGAAAGAGGGATGTACCGAGACAAGGTAGGCATTGAAGAGTTTGTCGGCGGTTTCCCTTGGGGGTATTGCGTAAGGCTCAACTGCTTCCGAAATGGAGACCCCCAAGTCATCAAGGTGATAGCTTGCGGAGGTAGTGGATGTATCCTTATAGACATCATTAATGTCCGATTCAGGAACCGCGTGTAACCCGTCGGGGCCATTAAAATGATCATCATGTTGCTGGGTTGAGCCATGGTCGGCTTCTCTTTGCAATCTTTGCATCCAGCTTATCTCAGAACTTTGGCCCATGAAGCCCGTAGCTTGCGCTCTCTCGCTTCGGTTAAAATCTTCCTCGGCATGGTCATCCATAAACGCTGCGGACTCGACCGAGGATGCTCGAGGGGAATCTTCTGTTAAATCAGCCTCGGTCAAGGATGAAGTTTCCAAAGATTCCAAGGTATCTTCCCGCTCGGAGTGCTAACTGCGGTCAGGTACGTACAACATGCCAAGGCGGCCAAGGGTACCCTACCTTCTGTAGTGTCATTCTTATAAGTTGTGCGTCCTGATCGTCTGCTCGAAGACTCAAGTCATGAAGCAACCCCTCATAATCTTGGATCTTATTAGACAAATGTTTTAGGTTTCTTCGAGGGATGTCAGCAGAAGAATGGCTTGGTGTAAACTATTAAGAAATATGTCGCACTTCTCTGCCATTTCCCGCTTCCCATATGTATAGTAACATGATATGTTGAGTTCCAGACATTGTCTGCAGACTGGCTTGTCCCCGGGGCATTTCGACTTCCGCTGTCGACAAGGCCCGCACGCCTGGGTGACACGCTGGCGGGTCGCTGACCCGAAGGAAACAGGCTCACACCCAGGCTTTATTTTGAGTCTCGGTATGGCTATCTTTACAGAGGGTGCCTGACCAGGACTAGTGGTAGGTCGCCGGGAGGCCGGAAGAGACGCGAGAGGCCTCAGTGGGGGCATTTGACGGATAGACCAGCAGGCTCAAATGTCCATACAAATGTCCCGTTCTGAGTTCAAGACTGGCGTGCGCTGTTGACGATACTGTCGCGAGACTGGAACGCCAGTGTGAGCAAGATTATTGCCCCATCACGGATTTCTCGCAGCGTCAAAGCCAAAAAATGTGGGGTAAGGTTTCAGGTACGGTACGGTACTATGGAACGGAGATACTTGATGCCGATATTGATATGACTGGAAGTCCTCCACACACACTAGAAATTTATTTTGAAATTCCAGTAACTAAGTTACCGGATTAAAATTGCTCCGGTACGCACTCTCAAATTTTCGGGGATTAGGCCCTAAAAGATCGGCACTATAAGAACATACTTTATCACATCATTCAGTGGCAAAGCAAAATGCTACAGAACTAAATGTCCTCTCTTTTTCACAATTTGGAGTGACTTTTATCATTGTACTCGTTATTCAAAAAGGGTTTGTCACCAAGAAAGTTTGCTTTCCCCTCCACATGGCATCCGTCGAAGAATACCCAGCGGTTTCCACCTCTCGCGTCAGTATAGGCCTTTTCACTCTGCCTTTGGATGCGCTGGATATGATTTTTCATCAGGTTAATCAGTCCTCTAATTGCGTTCTTCTGCTTGTCTCCCTTTTGGATGGTTCTTCTCAGAACCTCTTGTTAAGACTATGATGTTACGACTGCAGCTTCACCCTCGTGATCTTGTTCAACTTGTAAGAGTTTCTCGAAATGTGAATGAGATCGCCATACCGTTCCTGTATCGGACCGTTCATTTCCATCTTCCCGGCCATATAAGTGCAACAGACGCCCTGCTCTCGAAGCTAGAAGTATTCTCTGACCAGGATTTCCCTCTTCTCAGGCATACCACAAGGGTGTTGATATCAGGAACATGGTATCAGGCATATGATGAAATCGAGTCAAGGCTGGGTTTAGAAAATGTTGTGTCTCCAGCTGTCCGAATGCTGAACACCCTCATCACTATTTGTGTGTCTAAAATGCCTAAGTTGCGAGCTTTCATGTGAGCCCTGCTTCTTATCCTAGCTCAGAAGCGACGCGGTTTTGTGCCCACCATGTGCCCACGAGGTCGAAATTCTGACTTTCTTGGAATTGAAGCTGGGACTCACAGATTGCGCCAACCCAGAAATTGATCTCAATGGTTGCGCTATCTGACAGAATGGAGTATCTACAGTTACGAGTGGCGACAGACGGCAGTCCAACACCATATTTTCATCCAACATTGAAATTCGGGGGCTATTCGAAACTACGCTTCTTGAACATTATTGACGTCAAAATCACATCAGCTCTTCAATCTGTTGGCAATGCACTATTTTCTACAGAGCAACTGAGTGAACTTGCCATCTGGGCGGATGAAGATGTAATATTGTCCCTTGGTGTCATTTTTTCTGGCTGGCCTGGGCCAAAGATTCTTAACCTAAAAGCCCTTGATCTGAGAAGATTTTCCAATGTGGGATGTTCAGCTCCATCTATCTGGCAACATATTTCTGCTGCGTGTTTAAGTGAATTGACACTAGAAATCGGTTCATTCCTACCGCCAGACGATTACATCGGCTTTTGGGAAGGGGCAGTTGCGGCGGGCATGCGGCCGACAACTCTGCGTACAAACCTGATATCTGAAGGCTTAACTGACTTTATCTGCTCATGTAATGGTCTGGAGGTGTTCCAGCTTACAACTTGTTTATTACCACGACATCTTCCCCCCATTTCAATCTTCCTGGAAACCATAATCAGCGAGCACTCTAAGTCCTTGAGGGTTCTTGCAATACATGCCCAAGGGCCAGACGAAAGCGAATACCTTCTTGATCGAAAACTTTTGGACTCATTGTCCTCACGCTGCACAAAATTGGAGGAACTCGGGTTTAAAATCCTCGAGCAGAGCCAGGTAAGCCAATCATTATGATCTAGGTGTAGAATGTGTGCTGATTCGCTTTTATTATTGCTTCCACGTGAAGGCCGATGTCCATTTAGTATTTCAGCTTCCCCTATTGCGCGCACTTCATATTGACTTTGCTGGTGATTTGAGTTTTGACATGCAAAAGCTGAACCATCTTAAGCTTCGAAAACTGATAGCTGAATGTCTTTCAAACATGGCTCAACACCATTTGAAATATATAGCTTTTGGCGAAGGACTGGTGTACGCGATACTGACTAACCCTCTACGGTGGCACGTTAGATCGAATTTGGTTGGGTACATCCGTGATACAGTCATATTTCGAGAGAAAATGTTTGACTGGGCAAGTACGATCAGGTAGAAACTTTATCCGGAGCGGTTGGTGGAATACATTTGGTCATCTTTATCACAAAAAGCACAAACCGAAAGAGAGCACAGCTTTTTATTTTATTTTCATCTGATTTTCGACTTCTCTTTTAGGTAGGGATGACACAGAGCAATAGGATATTGCTTATCAAAAAGTTAGTTTTATGTTACAGTCTTCTTTGTAAATTAATAGTCAATAGAGATAATGTTATTCGGAGTAGCTCCCACAGGTATTCAGCAACAATTTCTTTTTTGCTATCCGTTCCTCTGGCCCAGTTCTGTGGGAAACAAGATGAAATAAAAGTGATTCGAGCTAGGCTATTGGAGAAAACCTTTCGTCAGGAGTCATAGTCGTAAAAGGCCGCCTTTCTCTGTTTCCGGAATATTGAGATCTATATACGCATATATACCCCGCTTGCGGTGCTTGGGCATTCTGTATTTGTTGTCGTTGACCGATGAGTCGATGACGCCCAACAGTAATATTTTCCTCTTTTGGTCAACGTGTCCCCACAATCAATTAATTGATTAGTGGTTGAACATGAAGCCTGACTTTTGAGCTTAGGGTATCAGAGATCTTGGTATGCTCATTGGTATCATACATACATATTGCTCGGAGAAAAAGAGAGCCAGTTGGTCGGATATTATGTAATCCAGAAACCCATATTTTCTAACTATTTTTGGTTTAGTGCTGGGAGCCATTAACTACTCCTGATTAGGAAAGGTGCCTCATCATCAACCTCCGCCTTGCCTCGAATCAATCAAGCCAGGCGTAGGCTTCCTATGCACCGCACCCCAGCGATTGACCAAGGTTCATTTACCATCCGGGACTTTGTTGGAATATACATTTTATACTACTCTTTTTGCTTTGGCTCTTTTGTGTATCTTTGTCTCACTCTGCTGTATTGTGACTGGCTCTGAATCCGACTGCCTTGGGCGTTCCTAGCGGGCTCGAAAAGCTCACGACTTCTCCCTACGCACAGAGGCGGCACCTACATTCTTCCATCTTCTGCTGTGAGCACTCACTGTCTGCCTATTAGCATAATATCTACCATAAAGCAGAACGGGGAAGGGGATACATCATAAAAGGCTCTTGATTGATAGCTTTGTGTTCCACGGCTATCCGGGCCCCGCCGTGTTGCCTAAATCATCGACCACCACGATTTATACGTCCATTTTTCTTAGTTGACGTTGGAAAAGGTGTTATAAAAAGAAAGCAAAGGAATACAGCACTATGGCAGATGCAGGAGCCGCAACTGGTCCTAAACCTAGTAGCAGCGTGAAGTTAGTGCTCCTAGGAGAAGCTGCTGTCGGGAAGGTTTGTTTTATTTCATAGCTATTATATACTGGCCTACTCGACACGGAACTCCTATGATATGTTTTGAGATTCTTCTGCTAATGCATGTATTTATGGTTTGCAGTCATCTCTCGTCCTGCGATTCGTAAATAATGATTTCCAAGAAAACAAAGAACCAACGATAGGAGGTATGAGACGTGGTGCTTCTTTCACATAACATCTCACTCCTCCGAACTAGTTATTCTCTGGTAAATTATCCTGTGAGCTAATCTAATGATCGCCCCAACTCCTCAACTATAGCCGCTTTCCTCACTCAAAAATGCTCCCTGCCAACCAGAACCATCAAGTTTGAAATATGGGACACAGCCGGACAAGAGCGCTTCGCCTCCCTCGCACCCATGTATTACCGCAACGCCCAAGCCGCGCTTGTCGTCTACGACCTCACTAAACCGTCCTCCCTTATAAAGGCTAAGCATTGGGTTGCCGAGCTCCAGCGACAAGCTAGTCCAGGCATCGTCATTGCTCTTGTCGGTAACAAGCTGGATCTAACAAACGAAGACTCCAGCGCAGCAGCAGCAGCATCAACAACAGGCATACAAGCTTCCTCCCCAGCAACTGGGTCACCAGGAACGGATGCTTCTGAAGGTGGCGACAATGATTCCTCTGATGCTGTCGAGCGAGACCTTGAGGGAGACGAGGAGGAGGAGGAGCAGGATTCTCCAGCTGGCGATGCGCGAAAAATCTCTACTCGTGAGGCAAGCGCGTATGCGGAGGAAGAAGGGCTTCTGTTCTTCGAGACGAGCGCAAAAACGGGCGTTAACGTGCCTGAGGTCTTCACCGCGATTGCAAATGCGATTCCGGAAACGAGTTTGAAGGGGGCGAGGGGCGTTGGTGCTGGTGCTGGTGCTGGTGCTGGTGCTGGTGCGGGTAATGGTGGCCTTGGTGGGAGGCCTGGGGAGGATTCTCGGATTAATTTACGGGATCGTGGGGCGGCGACTGCGAAGGAAGGATGTGCTTGTTAACGGTGATCTTTATTTAATGATCTCCGAAAGGAGACTGGTGGACTGTGGAGTATGGATAACACAGTTTACGGTTTGGTTGTTGCGACAGCTTAGGGCTCCATTGAAGCCATGACAAGCGGTGGGTACCCTTTTCGTGGGTTTGAATGCGTATCCCTATTTTATTATATTTTCTGTACTTTTCCAATTTTCCTCTCGCGTTATTTTCATTCCTGCGACTCTTGCCCTGTTACTCTATCCGCTTTTCTTTTCGACTTCTATATTTGTTCATTCATCTGTTATTTCCGGCTCTGGTTTGGCTGAGTTCTGGTTTTCAGCTTTTTTGAGGTTTTGTTTGTATTAAGAATCCATAAATGCAACTCAAAGAAACAAATCGTTAAACTAATTCACCGTGTGGTTTTTAAAAGTTTGTTGTCCAGTATAGATACAAGGTATCCTGGGTTCAAACTATTATTAAATCACTATTTCCCTTAATTACCCAGGTTCCAATTTACTCACCCAACCCACATCATTACATCGCTGGCTAGAGAGCAAGTTTTTCGCGGACCAAATAGAAATGGCCCCGAAAAAAAAAAAACAGCAGCTTCACAACTAATACAAAGCGCCTTATCCCTCTTTTCCATTACACATTTTCTTGCGCCACTTGCCGATAAAACTGAAATGGGGAACTCCAATCGCAACGGTAGAACCGGATAGATAAAATAGATCATAACATGGGAGAAGAAAATAATGAGCGGTCAAAATGACACTGGGGGAAACGGAAAAGGAACCAGCTACTACAGCCGATGACATCGGCTAGTAGTAGAGGTAGTAGAGGAAATAAGAACGGACTGGGCATAGTTATCATTAAAACAGTAAAAGTAAAAAGTAAAAACACAAGCAATAAGAAGAAAAGAAAAGCCTAGAAATGCATAAAATAAGGAGAACAACTTTTAATTTCATAGCCCATCCACCGCCTCCACCCACCCGAATATCACCCCAGTCACGCACGTCGCTAGAGTCCAAATCGCACCCCACCCCATCGCTCCTTCCATCTCCGCCCCGCTAATCGTCCCCACAACCTGCATGATGGTATTCATCATGGTCATCATTGCCAACACCGTCGTGCGTGATACCAACATCCGCGTCTTCGCCGGTAACGAGAGCCAGTATTTGCGATATAGTGACGTGACCAGAAATTCACCAGCGCGTTCCTCATCGTGCTTGCGCGCCTTCTTTCCGCCAGTTTTACCCTCCCCTTCCGCTTCCTCCTCTACTGCCACTGTTACCCTTTTATGCTGCTGTTCTTCAAGTTGCGCTGCGCCAACAGAGCTGACAAAGAGGAAGTCGCGCAGGGAGTAGCCGGCAGGCAGCAAAGCGACGAGTAGAGAGACGAAGCCCTTGGGCCCGACATGGGCGATGCGCAGATCAGGGAGTCCGTCGTAATAGGTTACGAGGTAGGTTGGGAGCCAGGTGGCGAGGCTGCTATAGAGGATTATCGTGTAGATGCATGCGGCGACAAGGGTGGTGTAGAGGGTTGTTGGGCAGTCTGTGAGGATTGTGTGGTGTTGGTGTTTAAGGCTGCTCTTGGTAGTTTTGGCGCTGCGAGTGGTCTTGGAGCTGGTGTGGGCACCGGAACAGCTGAGGCGCATGAATGGGTACTCTTCGTGTACGCGGCTGGAGCTGCGGAAGAGGAGGAATGGGAGGGCTGTCGACAATATGGTTATGGAGGCGACTGTCATTAGGGTTGTCGGGCGGATGCCGTAGAAGCTGTAGAGGAGGGAATAGGTTGGCAAGTGAGTTAGATAAGTGAAGGATGCGACATCGCGAGCTGGCAAGGCAGGGAGCGTATCAACAGTCAGCATCTGAATCTATATATGGCGGTTGCGGCGAATTTTTGGATTTCGCCAGGGGACTAACCATCATATCCCAATATCCAGGCAATCGTCAACTCAACAGTTCTCCATGCAAGCAACCCTCCAATCTGCCACCAGGAATTAAAATGCCTGCTCGTCCAGGCTAAATCTCCCTGTGTAATTTGTGTGCTCAAAGAAAATAGGACAGTGCTAAGTGTTAAGCTGCATATCACCAGGCTGCTATACCGGCACAAGCAATGAATCCAGCTAAACGATTTGAACTTGCCCTTCGTTGGCAGCGCTTCATGTTCATGGGGAGCTTGCTTCCCTTTCCCCAGCGAGCTCGACCTCGTTGTCATCGACGACTTCTTCGGCGGCATTGCTAAACACAGTGTGCTCCTCTTAGCACTCTTCTTGCGCCCGGGCTGGATGGCGACAAAATATTCAGGCACCGGCGCGTATGTTTATTTGTTTATTTGGAGATGGACTAGCAGAAGAACTTCAGAAGCTCATCTTGGAAGTGGCATAGATTGCGTAGAAAGCTTGGTATTTATTTTGGCTCCCAGTTTAGTTTGTTGTTGCAGGGAAGCGATGATGTCACGATTTGCAATGAGCTTCGGCGCTTGATGGAACCTGATTGGTCAACTGGACCACCAATTTTGTTTTGGGCATGACATGACAACATGAATATCACTGTTGATTGAGAGCCATGAAGCAAACAAATAAATATAATTTTGCTGCGGGAACTGTCCTTCTGAATGAGGGGATTAGAGGGAGTTTTCCTCACTTTATCAGTAAAGGCTATTTACATCAAATTATGGTGGAATGGATAATTAACAAGTTTTCGCTAGGTAGAGAGAGTCTTTGAATCAGGATAAGTGAGCTATATACATATGGTGGGAGAAAATTAAGCAAGATCAGCACAGAAAGTATGGAGCCACCGAAAGAAATCTATCGTAGAAAGTACAGCAGAAAATAGGAAATGTTGAGCGCATGTCAGGCCCGAGGATAACAGTCGATGTTTGCATCGAGCTCTTTAAGCGAAAGTGGTCTTGTAAAATATAAGAAATGGAAGGGGCCGTATACTTGGTAAAGGAAAAAAAGAAAGGAAAAAGAAAAGAAAAAGAAAGGAGAATCCATCCATCATTTCAAATGCAATGAATAAACACCCCTCTAATCATCATCGTCCTCATCCTTCGGTTTAACCACCCCAATCTCAACAGTCCCTGCCTCCCTGCCCTTCGTATCACGAATGACCGCCTTAAACGACCCATTATTCCAAAAGTCTTTAACAGTAAGCTCCCGGGTCCTGCCCAAGCTTTCAATATCGTTGATTCTGTCCAGAGTCTTCTCCAGATGCTCTGCAAAGCCTGGTTCAGAGCATATCTCTCTGAAGGCGATTTGCATCGGGACAGAGTCGGCGCGAACCATGCCTCTGGAGTCGATGGTAAATATGTTGTCGTGATCGTAGCTTTGGATAAAGTCTGCTCTCGTCATGACTTGTCGGGCTTCGTGGAGAGGAATCTCCGGTAGGATATGGCCCTTTTCGGGATCATATGTACACTCCATTTCCTTTTCTCGGTCAACTAGCTCTTTGGCGAGGACCATGGCGGCGGACTGGAGAATATTATCAGCAGCGAAAGAGAAAAAAAAAAAAAAAGAATAGAAGCTAAGGATAAAGAAGGACTCCAGAAAATGGTGGGATGAGGCGTTTCATACCGAGTATTTCTGCTCATCCATCACATCATCGTCCATTTCCTCTCCTAAGATCCAGCATTTGTTGAGAAACCATGACTTCTCTGCTTGGCATATTGTCGCGCAGGTCTCCATCATGTCCTTCGATTTCGCCACGCGATTCAAAAATGTCAGTCGTCCGCCAACTTTGTCATACACTTTTTCGAGTATTGAATCGTCCAAAGTTTCATTGAAATATTTTTGTCGGTACTGCCGTAAGGCCATTATTGCACGGTCCTTGGGAAGATCCGGGAGAGGAATTATTTCCATTCGGGTACCATAACGTTTTAACCGCTCATACACCCAGTAATCATCGCTGTTGAAAACTGAGAAAAAGAGAACTGTTAATACAAAGGTAGGTTGCGTATGTGGTTGAGCGGGATAACTACTTACTCATCGTAACCAAGCTACTTGCTGCCCATTGCTCAGCACGCTGCTGAATCATTTCTAGCAGATCGCGCCCATCGTCGTCGTCTCGAACTAGATGGGTACTATTAACAATTAAAATGAGGGGCTTCCCGCCCTTGTGCCGCCGCGCAAGAGCGACTTTCTCAAGCTTGTTAAGAGCTCGTTCAATGTCTAGCAAGGCAGTGGTGTCTCGGGGCCCTCTAATACTAAACAGGCTGCCAATATAGCTATAACAGACAATCCGCTTAGTTAATAAAACAACTGCGTCCCGGCATATTTAAAAGTTCAATGTTTTTACTTTTATACATACTCTTCATGAAACTCAAAGTCCAAGGCCTTGCCAAGGCGGATACGAAAAATCTCAAGATCTGCATGCGCTTCGAAAAATGCCACGCCATCGCCATCAATCTTTCTCATGGCGTCGAGAAGCATGGAGGTCTTCCCTGTACCCTTTTCGCCGATGAGAAGATAGTAATGGCCGCGAATGGTGCCATTGACTATTTGATCAACTTTATTTTGCTCCTCGCGCTCGATCCAGTGGCCTGTGTCACTGCCATCGGTACCCATTGATGGCGCTACGCCAGCAACTTCGAGAGCTGGATCGCCGGGGTTGAATGCGTTGTCCATTTTTGCTAGGACTAGATACTTATAGTACCGGTGATAAGAGTACCCTGCCGCACTGGACGTGTAAAAAAAAATAGTTAGGGAACGATATCCGGCTCCAAAGAGGGCGGCATAAGGCGCCATGCGAGGTTGACTTCTTACCCGAGCACAGCGATTGATGCAAACATGGTCGCTGCAGATTCCATCATCTTAAAGAGGGTGGTTCTTAGAGAAGGCTCTTCTTCATCTTTCGGATTCTTTCTCTTATCATCTTCCTCTTCAGGCATATCTTGATTAATGGATTGGGGCCCGACAGGGGGTGCGCTCTGCGCATAGCACCGCCGCGCAGCGGGAACAACAACATTCCAGGGACGGAGAAATTGGGGGCGAGCCGCCCATGGTCTGGGAGGAAAAAACACTTTTGCGTTGCTACATACACGATTCAAACGCATAGCGCGAAACATAGATGTAGATATTATTACTCAGGTTGGAGGTCCGCGTTGCCTATTTAGGCGGTGTGTTGCTAAATTAAACCTGAAGGATTTGCGACTGGGTCCTTGGACCTTCCAGCTTGCCGTCCAATGATGGGTTTAACACCAAGGTGGAGACATTGGGGTCCGCATGAAATGAGGGGAAAATGAATGGAATTGATATTAAAAATATCCTTTGTGAAAAAACGAAAGGTTAATAAGAAAGGAAAAAAGCATTTATGCAAAAGAATGTCGGTTGTCGTTGTGACAGATTTCAGCTTGGAAAATCAATGGGTTGTTGTTGGTGACCGACCGACCAGCGCAGCCAAACATCGCGGAACAAAAGCTGCGGTTTTAGCGAAAAAGGGTTGGTTCAACCAAGGATGGCTTTGGGTTTGCCCCAGAATTTAAACCCACCAATCAGATGGGACTATTCAAATCACTCACCCAAAAAATAATAATAATGATTTGTCTTCAAGTTTCAACTCGAGACCTCTTTGAATGGAATATTTATACCTACTTTCTAGACCCCAATTAATATCACAGAAAAGGCCAAAAATCTTTTCAACAGGCTACATTTTGCCAAGTGGCCCATCAAAAAATTATTCGGCGCTTACCATCTTGTTCAACTCGATCTTGATGCATAACTAGTTACCTAGGTGTGGCGCATAAGCTATCATCTCGCATGTCATGGCTCCTGTACTTTTTCCCGTCCCAGCTGCATTTCAGTTCTGGAATTGCATTGATTAGAACGAGACTGCAGAATGTTGAGTTACAATGAACACATTGCTCTCTGCCTGCCTTGCATCCCTGAATCGCCATCTGGATGAACATTGCTTGTGACAGCAATAATGAGAGCAACAAATGGCTCTGATCCTTTTGTCTACCTTTCTCTGAAGGTCATAGCACCACCACTTCATTCAATTCATCACCTCTATCAATTAACCTTGTCAGACATCCGCAATTATTCTAACACAAACCTCATCTACATCAAATCCAGTCATGATAGCTGAGATGCAGAAGTATTTTGTGCTAGAGGTGTAAAGTTTGAGAATGATTGGCAGATTTTCTGTGGTTATGTTATTCAGAATCCTTGCAATTTCAGTTACTGCAGGGCGAGGCGAAATGGCCCTAAACGGCGAAATCACCCCGGGACGATGTGTATTGATTGTGTATGTACCCGCCATTTGCGGTTTCGAATTTTCAATAATGGGGCTGAATAGATCTCGCCCTCGCCTATATATTTCCGGGAACAGACACACACGTACGGAGTACAGTAGCCATAACTCTTTGATGACAGAATAGTGTGGTTATCAAGCTCCTTGTAAATTTCTGTTGATTGTTTTTTCATGACGATGGAAAATATCGTTTACATTCGTTGTTCGCACTCGGCCCGCTGACTGTCCTGAAAAGGTTTAACCCCATGTTTATTTTACGCCGAGTTTAACACTTGAACCCCCGTTACATTCCGAAAGGAAAATCCGCTTCCGTGAAATTTTCTCCAGATCTTGCTGCCGTTTTGGCGGGAAAGAATTTTTTTTTTATCGACTAGAAAAAAAGCTCTGTTTTCCCTCCTTGCAGCAATTTAGACCGGCCCTTCCTTTGCTATATTTCCTTCCTTTGCTATATTTTTTTTTCCCTTTCGTCTTTCATTTCTATTAATCCGTTGTTTTATTTCACCCATTGAGTTTCTAGTTGTAAAAAAAGAAGGGCTTTGGGAGGATCCCTTATCTGTTCCACTACCCTTTCGGTTTGATTGACCGATTGCCATCGCTGCTATCGTTTTTTGTTCTTTTATAACAAAATCTAATAATGGAGCAACCCACCAAGGAAAAGGAACATTCCCAAGGTACGAGAACTTTATTTGCAAGCCAGGCAGCTAATCAATGCCTTGAAGTTATCTCTAGGTAACTATAGAAAAACGATGTATCAATTGTGGACGCTAATCTTTCAATTACAGAGGTTGCGGAGAAGAATGGAGACGAACAACTTCCCAACGGCAATCACGTAGACGGAGAACATGATGGAGGAGGTGGGAACATTCAGATGAATCAATCATACGTACTAGACCGCTGGCCACTGACTTGGGGTTGAATTTAGGTCTCTTCCAGATTTCAGTCAAGCTTCCGCATGAACCGTACAACATACAAGTTACGGTGAGAAACCCTCTCCCTCCGCCGGAAACGACATTAGCTAATAAAGCTTACCTCCCCTATAGGTATCGAGCCAGGAACAAGTCCAGGATGTTCGTCAATCGATCGTTGAGCTGCCGGGTACCTTTCAGTACACGAGCTTCCACCTGGAGCATAACGGAGAGAGGATAAATGACTACGTCGAACTGTCCGAGGTCAAGGACCTCAAGGCTGATTCGGAAGTCGTCCTAGTCGAGGACCCCTACACTGAGAAGGAGGCTAGGATGCATATTGTTCGGATAAGAGAACTGATCGGCGCTGCTGGCGATCGCGTTGACAACTTGCACGGCATCTGTGCCGGTTTGTCACTTCATGACTCCGTAGCTGCTGGCGAGCAATTATCCGACACAAAGGAGGGACAGGATGCGCAGGCCAAAGATCATGCCCTTGTAGACTATGATATGGCGGCCCCGCCTGTCCTGCAAACGATACTCCCCCGGGCGCAGCCCCAAGTGCCCAAGACGGTCAAAGCAATTTCTCTTTCACCCTGGAACCCACCTCCTTACCATCTTCGCCAACGTGGGCACCTATTATATCTCCAGGTCACCACGAATGAAGGCGAGCAGCATCAGATAACGTCTCACGTTTCTGGATTCTATGTGAACAAGTGCTCAAATGCCAAATTCGATCCCTTCCCAAGACCCGCTCCCAAGAACTATAGCGCTCACTCCCTGTTGACTTTAATCTCTATGCTCTCTCCCTCGTTCGATTCTGCGTTTAAAGCTTTGCAGGAATCAAACAACAAAAAGGATTTGTTGACTACTTTCCCTTTCCAAAACTCTATTCCTAACAACCCATGGCTTGTGCCATCCACCTCATCTCCCGTCACAGCCCATCAGTCAGATATCACCCGTTCCCAAGAGAACTATTTAATTTCTGGCATGGACAACTCCGAAACTTTGAGAGACTGGAACGAGGAGTTCCAAAGCACAAGAGAACTCCCCAGGGAAACGGTCCAGGACAAAGTCTTCCGGGAACGTTTGACTTCGAAGCTTTTTGCTGACTACAACGATGCAGCTGCTCGTGGCGCTGTATTGGTCGCAAGGGGCGAAATTGCACCCCTCAATCCAACTGAAGGGAGGGATGCTCAAATTTTTGTCTATAACAATATATTCTTCTCCTTTGGAGCTGATGGGGTTGGAACTTTTGCGTCGGAGGGTGGTGACGAAGCTGCCAGGGTTGCTGTCGGCAAGGACGTTGCGGGCGTAAAAGCCGTCAATCAGCTCGACATCCCCGGTCTCTTCACTCCGGGAACGGTTGTTGTTGACTACCTGGGTAAACGGTTGGTTGGCCAGAGCATTGTTCCTGGCATCTTCAAGCAACGCGAGCCTGGCGAACACCAAATCGATTATGGTGGAGTTGAGGGTAAGGAAGTCGTTGCAGAGCACAAAGACTTCGTGCCAGTGTTTGAGAAACTATCCGCTTCGTTGCGCGTTAAGAAGCATCCGGTCTGGGACAGAGATGGCAAAAGGCACGATCTGGAGGGAAGCGTAGAAACAAAGGGTCTTTTGGGTACGGATGGTCGTAAATATGTGCTCGATCTCTATCGCATTACTCCGCTAGACATAGCTTGGTCGGAAGACGCTGAAGGACATGAGCCATATCCCCACAGGATGTCTGTCCTGAGGCTAGAGCTAGTTGAGTCGTACTGGAGATATAAGATGGGTCAATATGTGAAGACTGAAGTTGAGAAGCGAAAGGCTGCGAAAAAAGAAGCTGAGAAGGCTGAAGACATTGAAGTGCCTAAGGGAGACGAGGCCGAGGCCCCAGCGATCAATGGGCAGGGCGAAGGCGACAAGAAGGCAGCTGATGAACAGGAACGCGTTGATATCTCTGCGTTTAAGCTTGCCCTCAACCCTGATGTCTTCAGCGGTCAAGTACCTCAGACAGACGAGGAGAAGGAGGAGTGGACTCAGGACGAGAAGGAAGTCCGTTCTGCTTGCGAATACTTGACTTCCAAGGTTATTCCTGAGCTTATCCAGGACTTGCACGATGGCGATGTTGGCTTCCCAATGGATGGGCAATCCTTAACCCAGCTTCTCCACAAGCGAGGAATCAATGTTCGATACCTGGGTAAATTGGCGAAGCTTTCTCAACAAAAGGGATCAAGACTAGTCGCTTTGAGCGCACTCCTGATCCAGGAAATGATTTCTCGCGCCTTCAAACATATCGCCAACCAGTATCTGCGATATCTGCCACCTCCCTTCACAGCTTCCTGCGTTTCCCATTTATTGAACTGCTTCCTCGGGACAGAAGTCAATGCAAACCCACGTCCAGAGATAGATGAGGAATTGAGGGAGATTTACCCGGAAGGTGACTTCTCTTTCGAAAAGGTTACACCTACCTCGCTCAAGGAGGAGATTGAAAAACAAATCAAAATCCGTTTCAGATTCAACGTCGAGTCTGACTGGACTGCATCGCTCAAACGTCTCCAACTTCTACGAGACATTTCTATTAAAATCGGCCTTCAGATAGGTGCCCGCGAGTTTACGTTCGAACACTCGCAGATCAAGTCCCAGGAGCATTCTCCTGCGCCTAGCAGCACCCATAGTTCACAAGAGGAGCCAAGCAAGAAAAAGAAGAAGAAGGGAAGCAACGCTGCTTCGCCAAGCCGATCAGTGGCAAGCCCTAAGCCCGTGGTTACGTTTGTGCCAGAAGACATCCTTAACATTGTACCTCTCGTTAAGGATGCTTCCCCGCGAAGTGCGCTTGCGGAGGAAGCCCTGGAAGCTGGGCGAATTTCTATAATGCAGAACCAGAAGGAAATTGGACAGGAACTTATCTTGGAGTCCCTCTCTCTTCACGAGCAGATCTACGGCATCCTTCATCCTGAAGTTGCCAAGTTGTATCATCAGCTCTCCATGCTTTACTATCAGACAGACGAGAAGGAAGCCGCTGTTGAGTTGGCGCGGAAAGCCGTCATTGTTACTGAGAGAACAATGGGCGTTGACTCCGCTGACACTATTTTGAGCTACCTCAATCTTAGCTTGTTCGAGCATGCGTCTGGCCACACGCAGACTGCTCTAGTTTACATCAGACATGCATCCGAACTCTGGAAGATTATCTACGGTTCTCATCACCCTGACTCGATTACAACCATGAACAATGCTGCTGTCATGCTTCAGCACCTCAAGAAATACCCCGATTCCCGAAAATGGTTTGAGGCTTCGCTGACCGTCTGCGAAGGCCTCTTTGGAAGACAATCCATTAACACCGCTACCATTCTCTTCCAGCTCGCCCAGGCCCTTGCTCTTGACCAGGACTCAAAGGCTGCCGTGAACCGTATGCGGGACGCATACAACATCTTCCTTAACGAACTGGGTCCCAACGACCGAAATACCAAGGAAGCAGAAAGCTGGCTTGAACAGCTTACTCAGAATGCCGTGTCCATCGCCAAGCACGCGAAGGATATCCAAGCTCGCAGACTGCGCCGAACAAATCTCTCCCCACGAGTGACGATGGGAACTAAACCTCAGCCTCAGGTCGGCCAAAATGCACCAGCGACCACTAATGGGGCAGCCTCCAAAAACATCGGGCTGGACTCGAGAAGCATTGATGAGCTATTGAAGTTTATTGAGGGGGGCGAATCCAGCAGTCCCCGCTCCAAACAGAAGAAACGGGCTGCAACCAGCAACCCTAAGCTCCGTGGATCGAAGCAATCCAATGTTCAGGCCACCTAAGTTGGGTGTATATTTACTTGTATTATTCCGAAGCCCCCTCCGACCATTTTTGATCATTTAATTGCCCCCGTTTCTATAAGTGTTATTATTATCTCTCTCGTTTTTCTCTTTTAATAAATCCAGCCCAACCCCCCCGTTTCCCCTGGAATTACCTAGCTACAGATACCTATAACACCGCTGAGAGGGGAATATCTTGTTTACCAACCCATTCTTAGACAGAAAAGAGAAGGAACTCGAACGTTCCAGCTTTTGAGCTGACATCATTTGTTGAGTCATATGGACGATTGTGCTGCTACGCCCTTTTTGAACATAGATCTCCCCCGTTGTCTTGCAACCATCTCTACTCACAAAGTATTGTTTTATTTTTGCTTTTTTCTATATACAGTCATTTCCTTTATTTGCGGTACTACTTCGTTGTATAAAATATAGGGGACTTACATAGCATGGTTTTCATTTTTTCAATCTGCTTTTCAACGATCCTGTCCACTTCCCATGTCCTTTTACTTTTTTTTTTTCTTTTATTTCATTTCCCTTACTGTATGTATAGTTGATGACATGTCATTTCACGAGCAACAGGAAAAGTGGATAATACTTGTACTATAGGGATAGGCTTAAAAATGATTGACATCTTCTCTCGATTCACATTTTGGTCTCTGTAACCGCCAGTTTACCAGTGTTGTCCCGAACGGTTATGACGCACGCCAAGACTAAAATCAAAACACGTGACACTCCATTGTTTACTTCCACAAGGACCAGAGCTTCGACTCTCGACTCTGTACCAACATAATGACAGTATAGCCTCAATTATATATCTTAAAGCCCAGTTACTTGTCCAAATATATTAATGCATCGTTTTAATTCCCTCATGACTTTATTCTCTAGGTTACGATAGGACTTGCGGAGGTGGGGAGAGCTGGCCGCTGATGGATGCGGCAGCGAAGGGTGGTCGTGTTGGATTGAATTGGTATGGCAATGGTGATATTATTTGCCCAAATTGGCGTCGTTAAAAACAATAGTATTAATAGCAGCGCAAAAAGTTTCCCAGATCCAAAGGTCCGCTCTTTTCCTCAGAATGACGATGAATTCGGCCGCTTCGCGTTTAAGACCCTCCGCATCCGAAGTCTCCATCACGTCGAGGTGGTGCAATAGGGCGCTGCGTCCTTTGACCTCCACTATACTGCGCCTGGAAAAACATTGGAAGATAACCCCACTGGGAGCTCCGAATCTGAATGGTACCACTGTATCTGGATCAAGTCAGAAAAGCAATTCGGCGGCCAAGGGGGCGCGAGGAGCTTCCGAGTCCGACTCCGAATCCACCCCCGATGATCCAACTTGGGTCCCAGGGGGTGCCGTGCGCAAGCACATTAGACATAAATATTCCGCTCGTACTGGTAGCCGGTCAAGGGTCGTTGTGAGGAGTCCGGAGACGCTGAAGCTACAACCCGGGGAGTTTTCCATTCCCACGCCGTTAATCAAAGGGAAAAAGAGACAATGTCCGGAGATGGAGGAGCCAAATGGAGATGCAAGTGGGGTTGCGGCCATTGCAGACTCCAATGAAGACTCATCAACTCAAAATTCTCGTCGAGGTCCTATGAAACGGAAATTACCTGCTTACGCTGGATGGAATAGCCAGAGGATTTGGAAGGATTCGTGTAATGAATATAACGACCCGTCCTATATTGCCATAGCGCAAGGGATATTCCAAGTTTGGGATACATTTCTCACAATGACAGCTCCGGAAAAGAGTTCTGGTCCCGGAGCACGATCGCTTATGTCGATGGCTCTGGGTACAACTTCTATGTATATTGCGAGCGAACAGGAAGCTGTGGATAATTGTGAGGACAAGAACGAAAAGGTTGATGTTGCAGATCTTATTTTCACAGAGCTAGAAAGCATCTATGGTATATCTAATGCTGGATGGAAACCGCTTAAGTCGCTCGTCCGCCTCCATGGGATTCGTTTGGTCTGCGACGCGATTCGGCACAGATGGATATCCCCTATGATAGCGCGCCAGCTAGTGCTAAACTCGATCGACTCGGTTTCGTATGATGCTGCGCAGGAAATATTATCAGCTTTGCTCTCTGTTACCCAGAGCATCGAAGGCCCTAGACATCTGGACTGTTCTTTGTTTTCGTCCGGAAGTTTTGGTGTATTTCATACATTAGCAACTTATGTCAACAAAGCTAGCCATATAAGCTTCTTTTTTCGCGAGGTTGGGTCTTTATTGCGGGACGGTATCGTGCCAGTTGAATGGATAGTTACGGAGTCCATGAAACCATTCGTGACTCATGCCCTTAGGTCGATATCATGCGAAGACGACGATTGCTCCGCGTCTGTTTTGTTTATTGTGAATACGATTCTTGCGGCTTCTCGATCGAATACTCGCTGCAGCTTACCAACCTTAGAATTGGCTGCGGACACGGATAAACTACAAAAATGCGATGAAGGAAGATGCAAACTAGATTCTTCACGTCGTAACCTTCCTGAGAACCCAGAGTCAAAAGCTAATGAACATTTATCACTTGCTTTGAACAACAGCATATCGAGTATTTTAGGCATTCTCTACAGTGCTCACATCGTACGGTTTACAACCCATTCACCCACTTTCGTACCAAGTGCATCTCCAATGCACCACATTTTGGTTAGAGTTTCAGCCATAATACAGCATGATATACTAGACGCGTCCTTCGATCTAGCACAGGATCGCCCAAGATCAGAGCTGCTACGAGTGGGACATATTTTGATGGCAGATTACATTCTTAAATGCAGCTGGGAGGGCGCCAAAAAGGAGGGACAGACAGCCGTCCCTGGAGCAACAAAACTTTTAAGCACTTTCGAATATTTCACTCGTACATTGAAAAGTCGAAAGGACCTCACAGCCAGCCTATCGACTTTTGTGACGCACGTATCGCACAGTTGCGGTCGAGCACTCAGTGAAGATGGATTCACTCAGCTGCAAATCTTTACTGATGCACTCACAGAGGACAACCTACAACCATATCCTGCACTCAAGGCGCTTCTAGGTAAGGTAGCAGTGGACGCGGCACTAAAATTTGCGGAATCTACTCTTCATCCCGATCACCATTCGTGGGCAGCCCACATACAGACCAAAGCGGCGAGATATTCTAATGGGCCCCTAGGACACGACGAAATCATACCCCTAACTCCGTCGTTAGCTCTATCCAAAACTGGTTATATATGGGAAGAGAGCATCGGAGAGTGGATCGCTGCGGCTCCGGCCAGCGGAGCATACAGGAGTCTGCGAGCATGTAAGGCCCAGAACCAATTCCTGCCAAATCCTCCGGATGAGCTGCCAACTTCAAGTGATGCAGATGATGCGACAGCATCTAGAGGCTCCAGCACATTCTCGGCCTGTTCGGAAGGCTATAACTCGAGCATTACTTCATCAGAATTTACCTCTCCATCTTGGTCTCGGAAAAGGAAGCGCGGTGTCAATTCTCCAAACTTGGTATCAGGAAAACACGCGAGAACAACATATTCATCGTCACTAAAAGCACCTCCTCGCCGGCTACGGTCCGGGAAAAGCCGTTCTTGGAGTTTTTACATCGATGAACGTGAGAGCCATGACTCTAACCTATTGATCTTTGATCGATTCAAGCGCTCGAAAATCACGAAGAAGAAACATTATGTCGTTGAACCAAGTATAACGAAAACAAGGCCTTTATGCCAACGAACGGATATCAATCGTTCATTGCTCAACCCTGCAACTATGGAGGTTAGACTCCCAGGGCCACAGACTGCCGACAAGGCGGTTGAAGTTGTCATCGTCCATGACAGAAATAAATACATAGACACGGAATCGAGCAGTTTTTTGATTCAAGAGGAAAGGGAGAGAATGCTGCCGGGCTCTGATCGCAGTGACTATAACCGTGACTATGACCTTAGCGATCACAATGATGACAGTGACGGTGATGACGAAGATGTCCTGGCCAGAGAACCATCTCCCCGTTACCTTTTGCGGCGCAAAAGTCTCTGTACACCCATCGCTAGCAAGCTATTCTCCTGCGCCACTCCTCCGGGAGCACGCCTCCGGACGACACGATCTTCTACCTCGTTACAAAAACAACCCATCCTGCAAGCAGCGGGTTGTAATATTGTTGGTTCGAGTGATGACGAATTGAGTTTCTTTTGATGGTTTTCTGTTCAGTAATGTATATTCTGATTTTTGATTACTATATTTGGATTTCTAGATTCTGAATATGACGGTCGACTACCTGTCGTCCCTGCTGGTAGACAGAATGGAGAAGTGAAGACGCCGATACACCTTGTTCTGATATATTTTTTTGACACGATACCCTTATTGGATTACCTTGCTTCGCACCTTGTTTGTATTTAGCTTCTATTTTCTGGAGTCCGTTGATTGGATTGGTTCAATGAATATGCATATAGATGGTTGGGAAGAGCCAATAACTTTTAGCAGGTTTTTTGTACAGTACCTTAACTTTTACCATGCGAGTCGTTAGGAGGAGAATTTTGGAGGCCACCTCTACTACCGCCGGCCGTTTCGTTTCTGATCTTAAGTATATGAATTCTTCAGCTATCGCTGAGGTTATGCCTTTTTTTTCATGAAGGTGTAATCTGCACCTGGAAGTCAACTGAGTGATTTGGCACTCACTCATATTTCACTCATCAAGTCATTTAAGTGGGCTTTGGCTAGTTTCTACGTGTGCGTGTATCAATCATGTTCTCTAGCTGCGCATTAAGTGCTTGTGCTGCGGCCCTGTCCCTCCAGCATTTGTGTGAAAACAGTATGAGAAAAGAAAAGTGAAGCTGTAGGGGAGGTGAGACGGCGTAAGGGGGTGCGTATGTACGACCAATGGAATGCAAAATATTGTAGAAGTGAAAGGCAAAAATGTGCATAAATAAAGGGGGAAATATATATATATATAAAATAGGGTAGCAAAATAGAACAAAGCGCCCTCCAGCTTCCCAGGCTCGTTTGATAGAAACATAAGTAAAGCTCATGAATGAAGCCCAGCTACCCTACAAATTGTCGCCAGTAGAAATAATATTATCATATCCCAGTCCCATTTGTGATTACAGGTTTTATCGGGTGTTTGATACACTCCTGAATCATGCTCCGGAACTCCTATCTGAAAAACGCCTCGTAATTTCTTCCCTGGGCTAAAATTTCTCGCTAGTAAAGCACCGTGTCAACCTAACCAGGAACCATGCAATAAACTTCACTGCGACAGTAAGGCCCCAGACCATAGCTTTTAATCCCCAGAGTATCAGCTTCAGCACGGATCTCGCGATACCGGGTAATTCCTCTCCTTCGTGAGATCCGCTGCTATACCGTCCGTAGTTTTCAAGGTCGATCTCCTCAACCACAACCGGGATATTTTTATTCTTACTTTTTTTCACTCTTGTCTTCTTCTCGGGTGAGTAAAACGACGACCTTCTCCAAAACGCAAAACTCGTCTTGCGTTTGGGGGAGGAATGAATTTGTGACATCAGTTTAGCTTCTTGCTCCGCCTCATCACGCTCCGCTTGCGTCGCGATTAGCTTGCCGTTGAAACGTGGTTGTGAGGAAGTTGCCGAAGGTGCCCCCGGGGGTGCCACATCATATGGGTCAGGGAATTCTCCTTTGCTCACAGCTGCTTCAAAGCTCATACCACCCAGGATGTTTCTAATATATTGATCCGTCGCTGCCATGATGAGGATTGAGGCAACTAAGGAGTCTATGCAATATAAGGCTGGGATTGTGGAAGATATTGTACCCGCTGCAATTGATAGATTCATTGTCTCCAAGTCTAGAGCTACCAATGGAGTGTCCTTAGTCGAGTCTCGGCCTGGGATTGTGACAAGGATTGATGGAGGATGGCCTAGCTCTGCGCTATCTGTTGTGGAGGCGGAAACCGTGAGGTGTAATATTTGGCCCCGTTTATTTATGATAGGGTATCCTTGGCGTTGGACATCATTTTGCTGGTCGTCACTTGGATGATTAAACAAAGCCTGATGCTGAACGTCGTACCGACCATGGACCCCATTCCACTCCAGTATACAAGTCTCCTGTGCTTCTGCCCGCCTAACAGCATCGTCCTCCACTTCCATTGCGTCGGTTGGAGCTAGTTGGTGTTGCCTTGATAAGCTCAAGGCCTGATCTCTGGCCAAGATCCCCGCCAACATAGGAAAAACAACCGTAATAAAACCAGCACCATTAGGCCTGTTAATTTCCGTGCTGTTGAGCATAACAATGGGAGACTTGGTATGCTCTCTGGTTGGGTGAGATCTTTGAATGTCCACGTCACCCATTGTGTTAGTTTTGAGTGTATATAGCGTCGCAGATTGGTTTCCAAATGTGTATGTGAGATGGTCCACTCTGTAGGATCGTTGATTAGCAGAGGGCTACAAGGTGAATTTTGCAAGATTGGATGTCAACTCACTTGGAAAGGCGCAAGTAAAATGTTCCAAGTTCAGGCTGCGGCCCTTCTCCATTTGCAGCCTCCCATAGACGTGTGAGTTGCTCGGACGACGAAAGCTTCACAGCTGTGGCTAGTTGGGTGGACTCGCGCATCGTGTGAGGAAAAGCAGATTGTTGAGAGGCCACACTGGGGCTGTAGTCAGATCTTGAGATAACTTCCCGTGGAAGATCGTTAGGCGCCGAACGTTGGGGATAGTAACGTTGCTGATTCAAAGGCAGGTTGGGATCGTAACGAGGAAATATTGACCTCATTGGCATTGCTGGTGAAGTAGGTGATTTGGACGGTGAGTTAAGCATGGTAACCTCAATTTGGACAGGAGATCCAGATCGAATAGGCTCCGGTGAAGCAGACCCGGGAGGTGGAGATTTGCCATTATTGGACCCGTTTGGGGATTCTGCAACTCTCGCTTCTTCTCCTGGTTTCGCACGGAGGGTGGGGGAATTTGACCTCACAATATGAACAGGCGGGGGAGGTGTTAGAGTGGTCTTATTTGTGTCCTCGATAATTTGAAGAATGACGGCTTCGGTTTGGGAAGATTCTTTCTCGTTTCCCAAGATTGGTGAGACCACTGGAGACTTCGTAGCGCGGCGTCGATGGCCTTTTCTGAATGGATTACCATTTGGTCTATTTTGCGGCTGCACCTGAGGGAAGAGCTGAAACTGGGTTTGGCTCGCCATTCTTGCCCTCAATTATTGAAAGCGAAGGCCAGGCCAACAGCGATGTGCAACGAGTTGGCAGTAGAAAGAAACTCACAGCCTGTAAGTTTCGCAGGGCTTTGGGGACGTCTTTACTTGAGCGAGAGTTGTGAGAGCCCAAGGATAAGTAAGGGAAGGCCCATACGCCAGAGGGCGAAACGAGGATAACGATCCAAGCTTGGGCTGGCCAGCATAACAAGAGGAAGAATAAAAATGATTAAAGTGGAGGGGAAGATAGAATATTAAAATGGAGAGGAAAAGTCCGCCTTCAGTGGAAACGACATTTTTTTCAATGCATAGCAGAGGTCCTCCACAAAAAGCGGCTGATCAATAGGAAAAGCTCAATGCAGGATGTAGAGGAAAAAACCCTTGCGTTCTCCTGCCATTGCGCCGAGCGCAATAGTTTGACGCCTAGCATGAAGGAAGGATAGGTGGAATCTATCCGCACACCAGCCCTGGGGACCAGTGGGACGGGATTGGATGGATGTTAAATCCCATCACCAACATAAAATTGCTTTTTCGGGTTCAAGTTCCTGGCGCTTTGCAGGAAGAACCAAGCTAGAGCAAAGAATCGGTGAGACTAAGTATTGTTCAACAGTATTCGAAGGCCGCATCACGTTCGTCAGACCTCGAGGAAGAGATCTCGAGATACCTTGCTGCTGAACGTGAGGTCAAGATGATTGGAGGCTATCCCTGAAAGTACATCAACTGTTCGGCGCTTCGAAGTTCGAAAGAGTGACTCTGACCAGGGGCTGTGAAGCTGGTGGTTGGTGTCCTTTTCTTGGCACTGCCCGACTGGAAAAGTAGTGGCTTTAGCAGAAACGCTAAAGGAGCGCGGCGCAAAGGGCGCGGTTACTATTGGGCAGGAGAGCTTTGACGAGGCTGTTGTTGAGATCGTGACGTCGGTTAGTTACTAAAATAGGAAAATATATATCACGTGATGGTGTTACATGACCGCGCGAAGATAGTCCTCCAATAATACGAACGATTGGGTGGGATGGTGCAGGCTGATCACATCGCTGCAAGAATCGTTATGCGCCAGACAGGCACATCCTTCAGAGGTGCAGTGAGGCCTGGTATCAATTCCTATTCGCTTCGTCAATAGCCCAACCGACGCCAGAGAAGGTGGAGACTCAGATGCAATAGTTGAGAATATCTGGATAGGAGGGAGATATTGGTCAAAACCTCCGGAAAATAGATTAATGGATCTGGAGTAAATAGTGTACAAATTCGTTCCCCGCTATCTAGGGAATTAAAGCTATTCCTCCGACACAAGGCCTTCTGCCATCCTGATAGCACCTTCCATGTCACCCTTGTTGTATAAAAAGAGCCCTTGCAGGGCTGCAGCACTTGTGGCACTTTCCGCTGGAATTTTGTGGCCATTCTCATCCTCTATAATACCCAACTTATAAAGCTTTTCCAAAAACTGAGTCTGATAGAAACCCGTCTTGTCAAAATCGCCGTAAAACCGCTCCCAGAGTTGTGCCACTTGATACCTTGTAGCTTCGCCAAGTCTGACGGTCATATCCACACGGCCCGGTCGGACGAGAGCCTCGTCAAGCCGCTCAATGTGGTTTGTCGTCAAAAAAATTATGCGTTCTTCAGCACTAGCCACGCCATCAAGCGCATTAAGGAGGCCTGAAAATGTCACATTGGCTCCCCTATATCCATCGGCGTCGGACTGCACGCGCCGGTTCCCGAAGGCGGCATCTACATCTTCCAATAGTACCAGGGTGCGGGAAGGTATGATGGTGAGAAGGTGGTTCAGGCGATCGTCGGTCAGACCTCTCTCGCTCAAGTTGAGGATGGCAATGTCGTAATCCAGCTCGCCCGCGAGTGCTTGAATAAATGAGCTCTTGCCGCTGCCCGGGGGACCATGAAGGAGATAACCCCGTCTATAAGGAATGCCGCGATCATAGTACCAGGATCCACTCTCGAGAAAATCCTTCACATCATCCACAATCCGTTCTTTAACCCCCTTATCCAAAATAACGGATTCCAACGGCCTTTTGCGCCGAGATTGGCCAAACTGCCTCCACTCGGTGCCCCAGGAATTGTATATTACAGTTTTCCCTTCTTGCGACCGCGCAGCGTACTCGTGGGCCTCCTTAAATAAGTCTTCAAAAATATGACGTTGAGAATAGAGCGTAGTTAGGGTAACCGTTTCCCACGGTCGTCCGGTTTGGTGGTCTCTTGATTTGGCTTCTCGCACGCGATTGACGAAGATAAAAGCGTTTTTATACCGGAGAACATGTTTGCCAGGTCCAGGTATAAGTGCAAATTGTGTATGCATCGCGCCATTGGGATGTTCTACTTTCTGCGTCTGGATCGACAATTGTCGCATTCCTGGTGTGAGTCTCCGCAGGAGGGAATCGACGAAGCCGGATTTTTGGGCGGTCGGTGTTCTTTGAAGTTGCGACCGTTGATATAACGTCATCCAATGTAGAAACCAGCCGTACGAGTCATCCTTGATATTTATTTCCACTTCGACAAGCATGCGCCTACGGAGGAGAACAGCTCCACGTCTAATCCCCCGCTGGGCAAGTGTCAGGCCGGCCCCAAGGCCAGCAAGACCAAAACCCTATCAGTACCATATCCATGTTAGCCTATAGACGAACGATATCCACGCTACTCGATTGGTATAACATACTGCTGTAAAGAAAGGGTTGCTCGCGAGCTGCGAAAAGAGCCCTTCATTTGAATTCAGCTGTGGGAGCTGTCTTTGGGCTCTCGCCTGGACAATCAAGTCATTTTGATTTGTTGGTTGGGCCAGCGCCTGCCCCGTAGCTTCCATTCCAGTGGAAATGCCTTGATTAGCATCTTTGCCCGACATATGTTCGAATCATTATGGGGCTCAATATGAAAACTGTTCTGTCTGACAAAACCAAATTAAGTAAACCTCAAAAAAAATTGGTATCGGCGAACTGAAGGCACTAACCCAAAATAAGGCTTGGGCTTGGCATCTCAGGAACCGTAATTGGCCAATTTCAACGTCTCCCATACTTCCGCTGTGACGATGCGCCAAAGACTTAGGTTAGGGCATGCGATTTTGGTGCTCCTTTGTTTTTTTTACCTTTTGCTTTTTTCTTTAAGCAAGCTGGACCACCCCGAGTGGACACCAGATTCTACGTTCCAAAATTTTGAAATGCACCTACTGCGTATGTATAATTGTGAGGGACAATGGGAGCTGATCTGGGTCTGAAGAGTTCCCAACATGCTTCTTCATTTCCATCTATTTCATCCTTTGTAACCCCTATGGAGATCAATCCGCAGCTCTTTGCCATCCCTGGTCACGCAATCATCTCAATCACCCTACCACCTCGGTTGCGTACAACTGCGGATGGAGCGGTGAGGCCGATGCCCTGACACAAAAATGAGAACCAACCTTTTTAGGCGCAAAGGAGGCCACAAAAATGAAATTCGTTCAATATAGATTTTGTGCATCAAGTTCCCGAGCATGCTAATCGCTCCCTGGCGATACATTGAAGGGACTCTTTTTCCGATGCAACCTAGGCCGCAATTACAGGAGAAGGCCCCCCATTCTTGTATGCGGCTATTTTCTGTATAGTGATCGTGTTTTTATCTACGGTCTATAGCTCCAGATATTGAAGAAGCTGTTTCCGTTGCACTTCCTCACCTTACTTACTAGCTAATTTTAAATTGAATTGCCGATCGGGTAAAGACATTAGTGGGAGAAAACATATGTAATGTTCGTCACTGTCTAATCTTCTGGTTGAATTGACGGCGGCCATGGATCTATGTATGAAATGATTAACAGAGAAATAGATATTCACGGATCTTAGCATAGTAAATTCCATACTTTGATTTTGCATTGAGCCATCACGACCCTGGGTGCTTTATTCATTTTACGCCTACCGAACGCAATTGGCCGGACCAGGTTTAAATCCACAGAACTTTGGTGCCTTCTGGAAATAGTATTTTTCATTGACGGAGGGTGTAGTATCCACCACCTAACAACGGTTTGAGAAGTGTCGGGTCCCCGGCATTCTTTACTAGTATTATTCTTGTTGGACGCGAATTTATCGAATGCTCTCATAACATTGATGAATAGAATTACGATGCTAAAACAAAAAGCGGTACGAAAGACTGTGTGCCTATTGTGCTCTGTATTGAGAGGTATATAATCATATAAAGTGAATAATCCGCACAAGTGCCCGAAGAACAGGAATGAGGGATAGATCCATAACGCTGTCTCTAATTTCTTTGTGTTGCTTTGATGTCGCGTACAACATCCTCATCACATACAACTGAGCGACGTAGCTCCGACACAGCCAGAAGGCCAGGCGTCAAAGTATCCATGTATCCATGTTCTATGGAGAGACTCATCTGGTTCCCAGAAGAAGGCTAGCTGGTTACAGGGCAGGGGGACGACTGCGCTTTTGAAGAGTGGCAAGTTGAATTTCGCACAGCACACTGAGCAGCAGATGATAGCCGTAGAAGGAAATGACAGAGGAGTGCTCAACCAGGGAACAGAGGGATCAACACAAGTTTCTATTCCGAAGTAGCTGCGAGAGGCCCAGTGACGACGATTCCGACACGAACAGAACATCAGTGGCGTCAGTTCAACAGGGGGAAGAAGTGTTATATGAGATCGACCCGCGAGCGTTGAAAAAGCTACCAGAGCGTCTTCAGAACAATTATCGTCAGCTATTTCAGGAGGGAGTCGAGAGGCTGACTCTGAAGAACCCGAACTTCAAATACCGCCCATACGACTATATGGACCATTGGCCGCAGGGAACTTTTGAGCCAGAGGAAGAGGAGCAACCAAGAAATATAAAAAGACAATATCCGAGGAAGCATAACTTATTGCAGGAATTGGGGATTATACATGTTCCGCAGTCGCAGTTCACCGACCAGAGGGGTCAATTACGCGTCATGACTCCGGATCGATCGCCTTTCGAGGACTCATCTCGACGAGACCCAGAAGAATACAAAGAAAGTGCTGAACATAGCGGAAAAAGGAAATTCAAAGGAAAAAGGAAATTCAAAATAGCCCATCCGAAGCAACAAAATGATAGATAAGGCTTCAGCAGTGCTGTTTGGTACAGCATCAGAGAAAGGTGGATTACCGAAGATGGAGGAGCTGTGTCCTGTCAAGGGAAAGCAGATAGCCATTTTCAGGCGTGGAGAAGTTCAAACCCTGTATTCAGCTACCAGCCACATGGGAAATGGCGACGAAGAACACCACAATGTGGGATATGCAAGCGAATCCTGGTTTAGAGGAAGTTGTTGCACCAAGTGCTCATATGTTTTGGGGTTAGTTGTTACTCCAGTGAGGAGATAGCCGTTCCAACCGACTGGCCGGATATTGGGATATTAGGATACCATATAAATAGAGCTGAAGTCTTAAATACTCCTCATAATTTTCTCCGAGTAGTTTCTGTCGCCAGTTGAACAAAGTCGGCAGTCACGGTGTTTTCAATGCTGAACGATGCCCTTGTCATCATCAAAGCTTGATGCGCTAGGCTGCTTTTAGCCTAGACTGGAATTTGCTGGGCCTTTCCCACTTCAAGAAAAAAAGTGACAACATCAGTGACGCCAAAAGAGCTTCCTCCCCCAACTGTTCTCCAACACCTAGGTTTGCTACAAGGTGTTCTATTATTTTCTTCTTAACATAGTTGTCCTTCTATTCTATTACGAAACTTCGGCGCTTCACTGCTGTTCTTCCGCCTGAGACTTTACCCTTGCCCGCTCGCAGAGAACCATCTAGATTCTCGCCAAAATGCAGGCTCCTGTGGTGGTGATGAGTATGTGAAACCCATCATTTTCAATAGTGGAATGAGGCATAGCTTGCTCACATACTGCCTACAGACACCCAGAGTGGGGACAGACAAGTCGGTCGGAAAGCACAATTGTCCAACATTACAGCCGCAAAGACGTAGGTGTTGAGATGCCCCTCCAGCATCCCACCCCACAATAGAGTATCATAGCTTACGAAGCATTGCAGTGTGGCAGATATTATTCGATCATGTCTTGGGCCGAAAGCTATGTTGAAGATGCTTCTTGATCCCATGGGAGGAATTGTTCTCACCAACGACGGACATGCCATCCTTCGAGAAATCGAGGTGGCTCACCCCGCAGCAAAGAGTATGATCGAACTCAGCCGAGCACAAGACGAGGAAGTTGGTGATGGCACTACAACTGTGATAATTTTGGGTACTTGTTTCTCCGTGAATCTACCACTTTCAGTCACTTGCTGATAATTTTCAAGCCGGTGAAATGCTGGCTCAGGCTCTCCCCCAACTCGAACGAAACATCCACCCTGTCGTTATCATCTCCGCGTTCAAACGGGCTCTTTCAGATGCACTTGCCATTGTGGAAGATATATCTCTACCAGTGGATGTTCACGATGACAAAGATATGTATAAATTGATACAGTCTTCAATTGGCACGAAGTTTGTTTCTCGGTGGTCAGAACTCATGTGCAGCTTGGCATTGAAGGCAGTGAGAACAGTTTCACATGATGCTGGTGGTGGAAAACAGGAGGTCGATATCAAGCGCTATGCTCGTGTAGAAAAGATACCGGGTGGAGAGATTGAGGATAGCGAGGTCATTGATGGAGTCATGCTCAACAAGGACATCACCCACCCCAAAATGCGGCGGAGAATAGAAAACCCAAGAATTATCCTTCTGGATTGCCCTCTTGAATATAAGAAGGGAGAGTCGCAGACGAACATCGAAGTTTCGAAAGAGGATGATTGGAACCGGATATTGCAAATCGAGGAGGAGCAGGTTAAACTTATGTGTGATGCAATTCTTGCTCTGAAACCGGATCTTGTGATTACCGAGAAGGGTGTATCCGGTAAGCTAACCCGCTGGTTATGCAATTAAGTTGCAGGAACTAATCAGTTTGTAGATTTGGCGCAGCACTACTTGGTCAAGGCGAATGTCACTGCGCTTCGACGTGTTCGCAAGACTGACAACAACAGAATTGCCCGTGCAACCGGTGCAACGATCGTTAATCGAGTGGATGACCTACAAGAATCAGACGTCGGAACTCGATGTGGCATTTTCGAAATTGAGAAGATCGGCGACGAGTACTTTACATTCCTCAGGAAATGCACGAGCCCTAAAGCTTGCACGATTTTGTTGAGAGGCCCTTCAAAAGACATTCTCAACGAAATTGAACGGAATTTACAAGACGCGATGTCCGTTGCAAGGAATGTCATTTTCCATCCTCGTCTCTCACCAGGTGGTGGAGCAACCGAGATGGCGGTATCGGTGAGATTGTCGCAGCTGGCAAAATCCGTCGAAGGTATTCAGCAGTGGCCCTACAAGGCTGTTGCAGATGCGATGGAAGTGATCCCTAGAACACTCATCCAGAATGCTGGCGCCAGCCCTATTCGCATCCTTACGAACCTAAGAGCCAAACATGTCGAAGGTAACAACACCTATGGCGTTGATGGAGATACTGGAGAAGTTGTTGATATGAAAGAATATGGTGTGTGGGAGCCTGAGGCAGTCAAATTACAGAGCATCAAAACTGCAGTCGAGGTAAGTGTTTTTTTCAAAATCTTTGTCCCACAACATAATGTCATCTAACGTTCCTTGCTACAGTCCGCATGCATGTTACTTCGAGTCGATGATATCTGTAGTGCCAAAACTCTGAAGCAAGCGGCGAATGTTGGCGGTGGTGATGAATAAATGACTTAGAGCTTTTAACCTTTGGATGAATCTTTTCCCACCTCACGCAAATCATTCAACAGCATCTAGACCTGTATGATAAGCGAAAAATTAATTAAATACAAATACAAATAAAAGCAGCTATGTGGGTATCATATTATCTTTTCCTTATCACCTAATTCGTAGCATCGCGTTGGACTGCAATTCCTACTTCCTGTCTCTTCCAAGGCAACCGAATGAAATAATGTAACCCCAAGATCAATCAGTCATCATCGTGAATTATAACACCAAGTTCTTCCCTAGGTCCATCTGTAGCGTTCTCCGTTCCAGACACCTTATTCTCATTCCCATCCGCGCCTCCATTGGCATTCCTCTCGCCATTCCGCTCCCGTGGCATCTCAGCATCAGGACCGGCAGCCGAAGGGGCCGCAGCACCTTTTTTCTCCTTCGCCTTCTTCTTCTTCTCCCTTTTTCTCCGATTTTTCTCCGTTCTCTCCTCATCCTTACGTCTAGCCTCCTCCATTCTCCGCTCGAACATCTCATCCGCTTGCTCCATCTTCAATTCGTGCTCCATGAGCTTTAGGCGTTCATATTCCCTTCTTCGACTGGCTTTGTAGACGTGGAACTCTCCAGAACCCGCACCAGCCGAGGAGCCCTGAACGTTAGCGACTATTTCAGGCGGTGGCGCTAGGGACGCGCTTGTGCGTGGTTTGGAGGGGGCAGGTATATGGATGTCCTTTGAGGGGTCTTTGAAGAGAGACTGGATTTGGGTAGCTTGTTCAGAGACGGGGGTGAGCGCGCGGCGTTTTAGGGGCCGCTTGCTGCGCGGATCTTGACTGGTCGGGATGGATTCGGGAATGGGTTCGGACATTCTGAGAGTGTTGTACGGGTAGTCGTGGGAGGCCCGAACTAATCGGAGGGGAACCGTAGTTTGAGTTGCGCCGCGTAGGCTCTGGGGGTGAGAGTTTGCCAAAAGATTGCGAAAAAGCGGGAACTGTAAATTAAGCTAGATCATTTATTTGTCGCTTGACAGAGCTGCGTTAAATGTGGTCAGGGTAGATGAAGATACCGATCTTGAGTGATAGACGGGAAATTTTTGAAGTCCCAAAATTTAGAGTTCGCCGTTCAAATCGGGTTTAGCGTTATATAGCTATTCTCAAATAGCTGCACAATTATTTAAACAAAACGCAAATAATACCTAGGTATGATGAGGCATTTAAGGTCTTCATTCCAGGGAAAAGGGAACCATTTGATTTAAATTATCAGGAGGGTGCCGTGGCGTTAGTTACTAATAATTCCCTTAAAAATGCGGGCGGGCTCTTATCGGCAAACTTTGGAATGACGTTGCCTCGCTCCCACGACAGCTTATTTAACACCCAAAAGGTTGTCCAGCGCCGCACCGTTCATGGATCAACATTGGCATCTCTCTTGTTAAAAATAAAATAGAAAATAGAAAATAGAGAGGAAGTGCATTGGATTTGATAAAATTATCTCGTCTCCGGTGGTCTTCCGTGGTGGATTCGATTCGGCCTTTCTACACCATTTACCGTTCAGCGATGCCGACATATCGGATTGGTATGTGTCTTCAACCTTCAACTCCTCCAATTTTATTTTCGTTAATATGCAGAACTACGGAAGGTATCTATCTGCCATGGTAGACATAGCTAACCTCTTTCCTCATTAAATCAGAGGAGGCCAGCACGAGCAGGGCCGGGTGCAAGAACAAAGAATGCCAGGAGAAAAAAGAGAAGATCTTGAAGGGAGAATTACGCCTCGGTACTTGGGTTGACACTGAGAACTTTCAGAGCTGGGCTTGGAAACACTGGTAACCCTCTCTTAGCTTTTGATGCATGATTTTTCTGACCCTCCCTCAACAGGGGCTGTGTCACTCCACGACAGATTGCAAGCATCCAAGAGATAGTGGGCGATGAAAGGGACTGTACTCTGATCGACGGATATGATGAAATTTCCGTCGACAATCAAGAAAAATTCCGTGAAGCTGTTGCGCAAGGACATGTGTCTGACACAGATTGGAAGGGGGTAAGTTGATATAGCTGGACCTTTACTCTACGAAAATGGATCACTTATACAAATGTATTGAATTTATCAAGGACGTGGAAGTGAATCGCCCGGGAAAATCCGGATTCCGGGTTCGAGTTTCCAAGGAGAAAAAGGATACCTACGTGAGTACTCATCTATGCCATTACCAGCCCGTTTAATGGTTTACTGATCCTGTTGCGTTAAAGGACGATGCTCCTCAGAAGGGTAATCGCACCGGGAGAAAAAGGGCTGTTGAAGAGTTGAGCGAGGAAGAAGCTGAGCCAGCTCCAAAGAAAGCGAAGACAGCTAAAGCGGAAAAGGCTGCAAAGACTGCAAAACCTCCCAAGCGCAAGAGCATCGCTGCGGATGCGGGTGGGGTGGATGACAGCAAAACCGAGCAACTCACGAGCCCTAGGGGAAAGCCGACCAAAGGACGAAAGAAGAAAGGTACGGACGAAGCTCCCGCTAAAGAGGAAACTTCCCCTACATCAAAGGCTCGAGGTCGACGGCTTAAACCCAAAACATCTAAGGCTGTAGAAGTTGAAAATTCCATAGCCCCTGACACCACCTCAGTAGAGGCTGCCGGGGAGACTGTTAGGAAGAATACCAGAAGGACCCGTTCTGGACGAAAGACTGGTTAGTATTAGGCGACCGATTCGATTTTATCTTGTCGTTAACCCTACCGTCTACTACTTTTGGTTCGGCATGGTGAATGGTTCGGATTGCCATATCGGCATTTTTATTCTGGTTGGAAATCTTGTCATTACTCAGCCGTCTGTTCGAGTTTCGCTGATTTCCTCGGACATTTGCAATCTTAATTCTGCCAATGAACTTCTGCTATACAACTCTATCATGAGTTGAGGTTTCCCATCAAGTTTTCCGCCGCCATGCTGTGTGTTTATATCATTGTTACCATTTTACCTTCCAACGAAGAGACCTAGCGCTGTTCTATTGTGTCACTACCGAGACATCTTTCATTGCGTCATCGGATATGCCATTATGTGGTAATTTCCAGTTTGTTTCATTCCTGGTGCATTCCGATGGAAGAAAGATCCCTTTTCTGCTGTAGTAATATTACTGCAAATATTGTGTGTCTAATACCACATAATGTCTCATTCCTTATTTCCTAATGTTAGCAGGTACTCTATTTTATGAAGATTTCTAATTTGCATCTGGATGCGCACAAGTTCACGGAAGGAATTACAGTCCTTATGATCCGCCAGGACCGCTTGGTTAAACTGTACAGCAACTATATTCCACCGTGGCATGTCGGGAACCCGATATTGAGGTGGTATCTTTGCCCGTCCACATCTCAAGTCCACTGCAGGAGCCCCTGGATGACTAAACCACAACGTCCTCGCGTTTATTTACTGCCTCCATGGACAATTACAACCTCAATCACAGAATAATACACCAACACAACACGTTTCTGGCTTGCCTCTAAATCACTCCTGTTCGGTCGCGCAGCCCAATGCAATAAATAGTGAAGTCTCCTGAAATTTACATCTATATGCTCTCTAGCCAATGTTGCCCTCCTTTTCTTGCTGCTCTGCCCTGAGTGTTGCTTTTTACTTTTCACTCTCGTTCCATTGTCTTCTTGAATCCTAAACACATGCCTTCACCTTAAGCTGATGTTAATTATTTCTCTTTTCCTCTCCAGAACCAGATAAACTTCACTATCTCAGCTCTAACTTGTGCGACCCACAAGGAGCCCCAATTACTTCGCGGTGACGCGCCTTCCAGAACGACTTTTACAGCTACACATTTGTCCTCACCAGTCCTTTTGTTTTGAGTTGTTGAATGGTTCTCTTTGGATAGCTTGATCATGCATACACTTTCGATATCTCCTGAGGACACGAATGTCAAAGCCCATGTTTTGCCAAAATCACTCAAAGTCAGCAATCTGAAAAGCAGCGAGCCCCAACCTGTTTCTGCATCGACCAACTACCTGTCTCTTGCGCCGCGTAGTACGCCTATAGATGGAAGACATTTTGAGAATGATGGCCCCGGCCATCTTGCTAATGCTGGGGCTAGGCATGACAACGATTTTGTCAGAATTAGGAACATACACATCCTTCCGACTGCGGATGAAATATTGTCCCAGCGCGGCCCATATATGCCGTTTAAACCGTTTAACCAACCCCATTTTCTTCCCCGAGGGCCAGAGCGCCTAATTGATACGTTGTTTCGCCACCTAAGATACGAAAATGTGGAGGGACTAAAGGATTGTGTCTATGTCGCAGCGCAAAAGTTACTGACAATTAGCAGTCACGGTTCTGATTATGAACCATGTGAGGATACTCCAAACGGTAACCGATGCTACTTGTTCTGGGAAGCTGAGTTCGAAGAGCTTCTTTTCCATGACCGCCAAGGGCTCATGGTCCGCATTAGTTACCTATGCCCGAAAAAGCTACGTGGACGAAAAATATTTAATTCCGGAAGGTTCGAAAACGGGATGGTTGTGGCTCTAGTTGGGCTTGATAACGAGGGAAATGAATTATCTGTGGTTTTTTTCGAGGCTTACTTGAGTCAAAGCACCGATTCTATGGTTTCGCGCGGTGGAAAGGGTGTCAGAGGTAATGTGAACAATGTCCCCTCTACTATCAATAAATGCTGACAATTCCAAAGCCGCCGTTCAGCTACGTTTTGCTCAGCCAGAAAATATCGATGACTTACGGCGAACTGTGCGTTACTCTCAAGGGCTTGCTAGTGGTCGCTTCGTTCTTGTCGACTTTCCAAGGCGACTACTAAATGGTTTCTACCCAGTTCTAAACCGGCTTCAACAGTTACAAAGGTCAGATTTAGCGTTCACTCGGTACTATGCTCCGAGAAGAGAATCAGAGGAAAATGTTGGCCTTCTACCTCCGTCGTATTCAATACTTGAAGGAGCGGTGATAGATTTTAAAAATCCAAGCCAGGACGCAATCTGCCGGGGAAAGCCACTACGAGACCTTATTGCAGATAAAAGTGAATTTCTCCAATTTCTCAAGGAAGGTACTGGGCTCGACGAAGGCCAGGCTATCGCATTTGTGGAAGCCATGAATAGGGAACTTGCATTGGTTCAAGGCCCTCCAGGTACTGGAAAAACCTATTTGGGTTCTACTCTTGTACAAGCGATACTCTCCGCAGTGGGCTCCTCTCAAACACCTATCTTGGTTGTCTGTTTAACGAATCACGCTCTTGATGCTTTTCTGAAAGAGCTCCTTGAGAAAGGTGTAAGGAAGATAGCTCGAATTGGGGGTGGAAGCAGGGAAGATTGGACGAAAAAGTACAATTTGAAATCTCTTGTATCTTCAACCAAACTTAGGCAAATTGAGAGACATACTAGGGCGAAGGAGTACGGAGCAGCCAAAGGTATATTTGCTTATATACTTCCCCTAGCCTATCAATGCTCCAACAATCCATTTGCTTTTGCTAACCAGCATCTAGACCTTGCCATTGACGGATCAGACATCTGCGAAGCTACCAATGCCCCAAACAAATTAGGATGGTACACAGTATCCAAACATCTACGTGACAACTACAAGGATGTATACCGCCAGTTCATGCTTGCAGCGAGGACTGATGACCCACTGCAAAGCATGGGTATACATAAGAGAATAGGCGGATTCCCGTATGCGCTTTGGAGTTCCGGGGGAGACCTGGAGGTCTTGGCTGAAAGCGTGAGCGGAGATTTTGCCATGTTCCTAGGGAGAAACAGCATTGAAGGAAACGATCGGCAGATCGACCTTGGAATATTCTACCATGTATTGCGGGATGTATTATCCCAAATGCGACAGAACAGTTGCGATGCCATGGAAAATATTTGGATGCTTTCACATCGAGAGAGGTGCGAACTAATGGCAAAATGGGCTTCTGAGATTGATCATGAGGCGACTGCAAAGGATATTGTCAACATTCATCTCCAACACCAAGCCGCAGTGTCTCGGCTGCGGCTTGTTCGTGAGGAAATTGAGGCGCGCTGTCTTTCTATGCAGGAAGTTGTGGGATTGACCACCACGGCATGCGCTTCCAAATGGTCCCTTCTACAACGCTTGAGATTACGAGTTGTCATTTGCGAGGAAGCTGGGGAAGTTATGGAAGCACATAGTCTTTGCACCTTGCTACCTTCTGTAGAGCATGCTATTTTCATTGGCGACCCGCTTCAACTTCGGTAAGTGACCCCTATCCCGGCGTAATACTATAATAACTGATACAGTGTGCTAGGCCTCAACTCGTAGAACAATCTCTGTCCTTAGAAACAAAAACTGGGTCCCTGTATCGACTGGACGAATCTCTTTTTGAGAGGCTGACGAATAGCAAGTCTGGGATTAAGACGCTACCACATTCGATTCTAAGTGTCCAGCGCAGAATGCATCCAGATATATCACAGATTGCTAAAAGCACACTCTATCCACGGCTACTGGATCACCCCTCGACCAAGCTACACTCTGCTGTTGGCGGGCTGAGAGATAGAACCTATTGGTTCGATCATAGGATTCCCGAGGACCAGTGTTTTGGATTTTCTAGCGCAACAAAATCGTTTTCAAATAGATTTGAAGTTGAAATGGTTTCAGGATTGGTTCAATATTTGGTCCAGAGCAATGTATATGGGCTAGGTGACATAGCAGTTCTAGTAAGTGAGCTTCTCAACGGTCAGTATCACGCTAACTCTGATAGACACCGTACAGCGGCCAGCTAGCGCAATTAATCCAAAGTTTGCATCGTTCATGTAGCCTGTGGCTCAGTGAAAGTGATAAGGAAGCTCTTCTCGAGGGTTTCCTCACGGATAAGGAACTGGAATCGCCAGGGCCGGTGGACTTGGATATGGCCGGAATGTTGCGCATATCAACCATGTAAGGTTTTCCAGACTCCGTTGATGTTGTTTCGTAGCCTGATGTCCGCAGTGATAACTTCCAAGGCGAGGAGGCTAAAGTGGTTATTTTGACTACGGTGAGGAGCAACCCTGAATGCCGTCCTGGGTTTTTGAAAACGATAAATCGGATCAACGTGGCATGCAGTAGAGCCCGTGATGGATTCTATATTTTTGGAAACTCGCAATCGCTACAGATCGTTCCCATGTGGAATGATATTATGTGAGTTCCTCGCTAGTTCAGTTCTCTTGGTGTCACAACATTCTAACTATATTTGTGCCGTTTTCCGCGTAGACAACTATTCCGCTCTCAAAATAGACTTGGGATGACTCTTAAAATACGGTCATGTTCTCAAAATCTGAGCCATGATCCTGGTTACTTTCCCGTTCAGCAACCAGAAGATTTCGCCAAAATCCCTCCTTGCCAGGCGCGATGCAACCAACTTCTCCCCTGTGGACACATTTGTACTCAAAGGTACGGACGGAAGAGAGCGAAATGCCACAAATCCTTTTCCAATGCTAACGCAAGGTAGCTGCCACCCGCTCGAGCTCCATGCGTCTTCTATTATGAAATGTGAAGCAAAATGCAATAAAGTCCATGAAACATGCAAACACCCATGCACGAAGGCGTGCTGGGAACCCTGTGGATCTTGCATTGCCTCATCAAGCAAAAGGAGTCTTCGTTGCCGACATGATATAATGATTCCCTGTGCAGAACAGAAGTCCAACATTCCTCCATTATGCCAAATTGTTGTTGAAGAGTTAACACTACGCTGTGGACACAAGTTTTTGGTTATCTGTGGTTTTAGAGACCAGGAGCCTTTATGCTCAGAGGCTTGCGATTTCATTCTCGACTGTGGTCATCGGTGTGTAGGGGTATGTGAAACTTGCCACAAAACAGGGCATGCTCCATGTGCTCAAAAATGTGGCAAGAAGCTAGGGTGCCATCACAACTGTGATGCGGGGTGAGTTGGCCCTCGACTCGCCATTTTCTATGCTTTTTTATCTGATTCAAGACTTCAGGTGCCATGAGAATGAATCATGTCCCCCTTGCCAGCAACCATGTCAGGAGCGATGCTCCCATGGCAGGTGTAGAGGTAAATGCAACGAGCCATGTCAGCCATGTCTTCGAGTAACGAACACCAGCGAATGTTGTAGCAATAATGGCCTTTATATATGTGCACTCGATGTCATAATCAACAGGAACCCGCAGAAACTTACAAGCACTGTTGATTGCCTCATCATGAATGTTGGGAGAAAGTACCACATGTTGGGGAAACGACTGCAACACTCCGATATAATGCTCCGTGAAACATCTAAACTGTTTCGCAGCCAAATCCGTCCTAGTCCCTTGTCTGCAGGACATAACCGACGCGTGATTCAAGAACGCGGCTCAGGAATTGCCGAAGTCCAAGCCCATGTCCTAGAAATCAAAGGTATTGTTGTGCTCTATATGGTAATCATATCGACCTTTTTGCTGACGGCCCTAAAGAACAGCTTGTCATACCACTAGAAGCAGACCTAAGGCACCTTCAAGAACAGCTTCAAATTCCTAAAACCAACTCTCCATTCGGTTTACGATTCGTTCTTCTCTTCTATCGATGTCGCTACACATCCCTTGTAGACCTGCTAAAAACATCCGAATTCTTGCTAACACTCGATGACCCGTCATGCCAGTGCAGGATTCTTGCCGAGTCCATTCGTCGCACCGTCATTATACACAGTAACAGAAATACCAGCAGCCTCAATAATTCAATAATTGAATGCGAATCCAAGTCTCTAAATACGTTGGAGGTTGAAACACGCCTTTTACAGCTGGGATTCTACTCTCTGGCCAAGAGAGCTGTCAAACTAAATTGTGCACGAGGTAGGGATATCGCGGACGAAGCAAGGGGCTTTAGTGGAGATGTGCCAGATGACACCGCTATTCGTGAAAATTTTAGTGGACTGGGTCCATTCAAGCTAGATCTTGACCTGACGATACAGCGCATGGCGACGTTATGCCGTCGTTATCCAAAATCGGCAGGGTTGTATGTCAAGCTGGTTGATTCAACGAAGCACGCAATATATTCAAATCACAAGCTGCCCTATCTATTTCCGGCTGAAACCGGATCTGTGGAGCGAGCCTGGGGAAGTCCTGAGTGCAGCAAACTCGTCAAGTGTGTCAATCATCATGTGTACCCGGCTGACAGTTTCGATGATTGTCCTGAGTGTGGAAAAGAGGTGGTAGGGAGCGACGAAGTGAATTATGAGCAATTTCTCTCCGAAACCGAGTTCTTATCATTGATGCGAACTCAGAACCATACCGAGTAGGAGGGTATCCAGCTAAATTAATATAACTGATCGATAGCTAAAATGCAAAGTAATCAAATGGTGTATGTATTCTTTCTTTCTCAGTCCAGGCTATCATAACCATTGATTGGACTTTCGATGGCATGATTCTAAACTTTGAAAATAACCCAGAAAGGATGTTGATACCTTACAGGCCATTAAGTCTAGCCAAGGACGGGTCAAAAAGTCAGTTGGCCGTATCTGAGCTTTCTTCCTCGTGTCTACGTAAGTAAGTAACTATGTCAGTAGCTCGATGCCTTGACATCCTATCCACAATTCTGGCGGCTTCCAGCGATGCGATTGTTGCCCTGGCAACGGTTTAATTACCCCTACCAGTCCGGTCCGCACCGATTTTCCGACACACAAAGACAACAAACGATCACAGACAGCAACCACAGTCGCAGTTTACTTCTATATCAGATTCCTTTTCGCTGTTGGTTAATCATAATTTACAAAGTCCTAATTATTTAGCTTAGTGTGTCTAAAATCGATAACATGGAATCTGGCCCGAAGCCCTCCACTGGGCAAACATCACTCTTTCAGGTTTATCTGCGGCTTCGGCCACCAATGAACAAGAAAGAAGCGACCCAGATACCAAAGCAGGAATACCTCACAGTTGAGCGCCCAGAGCCCCAATTGTCTGAAGACGATGGAAACCAACGTCCCGTCTGGCCTACTCATATCACGCTGCAGCCACCAAACGATTCGAGAAAACGAGCAGTTGAGAAGTTCGGGTTCACAAAAGTTTTTGAAGAGAATGCCTCTCAGCTAGAGCTTTTTGAAGAAATTGGGATGCCCAGTTTGATAAAAGGTGTTCTTTGTGATGGTAGAGATGGCCTGGTTGCTACCTTGGGAGTCACTGGGAGTGGAAAGGTTTGATGTCTCTTGTCTCATCTCTTATTGACTTCATGAATATTTTGAGAATCGACGAGCAAGTGAAAAGCCCGCAAGCTTACTTCTCTGTCTCAGACACACACTATCCTTGGGTCGAAATCGCAGCGCGGAATAACGCAGATGTCACTCGATGTCCTCTTCCGTTCCCTTTCGTCAACGGTTCAGAATTTGGATAACCAAGATAACCCCCTATTGCTATCGTCCATTGCGGATTCCGACCCATCTGAAGCACAGCTCTTTACTGCGAGATCCTTTATCGAAATGATTTATAGTGATCCATGGAACGAACGAGGTCGAGGGTCCAGGGCTCAGACCCCGATGTCTGTTGTGTCGAGGTGTCAAACCCCTATGACGGTACGGAGCCCTTCTAATTTCCCTTGTCCTATTTTACATGCGGACTCTTTTTCAACCGGCCCATTTCTGGGAAGATTCATTCCAAGCACCCCAAAACATACCCATAGACAAGGCTCATGCACGTCAACAGTTCGACTTGTCTCCCCAACAATGGAATCAGTTGACGGTCATGGCAGTAGCTGGGTTTCTCCAAATAAAACCCTAAATCCTTCCCAATTACCTTTTTGGAACCGCCCTAAAATTTCAAAACATGTAGCTAAGATTGCCTCTCAAAACAAACAGGATTCGATGTCTACTATAAATTTCCCTCGACGTCATTTGCCTCACCGGCCGAGTACGCTCCCTCAATCGCCGGACGTGAGCGAATTCGTGATTCCTAATCCGAGCGAAGGGGAGACTGTGGTATTGGTATCGATGTACGAAGTATATAATGATCGAATTTTTGATCTCCTTACTCCCTTAAGTTCAAGAACCAGTTGTCGACCCGCAATGAACCAGAAGGAAAGGCGTCGGCATTTACTATTTAAACCTACAGAAGCTTCACCGGATCGCAAAGTTGTAGCTGGTTTGAGGAAGGTTATTTGCGGCACTTACGAAGAAGCCTTGATGGTCTTGGAGACTGGCTTGCTGGAGCGAAAAGTGACTGGAACAGGAAGTAATAGTGTCAGCTCACGAAGCCATGGGTTCTTCTGTGTTGAAGTGAAACGAAGAGTCCGAGATAGGAGGTTTGGTGAAGAATCCTGGATTGGAAATACGCTGACTGTGGTTGATCTTGCTGGTAAGAACTACGCATGGATCATTATCCTGAGACAACCTATACTTATTATCTGTGCGTAGGCTCTGAGCGCGCTAGAAATGCGAAAACTGCGGGAGCAACACTTGCAGAAGCTGGGAAAATTAACGAGAGTTTGATGTATCTGGGTCAATGTCTCCAAACGCAGAGTGATTTCCAGGACGGAAATAAGGTATGTACCTCGAAATTACTAGCCATTCGCAAAAATTTGCTAAATACCTATTAGAATGCGCTGGTACCCTACAGACAATGCAAACTCACCGAACTCTTATTCTCTAACTCGTTCCCTTCGCCGAACCACGGGACTTCATATCCGAGACACCCACAAAGAGCCCTTATGATTGTGACTGCAGACGCACAGGGTGACTTTAACGCTACCTCTCAGATCTTGCGCTATTCTGCATTGGCTCGCGAGGTCACCGTGCCTCGCATACCCTCCGTCACAAGCACAATCTTGGCTAACACGGGGTGTGGAAGGAAGAGTCCAACTTATGCTCACGCTAACAAGTCCAAATCCAGCCTGTATTGTGCTTCAGCGGAAGAGTTAGAGACTGCAGCGTTGGAAATTGCAAAAATTAGTGATGACTACGATGCCTTGGCCGTAAAACTGGCGGAGGAAGAAATTGCGAGAGCAGAAGCTGAGTTCCACTGGAGAGCAGCCGAGGAAAGGTGCATGTTGATCGAACAGGAGGTACGGGAAGAATGTTGGCAGGAGATGGAGCAGCGGCTTGAGGAAGAGAAGCGACGATGGCAAGCGGCCTGGGGTGAACAGGTAAATATTGTTATTAAACTAAACACTAAACATGGTACACCCAAGCTAACCGGAATACAGGAATCACGTCATGATGAGCACCTGGATAAAAAATTAGACTTACTGTCAAGGGGCGTAAGGAGTACGTGCTCCCAACCACGTCTACTTTCTTTTTTATTATTCTGCGGTAACTCGGCTAACTCCTGTAATTTAATATAGTCCACGAAGACCCGCAAACATCTTCAGAACATCGAATAATCGCATTAGAACGAGATAATGATAATCTACGAAAGAGAGTCGCCAGCCTCGAACGTGAATTGCATTCCCGCTCTCCAACGAAAAAAGCAACAAAATCCAAGAAAAATCTCATGCCCCAGCAGCGGCAGGATTCGCTCGATTATAGCTATGCAAGTTGTGAGAGTGACGTTGAGAACTCGCTCATGAAACTCCAATATCTTAAACTAGATTCTGACGTTAAGCGAAGCCCTGGGCCAATATCTGTGTCGAAGAAATTGACAGGCGGGAGAAGACAACGCATGATGACGGCGAGACAACGGGATTTTGCTCCAGAGAGTGTTTTGGATGAATTGGAGTGAAAAATTGACAAGCTACATATGTTTATGTTGTTACCGTGATACCCCTGATGTTGTCCTATATGAATAATAGTTTGTTTGGCTGTACATACATGGTGTGTTGAGAAACCGATATTTCCAAACTCCCTGAAATTTTCGGATTTCAGCAGCAGCTTTTTTCCCTTAGATGGTTGGGTGCCGTGAGTTTTTGGGACCGCGAAACAGGAAGGGCGTTACTAAGATTAAATATCTATTTGCTAATTTGAGTGCTCGTTTCTTTTTCCGCTAAGAATAGCCCCCTAATGTAAAGTGTCAGGTCACGTGATCTGGCTTACTAATCCCTCCACCATATAACTTTCCACAAAGCTAGCAACCTTTCAATCACACAAGCTTTACACCTTCCACAGGTTATGAGACCCGTTTTGCGCAAAAATCGCTGCCAATTCGGGATTCCTTGTCAATATACTCATTATTTGAACTACTGCTTCATTCGATACGCCCATCAGGAGTTAAAATCGTCTTATTCTATCAGTATTGATGCGTTTGAGATCTTGATGATCAATAATACTACTGCTCGCTTAAAAAAGAGGCTTGCAGAAAACGCACCACATTTGCAAAAAAAAAAAAGCAAGAAAAAGAGAACGATATTGGCAAGGATCCAATAAACGAATATCAAGATGGCGGATTCAATACGATCTCGCCCACATACACGTTCGCGATCTCGCGTCCTTTCCACTGGATCAGTTGCAGTTGATGATGATGATGATTCTTCACACTCACGCTCTGCCAGTGGACATCCTCCTGGAGCCTTTGAAAGCTCCATTGATGAAAGCTCCATTGTCGAAACACCCTCTCGATTCGAAGCTGGTTTGAATACAGCTCCTGACACGGTCAGGCCGGCCCCCCGATCTACTCGACAGCTTGATGAAGCTGGTTCTCTTGATGAGAATATTGGACACTCAGATGTCTACCGTTCGGGCGAGGCAATATCAGACCAACAGATGGAGCATCTCAAGATGACACTTGAGATGAACAAGGGGAAGCAAAGAGTCCTAGAACTCGAACTACAACTGGAAAAACTCCGTCAACAGAGATCCTCATCCTCCACAGATCGATCACAGGATGTCAACAATCATCCTGCCACCACATCAACAGCCACATGGAATCCTAATCTCGGTGAAAGGTTGGAATTCAACCTTTATGAACCGGATAGCCGTGTTGGCAAGGCAATCTCCCAATTCAAGGAAGATGTCAAGAATACTGTGAGACCAAACAGTCTAACTGGCACATCCAATTACACCATATGGAGCATCTTCATGAAATCGAAACTGGTTGATGCACAGTGTTGGTATATGATAGAGAAACAACAGACCCAGAACCCTCTACAAAGAGATGATGAATGGGCACCATTCTGGGACGCCAGAAACCGGTGGCTCTACACATTCATCTCGAACTCCTTGGGTGCAGGTGTCAGATCACGTTTCTCCAAGTATGATGAAAATCGGATCGCTTATACTCTATGGAATGCGATCGAACAGGAATACTCTGTCCCCAAAACACAGTTACGCCGTGAGGCAGTTCTGGAATTCATGTCTCTTGGTGGCACACAGGTCACCAATCTACACACATTCTTTGATAAGTTCCGGTCCGCCATCACGAAATTGGAGATGTTGGATGCTTCCCCCCCAGATGCATGGATATTTGATACCTTCTACTCAGTTCTACCCAACAATTGGAGGAATTACGTTCAGAAGAAGATAGAGGAGATACAGGATTCCAAATCCACAGCTGTGGTATTGGATGTTGATCTTCTCATGGAGGAAATCCGTTCGCGGCTTGATCCTCCAAAAGATAAAAAGAATCTGCAGAATATAGATTCTGCGGCCAACACAGCTACGACAGCTACAACGGCCACAACGACTACCAACACCAATACATCGAATTCGGCCCGTGGAGGCCGTACTGGACGTGGTCATGGTAGTACACAAGGGGGCTCCCGAAACCATCGGGGATCGGGAAATCCACCTACATGTCCTGAATGCGAGAGATCTCACTTTGGCAACTGTTGGTTGGCCAATCCAGACAGTGCTCCAGATAATTGGAGGATCTACAACGCTGCGAGGATAAAGGAATTCAAAGAAAAGAAGGAAAAGAACAATAGTGGGGGTGGAACCCAACTATCCATTACAGATGGATCAGACACCTATCAGATGGCAAACCTCGCAGAGGTTATCAATGTGCCAGCCTGTTTTGTGGAACCCCACAAGGATCCCTCCAACGGGCGTTTATACATATCAAAAGACGTCATCTTCCAGGAGGACCTCCATCTTGCCGATCCATCGATACCGACTACTCCACACAACCCGAAGGTCCTACTCAATGCGGCCCGTAAGGCGGCTGCGGCGATTCCTTCGGCGACACCAGGCCTACCGACTGCGGCCCGTAAAGAGACTGCAGCGATTCCTGATCCATCAATTGATAATCTATTCATTGATGAGGAAATTCGACCTGAGTGTCCATTATTTCTCGTACCCACTAATAATTGGTGGATTGACTATGATATCTCCGCGAGAATACCTACCCTTTTAGTGCAGAATACACTGAACTCCCCGGAACCCACAGTTGAATCTGATGACCCTCCGACATCTACAAGGGATATCACTATAGTGGGGGAATCAACAGTGGGGGAATCTTCAGTGGGGGACAGTCTTGAAGACCTACCCACCGATCCCGAGATCGCTGCACTCCCGATCCCGAAAAACCTCACGCGCGCCAAAGCTTCCATGGAATGGAAGTATTATTACAAGGCCCGTGTTAAAGAGGTCAACCGTTTGAAATATACGCGTTGGAAAGAGAATATATAAAGAAGATAGGGGGATAGGGGGATAAAAAATGATGTATATCATGACTGGTTTTTCATTACTTCACATTTTCCAGTCATTTTTTGTACCTGTACTTGATTTGAAGGCGAATTTTGTATATAGCATCGTGTATAGTTACTCTGGTGAGTGGGGGTGTCAGGTCACGTGATCTGGCTTACTAATCCCTCCACCATATAACTTTCCACAAAGCTAGCAACCTTTCAATCACACAAGCTTTACACCTTCCACATAAAGAACTAGGTGTGATTTTAACTTGCTTCCGCGTAGATTCCACCAGAGCAGAGGAAAAAAAGGGATGGTTTAATTATCTGGCTACCAAGCCATTGCATTATCAGAAATAATAGAAAATAACATGAAGTTGACTAGACCTGGTTGGTTCATAATACCGCAACCAGTACGACTTCAAACCGCGGACGCCATACCCACCCCCGATATCCGTTTGCCGTCCGAGAAGAAACCATAAACGATATTACATCCACAGAATAGTCTTATGATAAATAAACCGTTCAAATCATCAAAGGCTAATCGTTAATACAGAGGCCAAGAAGTTACTGGAAGCAATTTAGAAACAAAAATAGCAAATAATCCGATTCAAAGAGGGAATTAAGCATCCCCCTCCATGTCCACGTCTAAAGGCTCTACCTCCGTAGGTTCAAGTTCCGATTTCGCATCCTGTGCCGAAGCAGCAGGACCCGACTCGACCTCTGCGCCATCAGCAACGCTGACATTCGTCGATGGGTCGTCCGACCCAGGCTTTGGAGACATAACCCTCTTGATCAATGCATTCGAAAATGAAGCTTGGGCGGGGGCAGTTCCCGTAGCCGCTGCTTCATCGTGTTCTTCTAATATCTTCTCCTCGTCGATTTCGCTAAGTTCGCTCTCATTATCGGCGCTGTCATGAACGCTGCCCGGAACACTGCTTTGGATGCCCGAGGCTTCCTCTTTGCTGGGTAGCAACGGTATTGCGACTTCGATAGTTCCTTGTGGCTTGGAAGTAGAGGTCTCCTCATCCGCTTGACGCACGGGGGGCTTCGGTGCTGGTTTCGGCGCCAGGGCTCTTGTGGCGATTGCTTCGGCTTTACGTTGGAGCTCTTTACGCGATACTCCCTTGAACCGCGGTTTGGGACCGGGCTGAGCGTGAGTGGAGGAAACCGGTGGTGTTTGAGTACCATCTGGACCATCGCTGGCCACAAGGAGATGGTCTACCTTCATCCGTTCGCGGCTCTCTTCTTCAGTTACTTGCTCGATGAATTTGGGTACATTACTCTGGTAGAGAACAGCGTAGGTATCGGCGACAAGGTCTTCGAATATAGCAGGTTTCATGAGGCCGTTGTTCAATTTTTTCAGCTCAACGGCATCTTTGAGAAAATCTACCAGATGGGTCTCCGTGGAATGGTGCTGGCACCAGTCTTCCAGGCGCGTGCAGTATATGGCGAACTCGTCGTGGCTGACGGGTTTGAAAACAGTGTCTTCATGCCCTTCTGGAATCTCGCCGACGCGGCGGAAAAGCTGGAAGGAGAGGTTAGTTTTTGCAATTAGATCAAGTAGGACGTGTACTTGGTTACCTACTTTGATATAAGTTAAGCACATATCTTCCCATAGCTTAGAATGGTTGACATAGTCGTTTGGTTTCCTTCGTACGCGCCGAATGAGCATATCCAAGCTTGCTCGATCATTCAGCTGATTTAAAAGGCCGACGAAAAAGTACACATATCGAGTTGTATAAACAAAGTGTCTTCCTGCACGCTCGTTTTCCGGTCTCCAAACTTGAAGTGTCATGGTTTTAGTGAATATCTGCTGCGAAACCTCAGATTTAGCTGCCAAGGCAGATGCATCGTCCTTTGAATCATCATAGATTATATGCGCGGCCTGGTCACAGTTAGCAAAGAGAGCGTTGTTGGCTAGAAAGGGAGAGAGACTAACCCGCAAGACAATACGATGATGCCAGTTCGACTTGTCCGCGTTCCGAAGGTTTCTTAATACCTCCAGGATGTAGGGCTTCCATTCAGCGTTATTCAGGCTGACTTTCCGCGCATAGGGCGTCGCAAGAAGTCGGTCCCTTGCACTCTCAGGCTTTACACAATTAGTACAAAATACATTATAGCCATACGTTACTAAGGAACAAACCTTCAAGAGTCCTCTATGAACGAGCTTGTGGGAAATAGATACGAGCTTGTAATGAGGTTCAAGGACTGGATCTGATCGACTGTCCCTTCTCGATGGCAATGCTTCGATTGCATCAACTAATGAATCTAGTACTTCGTCAACTTCCACGGGGGAGTGTTGTCCCCGTGTGGCAGCATCGCAGCAGAGCATTTTCCAGAGACATTTGCTGAACATGTAATAGTTCCTATATGCACGCATTAAGTGTTTGATTCCCTAAATAGGGTAATGGGCCTACATACTTCCAATAATTAGGCCGCTCATCCATCGCTCGTCGAAAAAGGTAGCTTGCAAAGTTCCATGCTGAATACTTGTTCATTTCTGGGAATGGCTTTGCCTTGTACATTTGTTGGTTTTCGCCGCTGCTGTAATGCCTCGTAAATTCAGACAAACTAAAAGCTTCCATGGACAGAGGCTCTGTCGCTGATGCATATATCCGAAATCCAAATTCGGTATAGAGGTCAGATATCTTTCTTTTCGTTTCAGGTGACGAGTCGGCTGTTCGTACAGCAGCCGCAATTGCCATGGTGAAACAGTGTATCGCCCTCCGCTGTAAAATTGCTAGGTCTGATCGATTGTTGTTCAACTTGTCGGCAGACCATGCGATATCCTCCTCTAGCTTCAGGTCGTACACTTGAGCTAGGCGGTACCATGTTTCCCATTTGCCTGTGCCATGTTCCAGCTCTTGCCTGAAAAAAGACGCTGCAACATCCAGATCGTCGGTTGGGATTGCAGTTATTCTTTTCTGGGCCCGAAATTTTGACAGGGATATATAGCCGAGGAGATAGTACCAACCTTTATCCGCAAGTTCAAGGCTATCTGTATAAACAGGGACCATTGATACCTCCCCGATTCCTTGAACTGCACGAAACATGTCGGATGGGTTGATCGATGATTTCAGGAAAGCTGATAAAACACGCTTGTTGAAAGTCAGAGGCGTGGAGAACTTGGTGGCCCTGCCAATAGCCATTTGCATGGTGTCTATAGTCGGCCTCAATTCTGACTTGTGCACATCTTTGACATTCATTCTATTGACTTGCGTCATAACAAAATCGATCATCATAACAGCTGAGGCGCGATCCAGTCTTTCAATGGGGCACCCATGATTCGCAATGTCGTCAAGGTTCAAGAACTTTAGACCGTACAGGTCAAATAGAACCTGTGAGACGTCAAATTCATAGCTATCTTCTGTTGGGAGAGTCAACAACTCTTTCTTCATAAGTTTCAGAAGCAGCTTGTGGGAACATTTGCAATAACATCGAATTCCGAGAGCGTTATGGACAGAACGTAGGTAATGAATACGGTCGTCATTAGGGGTGTCAAATAGTTCCTTATTTTGTTCCATGAATTCTCCGAGCAATGCATAGAGCAAAACCCATGCTTTAACTTGCATTCCTCGAAGTTTCTCTTTGAACTGCTCCAAAGTCTTGGCTGTTGATGCTGGCCGTATATCCGGAATGGTAACTTGACCAACGCGAACTGAGTCTTCGAATAGGGCAAAAGAATGGAGCAGTTTGGAAATCCGAACTACAGCAGACATAGAAGACTGTAAATGCGCCACATCAAAACACTCGAACGATTTTTCGGGCTCGTCTGTGACCTTCCCAACCACCTTACTTAGTAAATCGTCAAGAGTTTTAATCCACTTCAACAGTGAAAATTGCCGGAGTCCACTCGACACTTTCAGGTATGAGGGATTTTGAAGCTCTCCAGCAACTATTTCAATACTCCGAAGGTAGCAAGATATGACTTTGGGGAAATATTGAATAGATTCATATGCGTTTCTAAGCTTCCTCCAGAGGAAAAGCCGTAAAGTTGCATCGCCCCGATCTAAAAACGAAATCATGCCCTGGATAGCGGACATTAATGAAGAATTTGCAGATGACTCTGTGCTCTCCATTGGCCTTTTAAACTCATTCCCGGATGGCGAAGCATGAACAAATTCCACAGATGATGGGTCCAGAATAGGTTCAATGCTTTCAATAAGATGAACAGGATCATCGGAATCGGAATTGAAAATATTCGTAAAAAAGTCCATGGAGTTGAGCCTTGAAATCTCTTCATCTATCGCGGAAACAGATATTTCAGGCATTGTTGAATTGTTTAGCAGAGGTATCGATGGGTTTCCAAGGGCGACCAATACACGTCTCAAGTCCTTGAGACAAAGGAAGACATAGTCTCGGGGAACTTCCTCCATCAGGTTAAAGTGGAAAACAGAGGCCCATAAGTGACGAAGTTGAATGGTAATTTGAAGGGTTTTCCCTACACATACATCGTTCTGATAGTTCATAAAAGCGCGTGCAAGAGTGCTCCATCTATTGAGACGATCTCGTTCTTCTAATACTTTTAAGTGATCGCAAGGATCACTGCCAGGTCCGCTAATTGAGGCGTATATATCAAGATGTAGTTCGTAAATGCTTTGCGTTATCTCCGCACAAGCCAAAAGGTGCGGAGACGAAACGTTGCTTGTGGAGTTCAGTATGGCTTGCTCCCAGGCCATTGCAAAGTCGTTAAACTTGGTATAAATGAATTCGTCGTTATTTATGAGGATTTGCATGGCTGTCTCCTTCATATGCCTTGTCCAAAGCCGGTTCGTATAGGTAGAACTTCCCATGTACTGGTTCTCGTCGTCAGATCGCAATTCATGGCCGGGATTAGGCTTCAAGTGCTGTTCCAACCACAGAAATGCGGCCTCACTAGGGCAAATCCATCCACCGTTGATATGCTCCAAAAAAACCGACAGCCCATCGTCCTCTACGAGAGTAATCTCCTTATCGGGATTGGGATGACTTTGTCGAGAATGATCGAGAAATACACTCATTCCCGATCTTTTCGTTCCATTTATGCTGTCGGTCGAATCTGCGGAATAAATATCACTCTGTAAAGCAACTTGAGCTTTTTCATCGTCCCACTTCTCGACTACTTTTCGAAGATCATTATAAAGAGTGCGCTGGGCAATATAGTTTTGGGTGTTGTTTTCCGGAGGCTCCTGATTGCCGTCGAAGCACAAAATCTCTTGCATTTCATCGATCGTTCCCAGATCTTCGACGCCAGCCTTGGACAGCAAAGCTCCCACAACTCCAAACATCCACTGGTCGGCATGTACATACTGTTCTAGGTGTTCCTCAAAATATTTAGCTGCATCGAAAGGTGCGGGCCCCGATGGGGCATGGACTTCGGCATTGGATTCGCGAGCTCGAATGCGACGGCTTTTCATTCTTCCACCATCCGGTTGTTCATCGTTTCCGGCAGATGCAGAAGATCTTTTTCGAGACTGTGATACAGCTGTTGTCTGCTCGAATGCATCCAGCGTTATCTGCGGTGGGTTTTGCTCTGGTTTCTCATCAGATTTTCCCTGAGAGCTTTCAGGGTGAATCTCCGAAGCCTGTTCAGGATGAGGACTTGGTTCTCTATTATCGTCATTAGAGGCGATCGAGGAATGGGCTTTATTAGAACCTTCTGCTGGTAAGTGAAGGACATGCTGAGGCTCCGCATCAGGAAGTTCAATATCCAAATTTGGGTTGGCTCCATCCCCACGTTTGTCATGTACGGAGTTTTGTTGAATAAGAGGACGAGAGGACGGAGAAATTTCAATCGAATCATGACACTCCTGAACAGAGATTCCTATAGCTGCCCCTGGAGTAAAGCTAATATCGCCCGTTTGTTCATCTAGCAAAGCCCGCAGGAGAGCTCCACCTACCGCAGTCCAGCTTGCGCTTGTAGGTGTGAGGACGTGACGGCTAGGTGGAATTCCAAGCAAGTTCAGAGATGTAGTTGAAACACTAGACCCTCTTGGAAGATACGGGAAAGGATCGATTTGCTTCTGTAGAAGACGACGAATAGCTCTTCTTGGTCGTTTGAGTGGCCGTTGCAACATAGACAGCTTGTCGCTTAGGACATCGAGTACTTTGCGGAGATCTTCACCTGCAAAAGCTTGTTCTAGACCTAACTGTTCGAATCCATCGTCAAACCCGTCATCGCCGCCTTCCAACACACTTTCTAAGCAAAATCTGGTGAGGCGATTACTTTGGAGTGCATCTCCAATCCTGGCGCTTTTCCTCCATAGCTCCAAGTCGGTATCGTCCCTCTCCAGGGCTTCGGCGAATGATCTGATTGCTGAACCAGAAGCGGCAGATACGTCAATAAAGGATTTATTGCTCTCATCAGCTTTCTTCGAGCGTAGTAAATGCCTCAGATAATCTAACGTAAACTGGCCTCGGTTTCTATGCGAGAGGTAGAGTGTCTGGGGCAAAGCACTGGAAACTGTGTCGCTAGCATCTAAAGGAGCAGCAGATTCCGCTGCCGCTTCCACAAGAAAGATTTCATGTTGAGTCTCGGGCCCTTCAAGTTGACTCCTCTTATACTCCGAGGTCGATTCCGGATAGTTGAATATTTCGGATTTAAATAACGTTTCATATGCCTCAGAAGCTTGGTCATAGAATTGGGGCCCTTGAGAATGAAGCTTCAAGGCATTATGATAAAGCTTTAGAGCTTCTTCGATTTGGATTTCCTTCGTGTCATCAATTTCCTCTTCGCTGTAGTCATCTGGCTCGATGTTGAGAGCAACGAAGGACGTCATGGCTAGGTTGGAAAAGAAAGCCTGAGGCCAGGCAAATCACCCAGCTCAAGTCAGCATTACGTCTCTCGATTAATTAAGTAGTACAGGTAATATTGTAAAACAGTGGCATATAGCGACAAGAAAAGAAGGACACCAGAAGCTACGGAGTATATCGTGTCGCAGGATACGCGCGGTCCTTGGTCAGTGGATTCAAATCTTCCTGATTGGGCATGGCGCAAACGGATGTTGTCTAGGTGGCTAGAAATGATCCGAACCATCAATTAGCTCATCGTTTAAGCCCATGCACTGCTGAACAACTCGTCCGGCGTGAATTAGCCGTGGCCTTCATCAACAAAAGACTTGTTTCAATTCGCTATTTGCCATTCCGTTAATGCTGTCATCCATTGCCACACGCTTTAATCCCCGTTCCTGAGCTTACGCATCAACATCATGGTCGCCCCAGCGGTCCCAGAGTAGGTCATTCCACTCCGCAGAGTATATACTGCATGCCAATGCGCCGTGCGCTGCGTCTTGTTCAAATTACTAAGAAAGCTATTATTAAAATGCAGGATCATCGAGGACGATAGCATCTATGCTTCAATTGACGCCCGCACAGAAGCTTTACAGAATCTAAGGGAATTGGGTCCTCCGGACCTTGTCCATTTAGTGAAGCAATCAAAGACGAGCCCGAATAATCAGGTATGTGCGCATGACCAATCCAAACAGGAACGCTGTATTCTAATATGCCCTCTTCCACTCTGTAGACTGGCGTCTATCACCATGTCACTGGCGTGGACGCCTCTTCGTCGGCCAGCTTAGCTGCTTACGTCAATACCCTTACATACTCCCCCGTCGATAAGAATCACAAGGTTGTCTCGGGAATATACTGGTGAGAAACTTTCGAGGGTTTCAAAGTAGAATTGTTATTGACGGCTTTGTAGTTGTTATAATGCCTTCTCCCACGTTGATATGCGAGTCGAAGTTAAGATTCCAGGCAGTCTCGAGAGCTACTGCATTGACGAGCGCGGAGATAAACGGGTTGTGACGGAAATGCTATGGCTCGAAACTTTCCTATGCGGTGTCCTTCGAGCGTACTCGTACGCGGACAACGGCAATGGCGATAGCATAAAAAATATTGTTGGCGTTAGAAGGTTCAACCCTGTTACGAACACTGAAATGGAGCACAAGTTTCTAGATGCGGCTGAGAAGCTATTTTTCAACGGTTTGGATATACACCACGTCCATCATTTGCGCATGTGCTAATAATCGCCGCAGGGAGACAGCTAAGCTCAGACCCGGAAACACAAGTCCCTAACACAGTTACGAACCACCTAACGTCCGGCATTTTAAAATATATCCACACGACGGGACGATACGCTTCTGGTATAAATCTCTTTGAAAAGCTACGTACGCGCGATGTTGAGGTGTCGTCGCTCCTAGCGCGCGTCCTTATTTCTGCAGATGAAGAGGTGCAAGCTGTACGGTTATTACATGACGCACTCCAAGACTTGCCAATGGATTACTCTCTCCTGGATTGTCAAGCAGCCTTTTGCCAGAGTAAGGGTGAAAGCGAGATGGCACTTGAATGTGCTAAGCGTAGCGTTACTGCCGCTCCCAGCGAATTTAGCTCCTGGGCTCGGTTAGCAGAAGTATACATAAACATGGAACAGTGGGACTTGGCGCTTCTAACTCTGAACTCGTGTCCGATGTTCACCTATCAGGACAAGGACTCACCGCGGATGCCACCACCTTCTCGAATTCTTTTACCCATCCTCCCTGAGAGCATGCTGGATGAAATTGATGAAGGTCAGCCAAAGCAAGGAGAGCCTCATGACGCCGTCCATCCCACACTTAGGAAGCTACATGCTGCAGGGTACCAAGGCACTTTCTTGAGAGCTTACACTCTGCTCGCGAAAATCGCGGCGGCGATTGGTTGGGATCAGCTCCTGAAGATCCGAAGCGAGGTTTTCGTCATGGAGGAGGAGTATAGAGCGGAGCGCCAAGTCAATGCCATGCGTTCTTCTGCTGCTGTCCAGAACGCCAGCACTGTGGCTTTACACGAGGCGACTAGTGGAGCTGGACAAGTGAATGGAAATGGAGTAGACGGTCAAGATTCAGAGAATGCCGAAGGAAGCGATGAGGAGAACGAATCGTCAGAGGAAGATAACACTCGAAAAGCCAAGAAATCCGTGACTATTGAACGCCCAGAACAATCAGTTGCTTCGGAAGTTGTCAAATCTGGTGGAGAAGACGTGAGTGATCGAGTTTATCTTTACCTCAGTAAACACACAAGTCCAAATTTATACTAACAGTCTTCCCGCCGCCTGTACAGCCTGATGCGACCTCTAATTCATACACGCAGTTCATGAACAAGCGATTATGCGAGCGCTGGCTCGACAATTTATTCATGGTCCTCTATGAGGACCTTCGCGTGTACACTATCTGGCGAACAGAAATGGCACAATCTCGCGAACAATCAGTTGATTATAAGAAATCAGCCACAGAATGGGAGATCCTCGGCGAGCTTGCTGAGCGTCTTCATCATTTCAACGAAGCAGTGGAAGCCTACCAACACTGTCTATCCATCAGATTCTCTCCGAAGGCGATGAAGGGTATTCTGAAGATGTATGAGCGCCAGGGCGACACGCGCGGGATGCTCGGTGCTCTGATCAGACTCATTGCTTGGCAATATCGGTGGTATTCAGAGGTCAGTAAATATGACATCCTGAGGCAAAAGAAGAAGGGAACAGGATCCCTCTCTATTCCATTTAACACTCCTAGAAACTAACTGGTCTCGCCCAAATCCAACCATACAGTTTTCCCCTGAACTCCTCTTCACCATCCGCAAACTGATCGAAGAAGAAGGCGCCGTCAAAGTGCGCAGCATTGTACAAGCCACAAACCTTCCGCAACCTGTCTTGGATCTGACACACCACTACTGCCAACTGTGCGCTACATTCAGAAGCAGTGGTAGTGATGGTTAATAACTCTCACTGGTTTCCTTTATCCCTTCTCTTTTACTTTGCTTTTAGTCACCTCCTGGCCACATTCCTCCGTTGCTTACATCTTACCGCATCTAATGTACCTTGAACCCGTTTGTTCATCTCTACATCCTATCTTGCGACCCCAGGTTCGCTAGTCAATACCATTGGCCAGAAACGTGGAGTTGAGTTTGGATGGACAAGATACTCCCTATATACTACACGGCAATCGGTTGATTGCTTCGGTTTTGTCTTGCTCCCCTTTTTTACCTTTAATGTGGTGTAGTAATTGAACACAACAGAAAACCTTTATTATCTATTTAATATATGTATATGTATATTAATCATTCCTTCCTTCTTTCCCATCATTGATATCATCAATCCATCTGGATTACGAGGCTTTTGCAGGCATGTGTCGCTAGTGCAGTGCAGTCCGCACTTTTGCTGACAGGACTTTCCCCGTAAGAGCATTCCTATTTATGAGCTCCTTCATATCTCCCCGACGTAGAAAATAATAGTTCCAAATGCAAAAAAGTCCCTAAGGATGTCAGGAAATCATTCAACTAAGGTCAAGATTGCGGTGGTGGGACACCAAGCCGAACTGAAAGATTCTTGCATACCATCCAATAAGGGAGGCAGCTCCTCCACACTAGTTAATAATGATCACTGCCTTGCGCGAATTAAGGGGAATAATAGATAATCAGCCCCTCTAATTAAACCTCACTCGATAATATTTCAGACAAAAATGCACACGCCTACACATACACAAACATTTCATTTTCATATTTTTTGTTGGCGCCGGACGAAGTACTTCGTGAAAAATCTCACGCTCGCCGGATGCCGTCTTCAATGATTGGATAATAGGCGAAGAAAAAAATAAGTTGGAGAAAAATGGACTCCATAACTTTTCTCCTCTCTCGAAGAGAAAAACGATATTTTCCTTCCAGAGAGAGGAAAAAAAAGAAAGATTATATGAACAGCATTCATTTAACAAACTAACTAAGAAACTACTTCAGTGAAAATAATCGGACCTAAAAAGAGGATAAATCGCGGAAAATTCGATTATTTCCTTCCTTACTCAGCCCAAATGAAATGATTCCCCGCCCCCGCATAAAAAGAGAGCGCGAAAACCTGGTCCCACATATCCCCTTACAACCCCCCCAATTAAATAGAAAAACAAGAAGTAGAAAAAAAACCAAACAACGACAAAAAAAAAAAAAAAATTATTAACCGCGAACCCTCATTTTTTCCGCAACCCTCCGGCTGTGGCGCTGCACGATTACCAGCTCTTATTCGCCATTACCCACTTCCACGGCAGCAGGAGCAACCGCGGCACCATTGGTAGTAGCAACTTTTTCAACGGGCGCGGGCACCTCGGACACAGCCAGTCCAGCTTTCTTAACAGGCGCTGGTGCATCGTCCTCTCTCTGTTCTGCTTCTTCTTCCTCTTCCTCCTCCTGCTCTTCATCTTCATCACCTTCGGCCTCCAGGCCTTTCTCGGCTCCTTCTGGCTCCGGTTCTTCAACTTCTTCCTCCTCTTCCTCTTCCTCCCCTTCTGCGCCCTGAGCTTCAGTGTACGGGGCTGGCGCTACTTTGCGTTTCTTATGTGCGGCTGTTTTTGGGTTAGCAAGTTTGCTAAGTCATAAAATTTAGGGGCATGGGGAGGGATTTCGCTGGGAGGGCGATATGAGGGAAAAACGGACGTTCTCCCCATCAGGGCGCGACAAATTGATGGTTATCCATCGATAGGAAAAGCACAAGAAAGAACAGGAAAAATAGGATTTCGTGAGATGGGATCGCTTACGTTCTTCTTTCTCAGGCTCCCCTTCCTCAGAAGCTTCAGATTCTTCCCCGGAGCCTGACTCATCTTCTCCCTCTTCTTCGCCGAAATCGGATTCTTCATATCTAATCATAGCATATGGTTAATATTTCATTGACGGCAATACGGTTAGCGAAGAAAGGTATGTGCAGCTGAAGATATGCGCTAGTGTGCGCATAGCTTCTTCATCTGAAAAACATCGCGCTGGGTGGTATGGGTATGGGGAACCAAAGTCGACGACAGCCACATCTGCGACCATAACAGCTCAATTTCCTCAGGCGCAAGCCAGCGCGAACGCAGCAGCAATATAAATGGATTCCATGATAGCCGCACAATTCCAAACCACCATGCATGCAATTGGGAATTTGACAATGGGCCAAAATAGATGATGTCAAGAGAAGGGGCTATAAGGTATGATAGAGCAGAAGGAGAGGTCTCAACGTACTCTTCTTCCTCTTCACTTTCATCGCTGGGTAAGGCTACGAGTTCTTCGTCATCCTCTGCGGCTCCGCGGCCCCGTTTGCGAGTAGACATTGTGCCTCTTGTGGTTGTTTACGAGGTAGGAGTTTTATGGGACAGGCAAGGGGGATGGAGAGATGTGGCTAGGTTTGGAAGTAGAGGGAGTCGAAAGCTTTTCCTTGCAGGAGTGGGTATGTAGTGAGAGAAGGTAGGAGATTGGGGGGGAAAAGTGCGTGAGAGGAGGAGGTTATAAGGGGAATGGACCAGAACTGGGCGAAAGGGTGGGTAGAGCTGCTGACTGATGGCAGCAACAATTATAGAAAAAGCGGCCCTGGGCCGTCACGCCGTGACCGCATCTTGTCTTTACCGGTATGGTCCCTGTTTTGCTCCTTGATTCATTACAAGGGAGGGGGACGACCGGAATACAATCAAGTACCTCCTGGACTTAACTTTAAAGGAGGTTGGTTTTGTACCCCTGATGTAGTCAGGCTCTGTAAGGGTAGCCGTTTATGCCAAATAAGCTGTAATAGAAAGCTCGGCTGTGTAATTACGGCGTAAGGTATGTGTGAGTACGGGACGTAAATTTCAGTATAGTATGCGGAGAATGTATGGAAGACCTTCCACGGTGTGGCAATGCCTGGGAACAGTTACAGAGTCAGAGGGGAAAAACAGAAACCCAGAAACCCCGCAAGCTCCAGCCCCACGTAATAACTGACAGACAAATAAACGGGTTAAACCTCCTAGATCCGTTTAAGGACGGGATCATTCTCTCATTACTCCCTCTTTTTTCTTTACTTTTTATCCTTTTTATTTTCTTTGTTCTGGCCCTGCATTTCTCCTTTTTCGTATTTGCTTTTTCTAGTCTCCCTGCTCCCCAGTATTGACTTGCTTGGAAACCACGTCGTTCCCCCATTAAGACTAGCGGAGGATGTTTAGCCAAGTGTACGCTACGTATTTCGTGCAGCGAGCCACACGGGTCAGTGCGCGAATGCAATACCCACTCAGATCAGCAAAGGCTCCAAGGCTCAAGGCTTCCACCGTAGCGTTCATCCTGGTTATTTGATCTAGATCGAGATTTTAGGAAAAGGGGTAGCAAAAAAATGGCACTTCCGTAGAAGATAATACTAACTAAGCCAAATCACGCAGGTACACCGAATACCGGGAACCTGATCAACACCGACACCCACAAGGAGGGAGGAAGGCTATAGTCAATCAGTTGTGTCAGTAGTTGTGACCGTGACCAAGGGAACCCAGGCCTTCATTGAGAGGAACCAAACATCTGTGTTGGTTAACTCTTAGTAAAGGTGCCAGAAATCCCCTCACACAAAGCTTGAACCCACCGCATGTGGTTGCAATGCTTAGGAACATCGTTAATGTTCACAAATCCAGTTAGCGAAATATGATCTTGCACCGAACAGAAGACTCGATTTACATGAGTTATCAGCTAATATATGCTCGAGTTTTTGCCCCGCGGCGAAGGGGATGTAACAGAAATTGCCAGCTTCGTGGCCAATATGCATGTTACAGGCTTTTGAGGTTGGATTGAGAATCTTTCATTCGTCATTATTCTATGTGACTACTGAAATTATCCGCCAAGACGTTTGAACACAGAATAGTCGTTTCAAGTATAGAGTAGTTAATAAATATTAATCCCAAGGTGTTAGTATGCCGCTTTTTGGCCTGATTTTTATATCAACCTCGCGATCCACGTGACCAGGTGTACGTCTCGTGACTACCTTGTCACGACCTCGCTTTCTGCTATGTTTATGCTTGCTGTTGATTGGAAGCGCGCGAAAGTGTTCAAGAAGGATCACACAATGATGCTTTTTAAGAGGGTAACCGTATAGCCACGAGGGCTACGCCTTTATGAGAGCTATATACCGCGTTTTGGTGAGATAATTTTGCCGAAGGGTAACTATGTCAACATGGCTGACAATCCTTGCGCGAACCCACTACTCCTCTTATGGATCAAGGAATGGCTCGATGAGGCGCGGGAGCGGAATTCGAAGGGCGTTAACGTGTAGGTATTCTCTGGATCCTCCATGGCCCCTGTCTTCTTGGGAACCCATATGTTCTAATCCCATGTTGTCAGATACAAGAAGGCATATGATTCAATGAAGGTTTGCCCTATCCCGTTCAACCATCCTTCAGAAGCCCAGCAGCTACACGGATTTGGTCCGAAGTTATGTGATCGTCTAACGGCAAAATTGCAAACTTATTGCGAACAAAATGGGCTTCCTATGCCGGAATTACCCCATCAAAGTATACACACATTCATCCCCTCCCAGGTCTATCTGAATCTCCTCCTAATGCCTTGTATTTTAGCCCGAAAAAGAAACATAAAAGATGACAATGGTGAGACGCAGCCAGCAAAAAGGCCAAAGAAAGTGAAACCTTATGTACCGGCCCTACGTTCCGGCCCATATGGTTTGCTCCTGGGCCTTGCCAATGTAGATGAGAATTCATCTATTGGATTCACCAAACAGCAGCTAATTGAGCTTGCCCAACCCTATTGCGATTCTTCATATACGGTTCCTCCGGACCCATCCAAATTTTATACGGCGTGGAATTCCATGAAAACTCTAGTACAGAAAGATCTGGTCTATGAGCATGGTCGACCATCGTCACGAAGATATCTGCTCACCGATGAAGGATGGGAAATTGCGCGGAGGATTAAGAAAACTCTGACAAACGAGGATTCTACTGAATTACAAAACGGATATGACCAAGTATGTGAGGTGCATTTGTAACTGGAATTTGTCATCATCTGATCACTTTATAGTCACCACAGCCTTATCGAGTTGGGCAAAGACACGAGGTCGGATCACAGCGGGTCGCGGATATTTCACCATTGGAGTCAGGTCCTCCCGTTCGCGGCCAGAGCCCCAAACGGAGAATAATTGATCTAGATGATTCGGATTCCCCAGAGAGTTCGAACTCAGAAATTCCACGAGTGCCAGTAAACATCTCCACAGATATTGGGAGACAATCGTCATTGAATAGAGGTGTGGCAGACCAAAACGTGGGCTTATCAATATCTGCGCCTGCGCTCACATTAATCACGCTCCCACCGGACAGTTTCACTGTCGAACTTGTCCTCGACGTTAGAGAAATTCGCGCTGTGAAAGATAGAGATTACATTGCTAATGAACTAACTAAGAAGGGAATATCACCTATCGTACGCTCTCTTGAAGTCGGAGACGTGCTCTGGGTCGCGAAATGCAAAGACCCAAACTTCCTCGCTCGCCACGGTGAAGAAGGGGACGAAGTCATGCTTGACTGGATTGTGGAGCGAAAACGCCTCGACGATCTGATCGGCAGCATCAAAGACGGACGTTTCCATGAACAGAAATTCCGACTACGACGTTCAGGGGTGCAGAACGTCATTTATTTAATCGAAGACTTTGCCGACGCGGGTACTGCGGGAACGAAGTATTATGAACATGTCACATCAGCCATTGCATCCACGCAAGTTGTGAATGGGTACTTCGTCAAACAGACGCGCAATCTAGATGATACGATCAGGTACCTAGCTCGAATGACGAAACTGCTGAGGGGAATGTACACCAGTGCCAGTGGGAATACCGGTACTACGAAACCAAGCCCCCTTTCAATCATCCAAACCAAACACCTCACCTCCTCACAATCCTATCTAGACCTCGTCAAACGCCTTCGCTCTCAACAATCCCAAACTCAAGCACAAGACACTGCCAAGAGACCAACATTTACAGTCACATTCTCCGCCTTCTCTTCACTTGCCTCCAAGTCTGAAATGCTCACGCTCCGCGACATTTTCTTGAAAATGCTTATGTGCACGCGTGGCGTCACGGCTGATAAGGCGCTGGAAATCCAGCGACACTGGCGAACACCGCGGGAGTTTGTCGAAGCGTTTGAGGAGGCTCATCGAGGACGAGGTGGGGATGTGGCTGCGATGGAAAATATGGTCTTTGAGAAATTGGGAGGGTTGGTGGGAAGGAAGAAGATCGGGAAGCTAGTTAGTAAGAAGATTGCGGAGGTTTGGGGGGTTAATGGTCATAGTAACGGTAGCTGGTATGGATAGGTTGGTTTGAATTGGCTTACATTGGCAAGAATTAAGATTTTCCAGTTGGCCACTTGGTTGTTTATTATCCTCATCTTGAGTCGATGCTGTTTGATGTTCGTGTTTTGGTGTTATTGTGGATATGAATGACCCTTAAGGGCTGAGTTTATTTCGCGTCTTACTTCTCTCTTACCCCTTTTCCTTTGGCCACTCGACTTCCCCATTATCTGTACTCTTTGTTTTGCTTTCTCTTCTCTTACCATCACAGTCCCACTGTCTGATGATGCTCCGCGGCTCTCCTTGCCATTTTACTGAGGGACATGGCGTGTCTCTAGGATCTCAACTGTTCATTTGAAGAGTTGGATACCGTTCATGAAGCGACCGCACTATTACTCTCTAATCACAATCTTATATATACAGATTTGAGCGTCAAATGCGAGAGAGAACGCATGAAAGAACTCCTTAAGAAGAACCTAAACAGATTTCCTCACACTGTTCAAAAGCTTCAAAAAGGACCAAAAGAAGCCATCACCGTATTATTCAGACAGGCCCCAATTCTTCAGTCTCGACTCCAGGGGATAAGATGATTCTATTCGTTCAATGGAAAAGGAGACACCTCCAAGACACAAGGGTAAAAGCCCCCGGGAGCCTATTCATCTGACTCAACCGAAACTTACATCTGGGGGGACCGTACATCCCAGATGCAATCTCGGCCAGCTTCACCTGCGAGTTATACCAAGTTTGCGCCTTTCGATGACAAGCCACCGCCTCCAGGGGGTTCACCACGGTCTAACAAGCGATCCTACCCATCTGGCCACAGTTCGGGTATCACGAGCCCAGAAAATGCCACCGCGCACCATAACCCGAAGAAAATTCGGACAATGGAATCACCAACCAGGTCAAGAGCCATGGAAGCAACAGATGCTGATATCGGCATCGAGGGATTCAACATCGTGATGAACGTTGAGGGCCACAATCCGTTGACCGAATCATCCTTCTGTATTCTCTCCGACACATGCAGCGAGAAGGCCCCAGGAAAGAGCGCCACCACCAGCCGCTCAATAGCTCTCTTAGGGACATCTTGGCTGGGATATAAATAAATATCGTCTTTTCATTTCTTCCGATGCTGCCAATCCGCTAAATTATGTACGTACATGTACATCCGTGTCCATAATGTACAGTAACTCCGCAGTGTTATCCGCGCCATCATACACAGCACCAGCATCAGGACCGAATTCTTTGATTGAAGTGTCGTTGTCTAGTGCTATGAAAGCCTCGTGGTCCCTGTGGCTTTTGCTATTGTATATATATATATGCAGTCATGTTAGCATCCAAAAACTCAAAGTGAACTTCCCCATTTCCCTTCCCTCCTTTTTTTTTATTATATATATATATATATGTATGTATGTATGTATGTATGTATGTATGTATATGCATATGTATTAGGGGGAGGGGTTTGTCTCCTTTTGCTAATTCAACCTCAGGAGCTCCAAAGTCCAATTTCAAACTTATCAGTCAGTACCCTGCAACTTGAACGCTACCCCTGATAAATAATTGGCTGGCAGGAAAGAAAACTGGCCCCTCGCAGCAACCTATGAGACTAGATAAAATAAACCAACCGGCTCAGCCAGCTGCGGTAGGGAAAGCACCGATGAAGATAAATTAATAAACCACCTCAAATTGGTCCTTGAGGAAAGTAGCTCGGACAATGGGAATGGCATAGAAACCGCATGTACGGAATTTGTATCGGAGATTTGTGTAAATACCGTTACGGTATGAGAACGTGTTCACAACAGTAGTATGTACTGTACATTAAATGCGCCAGATAGGTGTAAAGGGTTCGCAAGTATTTTCATTAGAACTCTACCTGATAAAGAGATGTAGATTCAGAAAATATTATTATTGCGGTAGAGAATGAAATAAGATAGATACAAATGGGTATGAAGAGATCTCATCATGTCCTCTAACGAATACTTAAAAAAATCATTAGAATATGTAAGAAAAGAATGCCAGTGATAGGGTGGGCCGCATGAAGCGGATGTAGACAAAGCAAGACAATACCTAGAAATGAAATATATAAGCAAATTCGTAAAAAGAAAAAAAGAAAAATTAGCGGAGAAGAACCCATCTCATTCCCCCAATAAAAGAAAATAAGGGCTCTCTTTTCTCTTGAAGGCCATCATCTAGAACCTGACTAGTACTCGCACGGGCGTCCTCAAGCCTTCTTCCAAAATTGCACCTTCCGCACAACCCACTCCATAGCCTTCCTCCACTCAAACCTCAGTGCCAAACTACTCACCACCACCGATATACTACTGAGTGCCATCGCCAAGCTCGCCCAGACAGGATCAAGTCTCCAATGCTCATTAATCTTCGTGCCATCCTCCATTATTTTCGTACCCGTGACAATGGGGAAAAGCACGCCTGCCGCAACCGGTACAAGAATCATGTTATAGATCGCCGCCCAGCCAAAGTTCCATTTGACGCGGTTGAACACGCGCCTGCTGAGTGTGCACAGCTCGAGGATGGTGGTGAGGTCTGAGTTGAGGAGGATGAAGCCAGCAGAATTAACGGCGACATCGGAGCCCGAGGCCATGGCGATGCTGACATTTGCGGCGGTGAGGGCGGGAGAGTCGTTAGTGCCATCTCCGACAAAAGCAACGATGCGTTTCTTGTCGGACTTGGTTTTGGTGTCGGTGTTGTGGAGTTTGTTTTCTTGTATCTGGCGGATGTACTCTGCTTTTTGAGGAGGGAGGACGTTGGCCATGACGTTTGAGGCTGGAATACCAATCGCGGCCGCAACGGCGTGTGCTGTGGTTTGGTTGTCTCCGCTACACATGAAAACGTCTATTTTCTTGGCCTTAAGGCTGGAGATCACATTTACAGCTTCGGCTCGGATTGGATCGGAAGTTGCGAAAACAATAGCAGGGACGAATTGGGAGGCACCATCTGATATTTTGCGGATAGAGAGGATTGCAGTAGACTTCGCCGCAGATTGATACTTTGTGAGCGTGTTGGCTAAGAAATAACGATCAGTTGCATTTTCGCCGGCGAGAGAGTCCAATAATCGTTGGCTTCCGATGGCTGCCTCATATTCAACTTCCGCATCGTTGAAAATTAACGAGAACGTTCCTTTCATTCCTTGTCCAGGTATTTCAGTGAGGGCTGACGAAATGACAGAGACTGAGGATTTCTCTGCACAGAATTCAGCAATAGCGTTCGCGATCGGATGTGTACTGCTCTGTTCCAAAACCTTCGCCAATTCCCAGGCTACCTGCTGCTGTTCCTCGTCCTTGACAAGGATTTCATGATCTGACACTCGTAGAGTTCCTCCTTCAGTCAATGTACCCGTTTTGTCAAACACAATCGCCTCAAGCTTACTAGCCTCCTGAAAAGCCTCGCCACCACCTCTAACAAGGATTCCTCGTCTTGCGGCGAGGCCGCCCCCAACAAACAGAGCCGTAGGAGCGGCCAAAGCCAAACCGCAAGGACAAGCAACCACAAAAACGGCGATGGCGAACTTTAACGACCAAAAGGCCCATCCGCCCTGAGCTCCATCGAGGTAGCCAGCAGGAAGACGGCCGGAGTACCCTAAGCTGAGCCAGATTATGAAAGTGAGGATGGCGAGGAGCGTGATTACCGGTACGAAATAGCTAGTCATAATATCCGCAACCCCTTCAACAGGGGCACGCTTGGTCAAGCCTTCTCTAACAACAGCGACGATTTGATCAAGCATGGACGTGCTACCGATGTCGGATACTCGGATGTATACTGGCTGTCCAACGTTCACTGACCCAGAGTATACCTTATCTCCAGCAATTTTTGCAACGGGCTTCGACTCCCCTGTCAGTGAGCTCTCGTCAAACCGATAAGACTCGGAGCTAGTCACAATTCCGTCAGCTGGAGGGGAGGCGCCGTGTGGGATGTTGACGATATCGCCCACCTCCAGGAGATCAACGCTGATACGTTGGAGTGTGCTGCCAGGAGAGGCGTCAGGGCTCGTCGAGGGGGAATCAACCACTAGAAGAGCCTCTGAGGGACGAAGTTTACCTAGGGACGCAACAGCATCACCTGCTTTCGCTTTGCTGTAAGCTTCCAAAAACCGACCAGCAAGGATGAACAGAGTAAGGAAAACGACGGTGTCAAAATAAGGCGACATGTGGGCTTGGTGTCCGTCTGCTCTAGCTGCGACACCGAGCAGAGCAATTGAGGCAAAATAAGCCACAGAAGTACCCGCAGAAATGAGTAAGTTCATGCTCCCAAAGCGGTAAAATCTTCGTAAAATGGGCACTTTGCTCCCAGGTCTCCATAAAGCTCGGATCTCTTTGAAAGCACGGACATGGAAAACATCCGCGCCGTAGCACATGACAGGCGTGGTGATGATAAACAAGGCCCATTCCAGACGGGTTACCTGCCCTGCCCATATCGGTTCGTAGAAGTATATTCTCATGCTGTCGGTTGAAGGTACCAGTGACATCCAGACAATACCTATCAGGAAAGTTGGAATCGCGGCGATGAATACAAACAGCAAACGTAGAAGAAGGCGGCGTCTTTCGCGGTGCTGCATCTCACGCGAACGGTCTTCAATGGTTGGGGGATGGTATACGCTAGCTTTAAAAGCGTCATTGGCGGATTCGATAACGGCAATTATATTTCGGACGGTCATAGAAGGGGGGTTCGGTTTGTAAGTCACTGAAACAACAGGATGCTTGAGCGTAGGGCTTTTGACGACTGAGACCGATTCGTCCATTGCTTCCAACACAGTAAGGACCTTTTCAGGGCAGTGATGGCAAAACATGCCATCAACTTGAATTTCAACCGTCCGATGCAGGGGGCCGTCACCGTCAGTTTTGCCATCTTTGAGCTGAGCACACTCAGTAACCACAAGTTCGTATCCAAGCCCCTGGACAGTTTGCTTGATTTCATCGAGTGTGTCAATCCCCTCGAACTCAAACTTTCCATTGGATCCCAGAAGGTCGACAACAACATTAGTAACAGATGGGATTTCCTGGACTCCGCGCGTAATAGTTCCCACGCATGAACCGCAGGTCATTCCCCCGATGCTGGCAGTGGCAGTATAGATGTTGCGGCGAGGCGATGGTGATTTTTTCTGTGAAATATCTTGAAGGTCGCCTTCGAAACCAAGTTCATCGATTACTGAAAGAACTTCATCGATATTCTCTTTCGGACCCAGGATCGTGAGGGACGCACTATGCGTCAATAATGCAACGTCGACAGATTTCACGAAGCTAAGTTGCTCAATGGCGCTCGTCAGCGTTGTAGTGCACGAAGAGCATGACATTCCAGATATGCTAATGGATGCGTTGTATTCCTCGTCAGCCAGGGTGAAACCCTTCTCGAGATCGGGGACATCACTCCGTTCAGTCCATGATTCGGGCGCCACCTTCTCTCGCTGTTTGCCAAGGTCACCATTTATCGGGCCTTTCTCCCCAACAGCATTATGATGTGGGAAGATCGATAAGCCTTTCTTTTCATCTCCTTGGGTTTTCCCCTGCTCTTCAGCTCGACAGGCGTCGCAGTTGTCAATATGCACCCTGTTCCTGGCCTGTTTGCTTTTGCCACCCTGAGCAGGTGTGCGGAAAAGATGACGTTCTATGAATGGACTTGGCGACTCGGAAACGTCAATGTTGCTTATTTCGGCTCCTGAATCATCGCGAGAACTTGCATGACAGACCTCGAACGCAGCCTCAATCAGAGCTCTCACGAGATCAGTGGCTGATACGCCTGGCCCGTGGCGGACTTGGACCTTATGGGCGAGGATTGTCACATCGACGCTGATGACATCGGGAATATGGAACAGGACCTCCCTCGCGTATGCCACGCATGATGTACAGTGGATATTATTGACGAGGAGGACGGTTGTTATTTCTTTGGATTCCGCAGGCACCACAGGCACAGACGTACGGTTAGCCGCGACAGGCGGCCGTTGGATCGGCCCTTTGTCTGCCATTTTTATGGATCCCAAGACAAATGACACGTCACGGAATGTAGGCAATGACAAGATGCGTATGGTGTGATATGTGTGATATGTGTAGAATAACCGCAATGGCTCAGGATAGGTGGGAAGGTGTGGGTATATATTTGATTTGGATGTGAGCCGTTCGCCACTTGATTTCTGCAGAGAAGTGAAACCGGCGGGTCTCTCGAAACGGAATTTGTTGGTTAAGAGGATCAAAAAGAGACGAAAGTAGAACCCCTTAATTTGATGTGCAGGAGTAACAAGTATGATTATTTGATATTTTATCAACTGTTAAGCTCCTCCAAGGTAGTAGACGTTGTAGAGCAGAAATCACAGCAAAGTGAAAAATTGATCACTTTCGAAAACAACAGACACTGGCCATCCATATCTTATATATACGGTATATTAGAGAACCCCTAAGAAGGCCAGCTGGCTACTGCGTATGTCGGTTGTGCGAGATTATCGCGACAAAGGACCGTCATCATTATTATTATTATTATTGTTTCGGTGTATGTTAGTCAACCGCGCACAAATCGCGCAACCAACCACGATGGGGCTCCATAAAACGGCCAAGGTTCGAGATCATCCTGAGAAGCTCGGCTTCCGTCATTTGGAAGGAATTTGAGTGCAAAAGCAACGAGCCTGATTTGTCAAAGATGGAGGGATTAATGCAGGTTCTCGTAGGGACAAAAAAACCTGGGGTAAGCAGAATGAATGTAAATTTTTGGTAGATCTGGTGGCAAAATGACTTCATCAATATTTTCAACCTACCAAAGCGCAGTGAACAATATTCAACCAAAACCCCAAAGACCAAAGAAGGAAAAATATCCCGCGGGCCATGAGCCAGAGGCAAAACAATTTAAAACAATTCTCATGTCGTTTAGCATAATACCATTGTGGGTGTGGTGAATACCTGGCAAGGGGTTCTCAGTACCTAATAAAAAACACCAAATAGCTCTTTGCCCGGATCGAACCCGGGGCGCCTCCGTTGTCACGTGTTAACGTATTAGTCACTCTGCCATTTTGAGTGTTAGCCGCTGCACCACGCTGTGTCTGCCAAGCCTCTGCTTGCCCTCCCCAGGACACAGTCACCGTCCTTGCGCATTCACGAAGCCCTTCCATCTCAACAGCATATCCTCCATCACTACATAACATATCTATATCTCTCCCGCGTTTTCCTAAGCGGTACTCTATTTAGATGACCTAGATATAGCGAGTCTATCTGTCTATTGCCCCTGCCAGCTAGTGAGTCAATCTTTGTCCTTACACACGCCTACATGCAAAAAATTTATACTAAGCTCCTCCCTATCTAGATCTATAACAAGCCAAACGCCCGCCGGGGTTTCCGCCATGGCCAGCATGCGGCCTCCCACCCGCCTCCCCCGGGTTCCAGGCGGTGGGATCCGCGGCCCCGTCCAACGCCTCGCCAGCCTCCGCAATCCCAATCCCACCCCAATACCGCGCCCGCAACCAAAACCTACCACCCACCTCAAGACCACCACCTGTCCAAACCCAGGCTGCCCTGCCCCAAATATTGTCGAGGACGATGGAATGAAAGTTTGTTCGGGCTGTGGTACTGTCGTCAGCGAAGCGAACATTGTCTCTGAAATCACGTTTGGTGAATCCGCATCCGGTGCGGCCATTGTGCAAGGGACCTTCGTTGGTGCGGGTCAGAGCCATGGACGCAGCTTCGGGCCCGGGTTTCAACGAGGTGGGGGCATGGAGAGTAGAGAGATCACAGAGCAAAATGGTGAGCTTTTGTCTTCTTCAACTATTTTTTTTTTGTGTTTTGTTTTTTTCCAAGGAAGTGGAGGGCACCACCCCTCAATTGCATTCTATGGCGCTGTTGCTGATTTGTAGCCATTAGGAAACCGTTATATTGCCCAGCTATCTCGAGCATTGAATGTCCCAGAAAGCGCTACCAAGGCTGCTGGTCAAGTTTTCAAACTTGCAGTGGGATTAAATTTTATCCAAGGTCGCCGCACAAAGACTGTTGCGGCCGTGTGTCTGTACATTGCCTGTCGCCGCCAGGATGGAAATACGGTCATGTTGATTGACTTTGCTGATGTGCTAATGGTATGTATATCTGTCATATTTCTGTTCCAGATTAATAGACTCTAACCGAATATTTTACTAGATTAATGTGTTTAAACTTGGTCGTGCGTACAAAGCACTACTTGACGAACTACGCCTGGGAGGAAACGTGTTTATCATGAACCCCATCGACCCCGAAAGCCTAATTTACCGGTTTGCGAAGCAGCTTGAATTCGGTTCCTCGATGATGCAGGTTGCAAGCGAGGCAGTCCGCATTGTGCAGCGGATGAACCGAGATTGGATGATTACTGGGCGGCGCCCTGCAGGCATCTGCGGCGCTGCTTTGATCCTTGCAGCCCGCATGAACAACTTCCGACGAACTGTCCGCGAGGTTGTATACGTTGTTAAAGTAACGGAGCTGACAATCCATCAGCGGTTGAACGAGTTTAAAGCGACAGAGAGCGGAGACCTCACCGTCGACCAATTCCGCTCCGTCCAACTGGAGAATTCCCATGACCCACCTTCCTTCACTCAAGGGAAGAGGTTGAAACAGGCAATGAAGGAGAAAAGGCCCACTACGGAAATCGTAAGCGACGATGATGAGGATGGAAACACCCCAGAACCAACATCTTCCCCTGTGAACACAAGACGGGTAGATGCAGATGGCTTCGCTATCCCAGATGTGCCCATCGATCCCGCCCTGCTAGTCGACAAAGACGACTCCCCAGATTCCACAACCAAGACGAAACGCGGCCGACCAAAGGGCACCAAAAATTTCCGCCCCCCACCCCCAACAGAATCCGAACTAGCCTCCGAATCCGCCCTCGAATCCGAAATGCAAGAACTCCTCACAACAGGCTCGAACCTACTCGCCTCCACCAACACCACCTCTCAACCCACACCATCGACCAAACCCGCACCCCAACCCCCCAAACCCGTACCTTCCACACCTGACATTGACGCCAGCGAATTCGACTCCGACCCAGAAGTAAAGTACTGCCTGCTCTCCCCCGCCGAAGTCGAAATCAAAGAACGTATCTGGGTCCATGAGAACAAAGACTACCTACGCACGCAGCAGGCGAAAGCGCTCAAGCGGGCGTTGGCGGAGGAGGAGGATTTGATTAATGGTCGGGTGCCGGGTATTACCCGTCGACCACGCAAGCGGAGGAAAGGGAGGATGGGTGATGTGGGGTATTTGGAGGGGAAGGGGGAAAATGGCGAGGATGTGGATGGAAGGGGAACGAGGGCGTCGACGCCCGCAGAAGCTACGAGGCGGATGCTTGAGAAGAGAGGGTTTAGCAAGAAGATTAATTATCGGCTGTTGGAGGAGATGTATGAGGATGACGATGAGAGGAAGGGTATCAAGAGGAGGGAGAGTGAGAATGGGGAGGGTGGGGTTGGAAGGGATAGGGATAGAGATAGGGATAGGGGGAGGAGTAGGAGTGGGAGTGTATCAAGGAGTGTGCGGAGTAGCAGTGTATTTTCCGAAAGGAGTCTCGCGACTAGTGGCGCAGGTGGTCTTGGTATTCGGGGTCCCGTGAGAGAACGGGTTGTTAAGGCGATTAGGACGGGGACAACAACGGCTGTTACCGCTCCATCTACATCTACAGTCCCTGCCACAACGCCAGCGCCACTGCCAACACCATCTACACAAACCACCACCACCGCTACTACCATCGCCGCCACCGAAAAAGAAAAAGAAGCAGAAAAAATCCCAACCCCAACCCCCACAAACCCCAACGAAGAAATCCTCGGCTACATCCCCGGCCCCGACGCGAGCGAGAATCTCGACGCAGCAGGCATGGATGAAGACGACATGGACATGGACATGGACGACGAGGATGAGGATGAGGATGAGGATGCTGACCTCGACGATCATGTCGACGAGGCGTTTGCGGGCAATTATTACGGTGGGGGCGGCGCTGATGATGATGACGACGATTATTATTAGGTTTTTTTTTTCGTTCTGTTTGTTATTGTCATTGTTGTTGATACCTGGGTCACCTCCCCCATGTATTCTAATAGAACCAGGGGGTGGTCGTGGTCTGGACATGAATCACTTTTGGTACATGTCCCTAGGTTAGCTACTCCGTAGTTATTGCATGTATGGATGCTTACTTAAACTCGGCCAGCTGGTTTGGCCCATCCATCCATCCATCCATTGGACGCGAACCTGGTATTTATGAACGAATTTGAATTGTGAAGAGAACAATTCTTCACTATTATATATTTTAATTTCCATTAATTTTTGCTCTCTTGAAACTGAATTTTACTTCTATTTCCTTCAGTCATCCTTTTTTTTTTTTTTTTTTTTTTTTTTTTTTTTTTTTTTTTTATTTACTGTCAGTTAAAGTTTCTTTTCTCTCTTTTTTATTTCTTATTTCTTATTTGTTTTTCATTTATTTTTCTATTTTTCCTTGATTTGGGTTTCCCTGTTCTCCGCTCATCATGAAAACCGATCAGAGCAAGAGAGAAAAAGTAGGGTAAAAAAGTACGAGGATTCCACTCTGCCCTGTTCCCGAGGAAGGGGAAAAAAAAGGCTAGTAAATAAAACAATAAACGAACAGAGCAAAATAACAGATAAACAAAATAGCACAAGAACGTGTTTGCAAAGGCTCCCGGGTGGAAGAAAAAAAAAGGGCAAGAGTGGAAACCGCCATGTCAGATACCAGATAATACGGTAAGATTCATATCAAATGAATAACAATAACGCATGTGAAGGAAGAAACGAGAATGAGAACGAGAAAACGGAAAATGGGAAGAAGAAATAAAATGATACATAAAGTAGAACATGATGAGTTGTTTTGAAAGTGGATAGCCGTGCAGAAAGACTTGGCAAGCAGAAGAAAAAAGGGGAAAAAAAGAAAAGTTATTGGAACAAACCATAATAAAGAAACACACAATATCAACCCTCTTCCCAACCCGGGTCCAGAGGGAAAAGAGAAGAAGAGCGCGAGCGGACGAAGGATTCGGAACATGAACTTCGAAAAGGAGGGTCGGGCCCTCCGCTCATGTTGCGTCTGGTCGTGATGTCGAAAAGGTCGAATGAATATCCCGAAAAGATCCTATGTCGAAGCGAAAAGTCGTCAAAACACATAAAAACGCACCTTACGCGTCATATATAGAGTTTGTATCATTCGTCGTCGTCGTTGTTTATGTCACCAGTTGTCAATATCCATCCCCATCCCCACCTCCATATCCATACCCATACCCATCGCATTTCCAGCTCCATCTCCAACCCCACCACCACCAGCACCGTTAACACACCCAATCAACACCCCTTTATCCTCCATAACCCTCTCCACTCCTGTTTTTATCGACTCTACCGCCGACGCTGCGAAGGAAGCCCTCAAGAGCACTGACCCATCTTCATAACGAATGGGCACCTCGCGCAGATTCCTTATGCAGGAATCCCAATCATTACCCACTAGCCGCGCTTCAGCCAGGTCTTCGCTGAAGAGGTAAAAGCGTGATCCCATCCCATTGGCATCTATATTCGTGTTTGTATTTGGAACCGAAGAAGATGAAGATGAAGAAGCTGGAACCCGCCCTGCAACCAGAAACGCCCCGACCCCACGATGTCTGAGCAGAATTTCCGCCTGGGCAATCCACGCCGCGTAGTGGTTCTGTATATACCGTTCCCAGCCGCGGAGAGCGGCGGCGACGTCTTCGTCGTCTGTGCGGGAGACGCGTTGCCAGCTTATGCCGAGGAGGAGGGTGATGGAGTCGAGTTGTGGCTCTTGTGGGATCAGGGGGTGGGAGGAAGAGAATGAGGAAGAGGCGGGTTGGCGTTTGGGTTGGTGGAGCTGGTAGTTGCTATCGTGGTTTGGTGGTGTTGACGATGAGGTGGATTGAAGCTTGGTTTGGATTGTAGCCATGGTGTTGTCGTCCCAGGTAGATGCTGAGGAGGACGTATCTAAGCGTTGCGATTTGCGGCTACGTAGGTCTGAAGAAGATGATGGATGGTTGGGAGTTCCATCATGGTTGAAGGGGACCATGGCCTCGCCGTATGTTGGATCTACCTCTTCAATTGCAGGGGAAGAAGTGGTCGTGGAGCCGAACCCGCTATCGCGCTGGTCATCATCAATTGAATAGGGGGTGGAAGAGACGTAATCGTCACGCGAGCGTTTACGCGAAGGGTTCATTGTCAGCGGAGTGGAGGACGAGGACGACGGAGAAGCAGGTTTCCAGGTAGGATTTTTGGTGGTGGTGGAAGGACTGGGGGCAGAAGCAGCAGCAACAGCAGAAGAAGAAAGGGATGTAGAGGAGGTTGAGGGTTTTGAATGAGTGGATCCGTTGATGTTCATGGCGGAGGAGAAGAAGGTAGAGCAGGCTGGATCGGTATGGAAGAATTCAGGAGATGACGATGAGGGATAGACGGCAACGGGACCGACTGGGAGGTTGTAGACGAGCGGATGGCCCATTTCAACCAATTTTCCTGGTGTACTTGTGTGTATTTTTTGTAAGGAGGTTATCGGAAGTAATCTGGTTTTGGTTAAAGAAGATTAAAAGAAGAAAGATGTAAGGGGCTTGAAATATCAGTTGAGAGACGAGTGGTAGCAATAGTAGGAGTAGTAGTAGAAGTAGTAGCAAAGATGAAAGCTATAGCAACCTATAGAACAGGGTATAGTCTAGGTCAATATGAAATGAAATAAAAAATCAAGGAAGAAGAAAAAGAAGAAGAAGAAATATGAAGTCGTAACCGAAAGACAAGATTGAGGGCTGGCAGCGTCGTTATGGGATGAGGAGGACAGGGAGTAGTGGGACAACGGGAAGCTGCGAGGAGCTTAGAGGTCGGAGCTATGTCGATCAGGTAGGTAGGGTAGGAGGTGTAGCAGAAGCACTACTGTACGGAGTAGAAGCGGAAGCAAAGGAAGAAGTAAGCAGAAAGAGAGGATGGGACGGGAAGGATATAAGTACACAAACAAGTAAGCGGCCCCTCAGCTGGGGGAGAGGAAGCCAGGTCACATTGAGTGAGAGAGAGAGAGAGAGAGAGAGAGAGTAGGAGGGAGTAACAATGAAGGAAGAAGGAAGGAAGATCGGGAGGGAAGGGAGAAAGAAGAAGCAAGGAAGAGAGAGAGGAAGAAAGAGAGAGAGGAGAGGAGAGGAGAGCGCTGCTTGCTAGCCAACCTTAGCGATGAGACAGCCAGCCAACCAGATCAAACCCTGGCCCAAAAGCGAGCGGCGAGCAGCACGAAAACCACACTAACTAGATCAGGCTAGTCCCTCCACGAGGGCAGAATGGGGCCCAGGTACCGTATCGCCAAGCTACCTCTCATCACATACATTTGCCCGCCAATAGCAAAGTACCTGCCCAGTTCCAGCTTGTCCAGGGTTGGGTGTTGCCCCACTCCCAGCCACTCGCGACGCTCAGGGCTTACTGCGTACTCCGCTCCGTACACTGTTCCATGGATGATGCCTGCCATTGCCTCCGCGATAATTGGTTGGCTGGAAGGGATTTTCCCCCCCGGAGCCTCGTGTCTTGCAGTTCCGCAGTTCCAGCTCTGCTTCTTGGCGGACGGCTACAGCTGGAATTGTACGGTTATCCGGGCTGGACGCCGAGTGAATGCAAACATGACAATTGGTCCGCTCATACAGACTTGTTTGACAAAACTTGTAATATTGGATTTTTTTTCCCACTCCTTTAAAATGTCTAACAGATAACATAAATAACTCAGAAGAAATGAAAATAATTCTTTGAAAAACAATTAAAATCTAAAAAAAAAGGTAAAGGAAAATGAAAAAAGAAGTAAGACAATGAGAAGGGAATTAAGAAAGAAGATAAAAAATGAAATGGAAGATTAGATAAATCTGAAGAAAAAGATGAAGAGGGGGATTAACTTAATACTTTTAAGATAGAACAAGAAGAGAATGAGAAGAAGAGGGAAGAAAACTAGGGAAATTAAGGATAAAATAAGAAGGGAATTAAAGAAAAGAGCAACCAAGACAAAAAGCAAACAAAAAAAGGAAGTCTATTTATATTCATGATATTAATTATGTCTCTCCACCCGCGCCTTCCTGCCACCACCTGCCACCTGTTTGATTGATGATACCATACCATACCATACCATACACCCTGTCATGCCATTTTATGTAACCCATGCCTCCAAACCATTAATAATCTGGCAAACATCCTATTCCATCCCATCGATTGCATAACACGTCGCGTAAAAAACTCGCCTGGGATCGGGGGGGGGGGGGGGGGGTCTTTCCTGCTGCTGCTGCTGCTGCTGCTGTCGATTGCTGTGTATAAAACAACTTTCTGCGCGGTAGTAAATAGGCATGTGGGGTTGAAGTAAAGGCGAGGTTTGCGGTCGAGGTCGATGGGGTTTCCCGTGATGTAAATACCTGGTCTCAAACCATTCGTAGATGAAGACGAGGGGGGAAAATGAATAGAAAAGAAAACAAAGTAACTCCACCCGGCCCATAATCGTCCCCATCTCTTTTCAACTTCCAATGGGATTCAATCCACCTGTCCATTTCGATTCTTCCCAAACAACACAGCCTGGCCCACACTCCAACAATTGACTCCTGAAAAGGAACAAAAGTAAACGACACAATATGGCACACAATACCCCCGCACCCATATTAACACGTCTATGTATGTATCCTTAGGCATTAGGCGACCCATCAGCCAGACTAGCCCCACCCGAAATCATCCCCTGAACCAACCCTCTCGGTGACCCCATCACAACTAGCAATAACACTACAAACAAAAAGCTGCCTGCGATAACAATCAACCTGCGCTGGATGGGGTTTGCGCTGCCATATTCCGCCCATGTGCGATTGGCGTGGCTGGCGTATTCCTTGAATTTGTCTGCCCCGAGTTTGTAGTAGACCATGCCGCCGAGGGCGATGCTGTAGCCGAAGAGTTGGAGGGGGGTGACGGGGGTCTTCCAGTACGCAGCCGAGATGCTGACGAGTAGGACATCCTTTAGGACACCGCAGAGGGTGAGGACAAGGGAGGAGGTTCTGCCGATCTGTTTTAGGTTTTAGGTGGTTAGTTTAATACATTTTTCAAGAGAGAAGGTTGATGGGGAGATAGGGAAAAGTACGTACCAAGAACACGACAGAGACGTTGAGGAGGAATGCAACCATGGCATTCATGATTAGCGTAATGATACCAGCTCTATAGATATTATCCATAGACACATCTGGCGCTTCCAGGAAGAGTGAGACGATTCCATTCATGACCGCGCAAATGGGGGCGAAGTAGTAAAGCGAGACAAGGGGATCCATCTTAAACTCCGACGAGCTGAGTAGACGCTGGACCATGACGAGACGGATGGCCTCGAAGATTAGGCCGGCAATCTGATAGATGAAGCCGACCATGACGAATTGGATTTCTCCGAATGTGGCGATGACGACACCAATAACGATGAAGGAGACGTTGAAGAGGACTTTCATGTTTGGCGGCGCAACACCCAATGCCCAGGTAGCGAGGAGGGTTACGACGGGGGTGGTTGCCTTTTGGATTTCACGTAAGTATATTAGAATTAAGAGCTTGATACAAACCCTGGCGCGAAGGGTTCTAAACGGGGGGTTTGCGTGGGAGGCCTTCCTACCTTGAGCATTTGGATAAAGGCCACGCTAAGATACATATAGGTCTTGTTACCACAGATCAAGCTCAAGCTGAAGAAGAAGCCGATTGGCACAATGGCGCGCAGGTACACTCTTCCAGTCATCTTGACCTTCTTGCGACCGTCGAGTAAGGTGGTGGTCCGTGCCAGGATCTGGGTCATCAGGGAAGCGAAAGCCATATGCCATGTTGTGAGAATGACCGCTGCCGCATTGTGAGATAATGGTTCCACCATGTAATTTTTCTTGGGCCGGTTAGGAATACATACGGAATGCTAGTATCGATAGAAAGAATAAATTAGTCTTATCGTTCAGTTTTGGTATTCAAGATATCTAAATCTAGAGGGAACGAGGAGTTTGCGGAATGGAATGTAAAGCATATGTCAAAAGGCGGGTGAATAAAACTCACGGAAAATGTTTTCTTTTGAATCAAGGAGTTTCTTGTTGAAGAGGATAACACTTGAGCTCAACGTAATCCACGTACTATAAATTGCCAATAGAGCGAAACAGTCAGCTTCATTGAAACCAATCCAAGAGTTATTAAGACAGGAAAGGCGAGAATAAAAACAAGAGAGTTCATCTCACATCACATAGAAAGCGGGATGGAACCCAGCCTGGGGCTCAGGGGTTGTCGCGAGATTGGAGACAGGCAGGACGGGACCAGAAGAGGACGAGGTCATCGAGGAATCGACTGAAGACTGCTCGCCTGACGTCCTCACTTTCTTCTCCCCTTCAGCACTCATGGCGATGGCGGTAGAGGTACGACGGACCTGGTCTGAGAGGAACCGTTGGAAGTCGAACGGTCGCGACCGGTAGAGGGGACTCTGACCAAACACGTTGGATGCCAGTTGGATGGTGTGTGGGATGGCGACAACGGGGGGAGGAGGTTAAGGAGGAGGAGGATAATGAAAGTGGGTAGAGCAAAAAAAGAAGGACAAGAAAAGAAGAAGCTATGAAAAGAGAATGGTTAGTTAATGGCAAGTTCAACAAGAGAGAAAAAAAAATATAAAAAAAAATAGGTCCAGAGGGAAGGGAGGCCAGTCAGTCAGTCAGTTCCAGGAGTCGAGGATCAGGCAGGCGTAGGATTGGCCTGGGTTGGTTGGTCTCTTGATTGTCTGATTGCTGATTGTCTTGGCCCACTTGGTTACTTCCGATGAAATACGGACATACATTACTATATTTAAGGGGGGGCCAAAAAACACAACTGGTTTAGGGAGGAGAGAAAGCAGGGCAGCAGAGGGACACGAAGCTCAAGCTCAGTTAATAATAATCATGAAGAGTGAAGAGCGAAATAGGAGGGGAAAAAATATTATGGATCGATGGAGAAGCCAGAAAAGTACCTGGGTCTCTCTCTTCACGATGCATGGAATCTACTATACTAAATCTATCCCCCGTCGTCAAAACTTCTTTTTGTACGTTCTCTCTATCTTTTTGACTGGCGTACGGAGCAGAATGAGATGAACGAGGGAGATGTAATGTACTCACTCCAGCAAAAGAATCAGCGCTGGAAAAAAGAGAGGAGCTTGTTTCAAGAGGCACATTCGTTTGAGATATTCATAGCATTCATGGATCCATCCTGGAGAAGAATGATATTCCAGAAAACCGAAGGATGTTTCAACAGGGCCTCCCCCCGACTCCCCATGCCTGCCGTCCCCCATCCCATCCCTGTGTTACCGCCAGGGGAGTACGAAGTACCTAACCGCCTTGGCCATAGCTACCAAAACTCAATGGTTAGTTAACGACAGCTCTTCCAACCTTGAGAATGCGCTGCGAAAGTGTTTCCAAAATTATTATTGAAGGCGAGTTTGAATAACGAAACACAGTCCATGAACTCCCTAGTTAATCTGAATTGAATATTGTAGGTCTAGAGTTTCCCCAGTCAAAGGGTCATGAACACGGCTTTCTCTCTCTTTTTCAGTGAATGAAATCATCATAAATAAATACAGCAATTGAACAAGTGTCATCATGGGGATCGGCCAAGCTGTCTGTCGCAGGCTCCCAGGCTCGCAGGCTCCCAGGCTCCCAGGTTGTGACTTCACTCGGCACTCGCTCGCAGTGGGGGGAGAGAAGCCCTGAGCCAGAATTAATATGCACCAATTAACAATTATCCGTGCAATGCAGATCCTCCGGCTTGGCTGTTCATGTTCCTTATTGCTTATTGCCACAAGATTGGACATTGATTGGGATAGCAAGCTGCATATAGTACGGAGTACAGAATACATAAATGCCTCTAAAGTACTCAAGATTGACAACGGAAAAGCTCTTCTACCAAGGTGTGCCGTGCCATGTTTCAAGATAGTTGACCTCTATGCCTGACATATCTATATGGCCCTGTGCCTGGGAACTCTGGGATCTTAGACACACGGGGGGGATTGTTAAGTTACCCACAATGAAGAAGCTCAATCGATGAGCCAACAACCCTGGAAAATCGTCGAGGAAGATCAGCCCTCTCTTGCGTAAGCATGTTAGATGTCGTGCAGCATTTCATACCAAGCACGATACTTGGAAGCCGCCGGCACCACGCTGCACGCCCATAAAAAAGAGGGAACCATCAAGTACGGGCGGGACATACATAGTGATGATGATAAGACACGTCCACATCCACACGCACACCCCTCCCAATCTGATCTACGCTGCGTATGTTGCGGCATTGTTCAGTGGACCTGTGTATCCTCCAATACATCTGGCTCCGCATCCCCATAGAAAAAAGCCCATGGCTGATCGCAATATTTAGGGTTTGACGCCGTCCTGGAAACTGTCTGTGCTGCTGTGTTCCCGTTTCCGATATGAGTAACCAAGGTTTGTCGTCATAGCTCGTTTCAGAATAAAAAAAGCTTTTCGGACCCATATATATGTGTGTGTATATATATATATATATATATATATAAAAGGAAAGAAAATGTAATGTAATGTACATACATGTAATGTACATGTACAGTACAATAATCAACTCATGGGGCCATGAGACCACGGATGGATAAAAAGGTACGCGGCTGCGGGATGATGGGGAAAAGATAACCTTCCATAAAAGATCCACACTGTTCTTCATCCTCAATGCACAACGGTTTTAAACATTCGCCTTCTCCTCAAAACTGAAAACAGGGGCAGGGACTCCACGAAGACAAAAATGCAGACAGAGTTCTGGCGGGACCGCCAGAATGGGGAGGAGGGAGGAAAACCCCTGGACCCGTTGGACATGGCCGTGGCTGCTAGGTACCTCACACCATCTGCCGTAGAGGAATATCCCACAAGCCGCCATGGATGTATGTCCCTGACCCTGACGCTGAGCAGGGCTCATGGCCCACGGCCCGACGGCCAATATTCACCATACCATTGCAGGTGGCGATCATTTATGGAGCGCAGTTTTCCCAACAGTCTGCAAACCAGGTGCTGCAGGGCCACTCGGCGGGTGGTGATGGTGATGACGATGATGAGACGATGATGAGATGGTGTTGATGACGACGATGATGATGATGATGATGATGATGATGATGATTAAGAAGATGATGAATATTTTGAACTCTCGTGTTACTGTCTGCAGGTTGCTTTGATCATCGCGTTAAAGATCTCCTCCATCTGCCATAGCCTATGTAACCGACGATTCTCCATAGACTGTGTATGATATATGGGATTGGATGAATTTGCATAAGTTGATGTGGCAACTATTGTGATCGTTCAAGCAAGGGGAGGAGGATGTGCCAATACAACTAACTATTTGTACGGAAGCAAAAGTGAAGATATGCTGCTCTTTGCTTGTGTTGCTAGGCTCTCTCTCTCTCTCTCTCTCTTTTTTTTTCCCCCTTGACCCCATTGATTCTCTCATTCATTGGAATTCATTGGATGCTGAATGAATGTCCACAAGAGCAGGCGAGTAACAATTCGCCGGGGAGGATAATGGTTGTAGAAAGCTGTATTGAACTTGATATACTCCGTACACAGGATGTATTGGTTCAGAAATGTCCAACTTGAGTCTTTTTCGGCCAGGATGCACCAGGTTTTGAGTGAAAAGTATCTCCCAAGCACAAGCACCTATGAAATGTATTTTCCCCCAAGAAGGGCTGATTGTGGTCAATAAGAAGCAGCAAGCGGTCTCTGAAAATCATGGATATCTAGATCGCCCTACGCTGCGTACAAACACAGTCCCGAGTCATCTTTTGCCCATTTTAAGGTTTTAAATACTTCTAAATATCCGCGCTAGCACGATGCTTCCTCGCTCGAATCTCGTCGCCAGCGCATACACCACACCACCACACACCACACCACGGGCCATGATCCTTCGCCCGTTTCCCTTTCCCTGTCGTTAAGTTAGTAGTTATTATTGTTTCTCTTGTTACTTAATTGTCCGCTCTCATTGCCCGGCTGCGTGTTGTTCTTTTTCACCACATTAAAATACATTATTATACGCGCGTTCCCTCCCCTCCCCTCCTCCCTCCTTCGCTTTCCCCCCCGTTCCACCCCCCCACCAGTTCCCCCCCAGCTATTTTGCATACAGCTACAAGACAGACCGCCCTTGACAAGAACAACACTTACAACAACTCCAGATACTCCCCCCCTATTTTTTTTTCTTCTGTATTTTCATGCTCAGTCTCGCTCGCAAAACTCTGCAGCGCGTGCCCAGCTTCCAGGATATTTTACAAGGCAGAATGACACACCCAGATATGTATGTGCGCATTTGGCTCTTCCCCCCTTATCCTCTCTCTCTCTCTCTCTCTCTCTCTTTTCTCTTTTAGTTTTTTTTCAATCACTAACCGGCTGCCATATAGCTCAGTCGATGTCCTGGTCATCGGGGCTGGTCCCACTGGTTTAGGTGCTGCGAAGCGCCTCAATCAGATTGTACGAGCGTCCCCTCACCTTAAAACCCTTCCTAGACATTGAGATATTTCTATAGAGATATATATATGCTTCAATTTTGCTAACACACCTGTGTTCCTGAAAAATAGGATGGACCATCTTGGATGATTGTGGATTCCAATGAGACCCCTGGCGGTCTGGCCTCTACAGATGTTACCCCGGAGGGATTCGTGAGTTTCATACCTTTCTTCAGCAAATTTAACCCCCCCCCCCCCCCGTCTTCAATTGACTACACTTCCATTTTTAATAAGTAAGGCATGCTAATTATCCTCAAATCAACAAACAGCTATATGATGTTGGCGGCCACGTCATCTTTTCCCACTACAAATACTTCGACGATTGCATTGACGAGGCCCTGCCCAACGAGGACGACTGGTACACTCACCAGCGCATCTCGTATGTCCGCTGCAAGGGCCTCTGGGTCCCCTACCCGTTCCAAAATAACATCTCCATGCTTCCCAAGGAGGACCAGGTCAAATGCTTGGATGGTATGATCGACGCCGCCCTTGAGGCCCGCGTTGCCAACACAAAGCCCAAAGACTTCGATGAGTGGATTCTCCGCATGATGGGGAGTGGAATTGCAGATTTATTTATGCGCCCTTATAATTTTAAGGTCTGGGCTGTGCCTACGACTAAGGTATGTGAAAAAAAATATATTCCCCAATTTTTTTTTCTTTTTTTTAAATATATATATATACTTTTCATTTTTGTATTTTTTTTTGCAGTTTTGATCAATAACGAGGCATCCCGCTGACTCTACCTGCTACTACTATTAGATGCAATGTGCCTGGCTTGGCGAGCGCGTCGCAGCGCCCAATCTCAAGGCTGTGACCAGAAACGTCGTCCTACAAAAGACCGCCGGTAACTGGGGTCCCAATGCGACTTTCCGCTTCCCCGCCCGTGATGGTACCGGTGGAATCTGGATTGCCGTCGCAAACACTCTGCCCAAGGAGAAAACTCGATTCGGCGAGCACGCCAAGGTCACCCAGGTCAATGCTGGCAATAAGACCGTTGTGCTTGCCGATGGCACTACGGTCGGCTACCAGAAGCTCATCTCTACCATGCAGGTGGACACCCTTGTCGAGCAGATGGGGGATAAGGAGTTGGTCGATCTGAGCAAGGACCTCTTCTACTCCTCCACCCACGTCATTGGTGTTGGTATCCGTGGTGAACGACCGGAGAGAATCGGCGACAAGTGCTGGGTATGTCACCGTCCTCCCCCTTGTACATCTATCTCCTACATTAAAAAATAAAAATACTAACTTCCAACCCTCCAGCTCTACTTCCCCGAAGACAACTGCCCCTTCTACCGCGCCACAATCTTCTCCAACTACTCCCCCAACAACCAGCCATCCGCCGACAAAAAGCTGCCTACCCAACAACTCGCCAACGGCTCCAAACCCTCCAAACCTTCCCCACAGCCAGGTCCATACTGGTCCATAATGCTCGAAGTCTCCGAATCCTCCCTCAAACCCGTCAACGCCGCCACCATCCTCGCCGACTCCATCCAAGGCCTCATCAACACCGAAATGCTCAACCCCACCGACGAAATCGTCTCCACCTACCACCGCCGCTTCGACCACGGCTACCCCACCCCGTCCCTCGAGCGCGAAGGCGTCCTCACCCAGCTCCTGCCGCGCCTGCAGGCGCAGGATATCTGGTCGCGCGGCCGCTTCGGCAGCTGGCGGTACGAGGTCGGCAACCAGGACCACTCGTTTATGCTCGGCGTCGAGGCTGTGGATAATATTGTCAATGGCGCTGTGGAGCTGACGTTGAATTATCCGGATTTTGTCAATGGGCGGCAGAATGGGGAGCGGAGGCTTGTTGATGGGGCGCAGGTGTTTGGGAGGGAGAAGAAAAACTAGATTTCCTTTTTACTGTTTTTACTGTTTTTTTTTTTTCTTTTTTCTTTTTTCTTTGTACCCTTTGCAGAAGTGTAAAAAGGACTACGTAGGTGTTTTAGAAGGTTGGGGGTGGTGGTGTTTAATAATATAAATTAGAATGAGGGCCCGGAGAAAGAAGTGAGGATAAACAAATAAAAGAAGAAAGAAGAAAGAAGAGAGAAGAGACATCTTTAGATATCGTAGATATACATACATATATGGGAGATTTGGCCTTGGGGGGTTACAGTACATGTGGTGTGTGTGGTGTGACAAGGCTTTTTTTTGTTTTGTTTTCCCCTTTTTGTTCTTCCTTCAAAATAATAACCAAAAGCCATGAGCTACCATATGCTCTTGCTGGCATAATAATGACATTGCGAGCAGATCTCTTTCCAAAGACACAAGAACACTCTACTTGATATGAAACTTGATGCGCTAACTAGCCAGGTATGGTATCATCAGCTCGTTGATATTGATTTCACATTTAACAACAGCAATAACAAGAAAAATGAGAAAGAAAGGAATAGAAAAAAATAGAAAAAAATACAAGTGAGAAGATAAGAAGAAGCTAAAAGAATGACAGCAGTAATAATATAAGGTCTCGAGCAAGAGCCAAAGAAGTCATGAATCATAATTCCATAAATCATGAAAAAAACATGCGCTGAAAAATATAACTGCAAATGCATACCACCATAACAGCCAACTATTTAGTTAATCAACCTAAGCACAAATGAATTCTGCTCCTCAATAAAATTGAACAAGAAGAAGCCTCACAAAGAAAAATAGCACCATACAACCACTGCAGAAGGAACAGAAGGGGAGAAAAAAGGAAAGGAAAAGAGAAAAGAAACCTGTGAGAGAATTCCGAAGCCATTCTGATAACTACACCTTCCTCGAGAAAATTTCTTCCATCACTGACCTCATGCCTAAAACAAATGTACATGTCATACATGTACAATGCAAAAGAGGCTCACGTTTTGAAATGTGAAAATTAAACGTAACAATGACCTTCTGAATTGAGCCGTCTAACCTTCATTGTCCATCAGTGTAATGGCATAGTGATCACATATTATTAGGGCCTCCTCCAGGGTGGCTAGTAGGATCAGGAGCCCAGTTGAATTGCTGAATTCGCCAGCGCACACCCAGAGGCATCTGGAATGATCCCGCAGGCAGCCGACTTGTCACAGGCTCACTAGCACTGTTATCGTGCACCTGTTGGCCTGCTTGCTGGACTAAGTATCCGTGCCCTGTTGGATATGCTGAATTTGTGGTTGGTTCAGTATATTGTTGCTGCTGTTCCTGGTTCAAAGCCTATAAGCTCGTGATCATTTAGTTAAACAGCTTCTCGGAAGCCATATTAAACAAACCTGCAAAAAGGATTACATCGATAAATCATAGACTGACCGGACTTGGTGGAATAGGGTTCCTGACAATGCCGCCCAAGGGTACATGATAGTAATTTATGCCTGTATGACGGAGTGGGATTGCAGGCTGCGGCTGGTTCGCTGGAGTCAATACTGGGTATGTGGGAGTCATTGGCTGCAGGGTCAACCAAGGCAATGTAAAGAACGTATAGGATTGTGGTACTTGCGGCAGCCCAATCGCTTCCTGGGAAATTCTCTCGATTTGAGGGATTTGGTCTGCAAAAGCTTTTGGTGCAATAAGAAGGATTCGGCCCGTGCGGGTAACAATGCTTGAGGATGCAATTGGATAACCTTGAGTCGGGTTCCTGGAAGTTGATACGGTGCTGACACCCTCCACACTAGATGCCGGTGTCGCAGGGGATTGATCTGGGCTCGACGATCCGCTTTGGGAGGCCTGGGATGATGCTACCTCTTCAGGAGCTACTTGAGGCAACATATTAGCGTCAAAGTTGCGGCCCATTTTGATTGAAGTAGCTAAATACTTCGATACAAATTGGTAATGTTGAATGAGTATTTATTTGGGTACAACGTATATGGTAATCAAACAAAGAAAGATCCCAATTATGGAATTCATGAAACGTGAAAAGTTGTGTAAGGAAAAAGAATCTTCGAGGGCTTCTGTGGACAAGAAAAGATATTTATACCAGAAACCAAGCGGCTTACCTACCAATTGAATCAAATCCGTAGCAAGAGAGTGAAGTTATTGCAGAAGCGTAGCTGTTGTCAGGTACCCCCTTCGGGCAATGCCACTGACATTGAAAGCAGTTGACATTCGAAACTTTCTTAACAGTTCGACTGTTGTCACTGCCACAATTGGCATCGCTGGTGGCAGGGGACTGGCCAAAGTGATTAAAAAATGGATCGATTCCGTAGAGGCTTGTTGTAAGCTCCCGGTTGCTGCCAGGGTTGGATGAGGTAAAGCCATCCTGACTTTCACTTTCCAAATCGGTATCCTGAGAGTGTGAAAGTGAAGGTGTAGATGCTATAGATTGGAAGTACGGGGAGCTGCAGCGCGCGGACCTTGGCGGAATTGGACCCGTAATAGCACATCCCAGAACTGGAAATGCTTTGTTCGACTCTTCTGAACATAGAAAAATATCTGAATAAAGAGCATGACACTTTAGCGGAGGAAATCCTGGCGGTATTAGAAATGATGCCATTGGCTTCATTGGGTAGAACGGAGTCGTTGAAAAGTCATCTCCCCGCTCCTGGCACAAGTTTCCACCAACAGGCCCAGAAGACGAAGCAAACGGACCAAGCCATATGGATGGTGAAAGGAATGAGGTAAAGCTCAGCGTTATTGTTTCCAATTGCTCAGCCAGACGAGTATCATCAGTCCCGGAGGGCGGAGCCTCTTGGTGGCCAGGAGATAGCTGATGGTGTGTCTCTTCGGATGAGGTCTTTCGTTTACCCTTACCACTACTGAGGCTGGGAGAGCTGTCACAATCATCAGGGCCACAATCTGTAAACTCCTCGAAGCTACTGGAATCAAGGGCAAGAAGAGGAGAATCCATGGGCGCCGCTTCTGATGAGGACTGACGCTGTCGATGTGGTGATACATGTAGATCTCCACCTCTTTCGAGAATTCGAGCAACCAGAATCCTCTGGACACTTGAATAGATCTCGTCGTCCGAGGGGACAATGTGAGTTGGACGTAGTCGAAACATGGTTACAACAAGCCATGCACAATGCTGTTATGATCCAAAGCAAGGAATATAAAGAGGCACAGGAGAGCACATGGGATTCAGCAGCGACAGCAATGGATTTGTTAAAAAAGAAATACCCCGACCAAGAAGGGTATAGAAAAGAAGGGAAAGAAGCCATGTCAACAAAGAACATGGTGTTGTTACTGCTACTTCCCTTCATATTAATTAGATTGTCGTTATCATAATGGATGGATTGGATTTGCGTCCCCATTCTCTGCGGCAGGCGCAGGGCGATCCCCGATAGGGCTGAAGTTCAGCACGCACAAGCGCACAAGGTAAGCATAGTGAAAGAAACAAGCCAAGGGCGAGACACCCTTGGTAGCCTTGGGAGTCCACCACCTGGCATGGCTTGGAACGACTGCTATATATAGCAATTCCTGCTTGGATTTGTTTCGTTCCAGAAGAATGTGTCCCAATAGCGTTCGGAGAGAATGTATGTTCTGTATGATTGAGGTCAGTTCTCTTGCTGTATGCAGATCTAAGACAAGCCGATAGAGTCGAGGTGCCAATATCCAGTGTGTGCACTGCGTGTACTTATAGGTATATCCCATCTGTTGCTGGAAGAGAGTATACGTGTATCAAATCTCCTGCTGAATCTCCATTCTGCCATCAGCATGGATGCCAAGACGAACCTGTGACAGAAACAGAGAACGGTTTTAATACGGTATGTAGATTACAAAATTTGAAATCCGGGGTAATTTTAGAGCAAACGGACAGCCAAGTGGGCGTGCTATACCGTACGGTCTTGTCACATAGATTACCATGTCACCACTGATCTTGTATTTGATACACATATCTTGGTTGGGCTAGGTACCGCTGCCATCAGCGCTGTTCTCCTCACCCAACGACCGCCGCCAAACCTCCAAGAAGAAGAACCCAATATCTCACTCACACATAACCATCAATCAATCCTCGCTTCCGAGTCCTTCAGCTCAACCTCAACCCCGTCTCCCTTGTCTCCCGTTGCAATTTTCTCGCCCTCTGTCTCTGCACTCCGCGGAATTGCCTTCTTTGGAACACGACTTCTCTTCCTCCCCTGGGTCTGCTGCTGGACTGCACTCCAGGATTGTCTTTCTCTGGCTGTATCGTGCACCTGTCATGCCTTATAGGTCGTTCCAACAACCGGCGTAGTCTCTATTTTGTGAGACCACTCATCTGGTTAATTATTCCGCACTTTCGTCTATCCTCCCGGTGTTTGCCAGCCCCTTGTTTCACTTGACTGCCACGTCTCTCTCCCCACTCGTTTTCGCACCCTTCTCTATCCTACACCACGGAACTCCTCTTGCCCATATCCCTCCTTGCCATGGATGGGGATCTAAGCCTATCGCAGTCCTTTGGGGGCCTGCGGATTGCAAACCCAGACGACTCCTCGGCCCAGGCGGTAGACAAGGCTCCAGCATCTCCATCAACACTTCCTCCCCGAACGGATTCGCCTGCCATGGTCGATGAACGAGTTCCCCCTCAACCTGAAATCAACGCCCATTCATCCTCTAGAACCCAAGACTCTTCCCCTCATATCCAAAATAACAGATTATCGGTTGGTTATGGATATCAGAACCCCCCGGCCCCACAGCAGCCGCAGCACCAGTATCCCCAATATGCTGCAGCCGCTTCTCAAACCTCAACCTCCCCTGGCCCCCAAAATCCTGGACGTCCACTGTCGGTATACTATACACAACCCTTGACCAATGGGTCGTCTTCAAATCTGGCTGCTAGGGAAGGATATCGACTCCGTACAGAGTCCTCTGCCTCATCCGCCTCTGACAGTCAATCACGATCGGATTCTCGTGGTGGATCCGCAGCTCTGCAAGCAGGAGTCCCAGTACACGACAATAGCCATTCCGATAGATCCTACAAACAGACACAATTTCATAGCGGGAGCGCCCCACTGCCACCCAGGGGGAGCTCTCGAGCAACACATAACAATGGAGCTTCCCCGCTCTCCGGTTCTCCGTATGGCTTCGAGATTGTCGGGCTATCCAGCAGTGAAGAATGGCAGGAGCGTGGAGCGGCTGTTGGTGTACGGCAAGAAATCGACGCGAATGGCAAATCCGTTTCGAGATTGGTGAAGAAAGGCGTTAGAGACTTTTCCTTCGGCCGCACGCTTGGTGAGGGATCATACAGTACAGTAGTTGCAGCCACTGATCGCCAAACCTTAAAAGAATACGCCATAAAGATACTTGACAAACGGCATATCATCAAGGAAAAGAAAGTGAAGTATGTTAACATCGAGAAGGATACATTAAACAGATTGACCGACCATCCCGGTGTTGTTCGATTATACTATACATTTCAGGATGAACGATCTCTATATTTTGTCCTTGACCTTGCGAGCGGAGGAGAGCTATTAGGGGTGTTGAAACGGATGTCGTCGTTCGATGAAGAATGCACTAGATTCTACGGGGCGCAGATTCTTGATACCATTGACTACATGCACAAACGTGGGGTTATCCATCGAGATCTTAAACCGGAAAACGTACTACTTGACAGCCAGATGCATGTGAAGATCACCGACTTTGGCACGGCTAAAATATTGGATCGTTCCAAGAGACAGGAGGAAAAGTCGAGTGGTATGCCACAGATGGACACTGATGGCCCTACCCAGGATCGGGCCAATTCCTTCGTAGGAACTGCAGAGTATGTCAGTCCAGAACTCCTCACAGACAAGAGTGCCTACAAGGCAAGTGATTTGTGGGCCTTTGGATGTATCATCTACCAATTATTAGCCGGACGACCTCCGTTCAAAGCTGCGAATGAATATCAAACATTCCAAAAAATTGTTGGCCTCGAGTATGAGTTCCCTCCAGGATTCCCGGCAGTTGCTCGAGATTTAGTTGAACGGCTCCTTGTGCTTGACCCGTCTAGGCGCTTGCAAATCGAACACATCAAAAACCATGAATTTTTCGACGGCATCGTTTGGGGTCGTGGCCTTTGGAAACAAAAAGCACCACGTTTAAAGCCATACGTTCCGCCACCACCAGAGCCAATCAAACTAAACGGTACCAGTAAGGACGACAGTTTCCCCCCAAACATCACAATTAAGGGCGTTGGATCTTCTGGTAACCCAGGAAACGCAAGGCCATATCCACGCCTTGTTACTGATCTCCCACCTCCTTCGCAACTTGATATTGAGTGGTCTCCCGTTTTGACTCGCACAAACGAACGTATATTGAAAATGGGCAATTTGGTTGTTTTGTCTGCGCCTGCTCCTCACAATGGACACGGAAAAGGTGGACATGGCGACGGTGATGCCCCCAAGAAGTTTTCTCGATTTTTCGGAGGGAACACGACTAAGAAGCGTCAGCGATTAGTTATGGTAACCTCTGCTGGCCGCGTCATTATCGTGCCCGCTGGTGGAGAGGAAAAGAAGGCAAAAATGGATATCTCTCTCCTAGCGCCAGGCGCACAATATCGATGCACCACGGATGTAAAAGGCTATTCATCATGGGTAGTAGATACGGTAAGAACAACCTCCCCGGTTAGTTATAGCTTGATCGTTTGTTAATTTGATTTTTCTACTTTTTACAGCGCGACAAACACTATGTTTTTGAAGACTCGAAACCATTCTCTTCGGATGTTGCAGCATCTGCTCTTTCTACACAAGAATGGATAGATACGTTAGATCTTGCCAAAGAGATGGCGGCATTCCAAGCGTCGAATAGTTCCTATGGCGATGATACGTTGAGGGACCTATCGTCTGGTGTTTCGAGCCATGCAAACACCATTGATCGTTCCGATGATTTCTCCGCCAATTCCAACGCGCCACAAGCAAGTGGACGAGCCATGCTTGTCAAGCATCATGCCGCAGGTGATTCGGAATCCGTGAAGGGGAAGAAACGATTCAGTCGACGCCACTCAAAGAACGGATTGTCTGCTGTTTTCTGACACTCGTTTTTGAACGGAAGATAGAACCCCCCAAAAAGAGACAAGGAAGAAAAGGAAGAGCGTCCTTAGTTTCATATTCTTTGGCCTTTTCCGATTAAACATACAATACCCCCACCATATTTCCCTATTGCACAGCGTTCTAAGTCTCACATATTTATCTGCCGCTTCTTCATTTAGTTCTCTTTTTCCAGCCGTGTCTTCTTCCGTTCACCACCATTCATACTTTCAGGCATTTGACAGCGTATACAGCTCACACCCGCCTCGTTTATATACTTTTCTCTTCGCTCTTTCTCTTAACTTCTCATATCTTTCTTGTCTGACTCAAATCTGGTTTAGCTCTGCCCCTCCTTTTCTTCTTCTTCTACTCTTTTTTAATTCATGACCCCCCCTTTTTTTTCACTTCTCATACCGTTCTAGCGACGATTCATGACATCTCTTTACACGCTTCCGCCCAGATTCCACCTTGGGTACTTTGAAGTTTTCGCGAAGCGTTTTAGTGTGTGGGGCGTTTTCGAATTATCCAATATACTTTCTCCCCTCCCCTTCACCCTACTTTTATATAATTTCCTATTACCCAGTTTGCATTTTTGGCTGGAAAGATATCGTTTACATTTTCTCCAAGTGAAGTTTCCATGAAGTGAATTATACATATCGTACCATATTGGTCTCTCTTCTCTTCACTTCTCTTTGATTGCTCGTCATTTTTTCTTTTACTTTCCCTTAATTTCACCGGTGTGCGCGTTTTGTATGTTACTCCCAGAGCATTCCTACTTTTAGAGAATGATTATAAGCACTTTAGCTGCTTGTTTTCGGTTTTTGTTTGATTTTCTCTATTTTATCCCACCTATTTTTTTGGCCCCCCCTACCATTGTTTTTAATGCACATGATACACTCTAGCTGATATTTGATGTCGGTCTATTTTATATATTCTATCTTCATTTCATTTCACGTCTGGTGAGATTCCTGCCGGGAAAATTGGACCTGACTAGGCTTGGATTTTTTTTTTTTTTTTTTTTTTTTTTTTTTTTTTTTTTTTTTGAGGTGGTATTTTAGCTTTGCTGTACGGAGTACAATGAATGTCCTTGATCCTTCTCATTTGGTTTTGATTTTATGTGGATATATACCTGATCCGATAATGCAACTTGTTTTAATTTCCCTCTAATCTGTCTTCCCTTTTTGAGAGGAAGGGGAGAAGAAAAATCCACCCTCAAGAAAAGCCACTAACTAACGTTTTCCATCCTTGATTCTATCCTTCTCCCCAGTTGCAGATATATGACATCACATCAATTTTACAGTTAGTAGATCACGTTATTAACAGGACTTATGCTAGTTTTCATTGCAAATCCTATAAATTAGATATAGCTACATAAATTCAGGGCTTTGGAGATGTGAAATGCTTTTCAGAATCTAAATATTATATCTGGTTCCAAGGTTGCATACGCTGCGTATGTAGCTTCCTACATCCTAATTCCGCTACTATTATTTCCCCATCACTAGCCACAATGTTTGAACTTCCCACGGAGTCCTCAGTTTCACGGGAATGAGATTATTGCTGGTTTGTTTCAAGATGCACCAAGCCGGGGTCCCGTTTCTGCCTGTCTGGTTGAGTCCCCAAGCCAGCCCAGGTTTTTGTTGCTCTTTGACGCTCCTGACGGGGACGACGGGGGAGGTTTGTCTCACATGTGAGAGAAAAGGCAAAAATCCCAGCCCATCCCAGCCTTTCTGTCATAGCTGTCATTGCCCTGTCAAGAGCGGTTTTCTCGTGTGGTGATAGGGTAGGATGATGGTGTCTTGGTGGCTCAACAGCCTCGCCACTCAGCTCGTCTATTTAGTTAAGCTAATTGGGAGATTTTACTCTTTAATGGCGGGATGGGATGGAGGCTGAGCAGGTTGAGCTCCTCTTCTTTTCCTTCATCATGCGCTGAAAATCTCTCTGCTCTGGTGGTCTGCTCTGATTTTGTGAAAAAAGAAAGAGGAGCGACCCCTGTGTGTGTACAGAGTTATTTGTTTGTGTTGTGGCTCGAGGTGTCCTTGGCCCTGGCGGGCGTGGATAGTATTTAGTTAAATATTGCCTGTTATCCACTCCACTATCAACAGCGACGGGATGCTGAGACAAGACAACCGACCCGGGACTAAAACCGCGCAAAGCTGTAACTAAATCGCTGCTGTTGGGTCCGCCTCGCGTCTGCGTTCTCTGTCAAATCCCTTTCCTTGACAAGAACCTGCTGGGCATCGTTGGGATTGACTCGCTCGAGAAACGTTTGAACGCCTGAAGAACCGGATTCTGCTGCTCCTGAGCGCTATCCCACCCATCAGGAGCGCATCCTCACCGTGTCTGTCTGTGACAACTCTCGCCGTCCCTCCAGGTCGAGGATCTCCCTGTTTCGGTCTCTTTTTTTCTTTTTTTACTGTTTCCTCCTGTGAATAAAGCATATCTTATCTTACATATTGACATTTTCTATCTATCCCTAATACACAATAAACAAATACATCCATTCCAACCAGACCCATGCCATGTGCTCCAACTTGATGCGATGCTCCTCCACCTTTCCCGTCCCTCAATAAATCGAGCCTCCTCCAATCCTCCTGAACCTCGAACAACAAGGACAGCAGCCTCATCAACTTCACCAACCTCACCTACAACGGCAGACATGGTATCCCACCCAGACACTCCCGGCCGCGCCTTGACAGTCCCCGCCCCCACGTCCGTCGCTTCCTCCTCACGCGTCTCCCACTCTCATCGCCGTCACCACGGTTATTCCCACTCCCAACATCAACATTCCCGCTCCGGCCGCTCACATCATGGTGGTTCTACTCGCCAACCTCAAAATCAATTCCCTATCTTCGCCGCGACGGGAGATGTCGAGATCGTCATCCGTGCATCAGCGCAGGAAAGGCGCTATTTACTCCATCGCCTGATCTTGGCGCGTTCTTCGGGCTTTTTTGATGCGGGCACGAGTGAAGAGTGGTCGCGGGTACAGGCGGTGAGAGAGGCCCATATGGTAGAGGGGGGTGATACGAACGACAATGGCGATTCTAATGCGGAGCGCGGGCTAGCAATTATTCCTGATGAAGATGGGGGCGGAGAAGAATTTGTTGCGCATCATCGGCGTGCTTCGTCGGCACCCTTGAAGACGCGGTGGAGGTATGAATTGGATTGGGATAATAGGGAGGAAGATGAGATGCCGATTCTTGTGCAGAAGGTGAGATGAAAATTTTCATTTACGTCAAGAAAATAACACATCTCTGTATATGCTGATATCACCCGCAGCCACCATCCCAAAACAACTCGATATTCGGCGGAAACTATCGCCCACCCAAACCCCCACCCGCCCGCACAAAACCTCCCCCACCACAACAAGGCTTCTTCCGCTCCATCACCAGCCTTACCGGAATCCAATCCGCTCTCCACCTTCCAAGCACCACGACATCAACTTCAGTAGCAAAGACCGCCATCGAAGAAACCCCCCTTGACCCCACAATCTGCGACTATGACAATCTCTTCCGCATCTTCTATAACTATCCTCCACAGCTCAACGCCGTAAACATTGCCTCCGCCTATTCAGAATGTAAATCCCTCCTAAACCTCGCTGACATGTACGACGCCCTTCCTGTTGTGGGACCCCGCGTCGACCATCACCTCCTGCGCTTCTCATCCCGTCTGTACAAGCAAATCGCAAAATATCCCCCCAGCTACCTACGACTGGGCTACCTAGCCCGAAGCCATGTAATATTCACAGAAGCCCTAATCCATGTTGTGGGCCAATGGCCCGCCGCGCTACCACATTTGGGTCATGGTTCATACTCACCCCTACCGGACCCCGTGCTAGATCTCATTGAGGATAAAGTAGAGGATCTAGAAGATTTGAAAGCGCGTGTGGAGGCGAAGTTGTTCCGATTATCACTAACGACCTCGAGAGGAGAGCGGGTTAGCCCTTTCAATGCATATCTGGATTGGTTAGCGGTGTCGCTGTTTCGGCAGTGGCTTGTGGAGAACACAACACCCCCCCCGGCAGGGATATTGAAGGCGTTGTCGTCACAATCGCAGTCCCGAGGAGGAGGGAATAGCAATTATAGTACCGGTAGCGGCGCTCTCGCGACAAGCAATGGCTACGGCGATACTAGCACCGTGACAGCGGCGAATTCAAATAATAACAGGAATAATATACCCACAACCACGAGCACAACAACAACAACAACAACCATGACTAGCGCAGGCGCTTCTAATAATAAACATTATAGTCAAATCACCCCCCCTTCCTCCCCTTACTCTCCCGGCCGCACATACCGCCTTCTCGGCTCCCCTTCAAACCAGGCATACCTCCCGCACGAGGAACTAAAGAGATTCCTCAAACAGTCCCATACAAATTCGCATGACTCGCTTTACTCGCGCGAGAATCTGAAGAGATTCGAGCGCAAGATGGATGAAATTAAGAGACTGGCGAGAGATATTGTGAAGCCGCTTATGAGAAATTTTCTGGAATTGGATTTGAGGAGTTTGAGCGGCAGCGGAACGGAAGATGCCGGAGGTGTTTTGCTGCCGTATTTGACGTGTACGAGGATGGAGGATGGGGATTATCCGTGGGAGTGAGCTATATATCTGTATCTGCCTTGGCTTTCGAGTTGACAAGGTTTCAATTAGGGTGAGCTGTGTTGGGTTGGGTTGGGTTGAGGTGAGGTGAGGTGAGGTAAGGTAAGGTCAGGGTGAAGGGTTTGTTCCTTCTTTACGTCCTTTTCCTCCTTTCTTGTCTTTATTCTATTATATTTGTTCTACCTCTTTTTAATATTCTTCATGTGGACGGCGATATTACCCCTGAGTGGTTTTTTCATTTCATGCACTTCCCTTTTGGAGAGAGATTGAGTCTCGTCTTTTTTTCTTTTTTCCTCCAATTCATTTTGTTTTCTTGTGTCACTTCTATTATTTTCACGCGTTTTCCCAAACTGTGCTCACGAAACGAATATATGATATATACCCCCCCCTCCCACTTTAACTTCCCATCTTATCTCTCTACAAGCATCCCTCTTGTGTTAACTTCTTCCCTTTCCCCTTTTTATTTATTTCGTTGATGATTGGAACGCGACGTAAATGACTATTTCATATCTTCTTCTTTCCTTTTCTATTTCCTGTTAATATATGCAACATGATGATATCATATTATGGCATGGAGATCGATAGTTAATATGAGTTACCTTGGTAGAGGCAGGTAGTTGATCAGTCACACAGTGTAATCGATGTATGTATGTATGTATTTATCTAGACTATGAAACGGCAGAATGTTATAGGGAGGAGAGTTTTGAATGTAGAGTATCAATGTGTATGTATATACAGATTTTTTCTTTAAAACTCTGGATAAAAATATCTGTATATATGGGAAATAGAATGAAAACATACTCTATGCTTCTATCGTACATTTGAGTATCAATATTCCCTAGAATCTACTATTTACAATGTATACGCCCACCCAGTATCCATGGTATATATGACACAAATCTACATATCATACATCCTCAAACTCAAAAGGCCCCTTCACCCGTTCCCCTAAATAAATTCCAGCTTCGATTAACTCTCCTCCTTGCCCCCTATAACCCCTATTCCCCCCATCCACGTTCTCAGAACTTCTGGCAACACAACAACCCCCTTCTTCTCATCCCACCCGTGCTCCAACAACGCCGCAATAATCCTCGGGACTGCCATCGCCGTCCCGTTCACCGTATGCGGAAACTTCCCAGCACCACCATCACCAGCGTCAGACTTAAGCCTTGTCCCTAGCCGTCTGGTTTGGTAATCTGTGCAGATGGAGGCGGAGGTCACCTCGCCCCAACCTGATTCCACGTCAATGTCGTTGTTGCTGGTCGCATTGCTAGTGGCATTTTCGGTGGGCGAGGAGGAGTGCGAGGAGGCCATCCGGGAAGGAAACAGGACCTCTATATCCTGCTTGCGGGCGGCGCTGGCTCCGAGGTCATGTGCGGGCATCTCTAGGACGCGACACGGGAGATTTAGCGCGGTGAGGATTTCAGTTTGGAGCGCGAGGATGTCGTCGAAGAGGGTTGTTGCTGTTACCGCTGCACCCCCGCCCTTGCCATTAGATGCTGGCGTAGCCTTGCGAGTGGTACCTTCACCAGCAGAATCTGGCATCGCCCATCCAAACAGCTCCACCTTCGTAAATTCATGAACACGATACAGACCCCGTGTATCCGCCCCTCTTGCGCCAGCTTCTGCCCTAAAACACCGACTAACCCCTACCATCTTCATCGGCAACTGGCTCTCCTTCCCCTTTCCTCCAATCTCCTGCCCCGCAAACATCGCCGCAAGCGGAATCTCCGCCGTGCCCGCTAGACACCGCCCGGGCCTGCCGCGCGCTACATCTCTCTCACTCTGCTCGATATGGTATATTTGCTGCTCATTATGCGCATCGCGCGGTTGGAATCCACACGCATGCGCAATATGCGAGTAGACGAGGGATGGCGGAGAGACTGCTTGCCAACCCCGTCGCAAGGCGACCCTGAGCGCGTATTGGATTAGAGCTTGTTCGAGCAGAGCAGCTTCGTTGGTCAGGTAGTACCAGCCCCAGCCGCTGGCGTGGGAGGCGCTGGCGAAGTTTAGTAGATTGAGGGCTGTACCGATGGTGACGTGAGAGGTGGTGTGGGTGGGTAAGTTCGCAGGTGAGTTCGGGTCGTAGTTTATGTAGTTTACGACGCGGGGCTCGGCTCCTGGTGGTGTTTCGGGGCTTGTGAGGTTTGGGAGAGAGAGGCCGAGACGTTCTATCTCTTTGGCGTGGGCTGCGCGGGTTGTTGTTAGGTGGTGGGATTGGTCCTTGAGATGTTGCGCGGAGAGGCGGAGGGTGGACAGTTCTTCTTCAACTTTTGTTTTTTGTTTCTGTTTCTCTACTGGATCTGCATTGCATGAGTCAGAGGAGTCCTTCCTGAGTTTTGCGATAGCGGACTCTATTTGTTTGATCTTGCGCTGTGGTTCTCGCAGGGCAACTTGTAGCTCGTGGGACTCTGCAGAGAGGCGTTGGATCTCGTACGGATATTGGGCAAGGTCATGGTAATTGCGGTCAATGCAGTTTTGGGAGTAGAGAGCGGCATTTTCGCGGATGTGTTTAATGTCCGGCGTTGGTTTCGGGGCTGTGGGTGGGCGGGGTGCGGTGTTTACTACGGCGGACGTGGATGAGAACCGATGAAGAGATATGGAGAAAGAGCGGTAGAATTGGGAGAACGTGCTGAGTATTTGCCGGTTGTGAAGCTTGCAACTGAGGCAGACGTAGGGATTCCTCAGTGCAGCCATTGGAGGGGGTGGCATGATGCGCAGGGCGATGTGGATGTAATGGTTGTTAAGCGGAGAGATAACTAGAGGAGATATTGAATCTGAAGTTTGGAGATGGAAAATTGTTTAGCCGGCCAGCATCATTTTTCAAGCACATGCTTTTTTTTCCTGCGTTTCTCTTAACTCAATACATGATTGGAATATTCTAAACACTCCAATCAATTGGATCTAATCTCTAGATGATTGATTGAGCGGCGTCATGATAATAGACGAAAAGGCAATATATTTGCCCAATTTTGTCCGTATATAGACTTGATATTCCGAATATCATAGTGTGAAAACCACAGCGACCCACGTCCGTCCCTTCGGAAGCCCGAGTCTTCTTGAAATACCCGTACGTCTTCATCCGATGAATCCATAGCAAAACTCGATATACTTCTAAAGATTCTAGAGAAGTTCCTCTACTCTGCCCGCACTAGACAATGCATGATTTTTTCCACATTTCTATTTTCCCACAATGATCCTCGATGTGCCAATGAACTGCCGCTGCCACAAATGAACTGATTTCTTCCAGTTTCTCTTGTCATGTGAGTGCACTGATGTTGGAGATGATTATGGGAAATGTTGATTTAGAACCAGGAATCTCCTCTGGCCATTGCGACTCGTATAGCGTTCCAATGCATAGATGCTCATGTGAATTGATCTCCCTGCATAGCTCTGTTTCATCATTAGCTTGACTCCATGATTTTTGAAATTACCAGATGAGGCCAAATTGTCACACGCTCGTAGTTCTTGAAAGCTTACCCGGGGCTTCATTTGTTTGATAATGACCGCGATATGGAGCCTATTGGCAGCTTCTTGCTATGGCTGGATGTCTTCGACGAATTCCAGCCCTTTCTTTATTAGTAGTATCCATTGATCGTTTCAGAAACCAACTGGCGGCCACCAATCGCTGTTGCTGGCGCGCTTCTATGGTTTTTCTCCCCCTCTTTCCTTCCTTCCCATACTTGAGGAAGACTGTGGAAAGCAACATGTTACCGGAGTTTGTCGGCACTGATGTAAGCGAGATGGGATCAAGGCGGTTTGTATTTCGACTCTCATTTAACAAGAGGCATCCATTATCAATCCGCGGGGAGGGGTACTTATAGTACACCCATCCGCCTAACACTCTCCATGCTGGCACGGCCCAAATTCTGTTCACGCTATTTTTGAATGCAACAGCGATGTGACGCTGAAGAAATTGTCAGGCCGTCGGTGAGCATAAGTAGGGATCCATGAAAGGATGTCATTTCAACCACGAAGAGTAACGGACAGCTGAGCCGCGCAGAATAGTTATCTGAAGGAGATCAGAGATAAAGAAGATTAACTATGGCAGAAGACCAGCCCAGCCCCATCCTCAGCAGAGCTGGGGTCGCTCTGAAGTTTTATAGGCAGGGATATGATGACGTACAGTACTGGTTGACGATATATGTCCATTCGGCATTCGGCAACCGAAGCCGCGCAACAGCAGGGAGTCAGCGCCTCTTTAACCCAAAGCCAGGGACTTGGCAGGGGAATTGGCCAATCAGCAGGATTGGTCTGACATAATAACCGTTTTAACTTCGTCGATCTTACCACGTACATGCATACATACAATGTTAATGACTCGATATAGACTTTGTTAAGGTTGAGGTCTTTTGTGCGGGAGTGACTTCCCGTATTCTTGTGCCCGTTGTCAGACCCTAATCTGGATGCCATACTGGTCCACATTTACCCCTGAGGTAGTTATGTATGCATGTAAGACGCCCAACTTAATAACCAACCACTAGGCTCACACGGAAAGGAGAGGGGGCGGGCTGATAGCCGAATATTAGGATTTGATTCAAAGAACAGCCCAAGTCTCTGCAGTAATGATGAAGGTGTTCGATAATGCATCTGCAATCTGTCAGCAGAACTCTTTTCTCTTACGATGGTACTCCGTACAGTACATAACATATCTTCTTCCTTTCTTATCCGCCCTCAATTCACTGAACAAAGCCTCTGAGTCATCCCGAATATCTGCTGCTTCTGAGATATCTTGTGATTAGTAGTTTCAATGATTCAGTACATACATGCTGCGAGAGAGGAAAATGCATCAGCAGTGATAGAATTGCTCCTAGATGAATCCTTCAATCAGCTTTCCCGAGGTCGTTGCAATGGCGTTTTGCAGTGCAAGCCACTATAAGCCACTATCACACCTGTGGATCTGTACGTGCGATGTTTTCGCACTGATCTGTAACTATGGGGCATGCACAAAAAGTCGGCGTTGCATCTCCTATCTTAAATGATTAAACTGTAATGGGCCTACGCCGAATAGATCGGCATTAAGATATAGGTCTTATATAACAAAAATGGAAAACATTAGAGAAGGAAAAAAGAGAAAGTGTGAGAATCAGTGATTGAAGTGGATATTTATACGCGTATGAGTTGAAGCTTCAGGGCAGGAGAATAGAAACTCTGTGAGTTTCTCAGCTGAGAATTGATGACTGAGAATGCTAAAGAAAGGATTGATGACTGAGAATTAAAGCTTTCAGCAGAAATCTATAAAGTGTAATAAAATAATCTATCAATCAGATATAGCCTGCTACATTAGTTCTCTCTTTTCATGTAAGAAATCCCGCTCCTCGCGGATCCTTTACCCCTATTTCTATCCCTCACATAACCAATAGAATTAGCAGCCCTTGGCTACACACAACTATATAGACTGGAGTTCGCGAATACTATTTATAACTCAGCTTGAATACTATTATATATTTAATCTCTACATTTATCTTTCTATTATGAATACTTCTAGTAGTTATCAGTATATATCATATCAAGCTATAAATATCTGAATAATCATCTATAAGTACTTATTCTTATATTTCAAGCTCTGTTAGTTAGCAACTGCTTATTATAACTGAAAGAACTAAAAACTTATATACTTTAATCTCTGCAAACTCTACTACAGACTTAGAAGTAATTATCTAAATTATGAATAATTTCTATAAAAGAAGTTTTAGAGAACTTATTAATTACTTATAGAATATTATTTTCTATATTTATAACAGAGAAACTCTCTAAACTTATAAATAAATTAATCTTAGTAAAGAATATTCTTAAGTATCTTTTACAGAATTAAGCTATTTTTCTATAAGAAATACTTACTATTCATAAACACTCTTAAATCAAGTCTCTAGATATAATCTTCAGAGATACTTATAAACTGAAAAAAAACTTTCTTAAGTTATAATTACTTAAGATTATCTACTAAATCTTAATTTATAAAAGCTTTTATAAGTTTATATTTAAAATTAACTTATAAGCTCAGCTGTGTAATATAAATAATAAAGAGATTATTATCTATATAATAATAGATCTCTACTATACTGAAGTCAAGAATTAACTGAATTATTTAAAGAATAATTATAGAAGATCTTATTAATCTGTTTTTAGAATCTATTTAAAGAATAAGTTAAAAGACTCTGTAAGTTAAATAGAGAATATCTGAGTTAGACTGACTACTGAGATTATAAATTTCACATTTAATCTCATTTAATCTGATTTCATACATTTCTTGGCGTGAATCCCGCTTGAACTGACTATTAAAAAAACATGTAAAGTGACTATATATCAGATCTTAAAATGAAATCATGACTTGAAAAAAATAAGAAAGTGATTTCATTTGATCTCATTTAGTTTCATTCTTAGTATAAAGTTACTATTTTTAGACATTTTAAGGTTTTTTTAGACTATTTTTAATTTTTTAAAAAGTAACACTTTTTAATAACACTTAAATAAGATTTAAAGTCATTTAAAGTAATGATGTGATTCAAAGGTTGCTTAAGTCAGCGTATAATTACAGGCGTACGCCGGCTTCTTATATATTATGATATTGTACGCTAAATTAATTAGTGGCTGCTATGACCCCTTTACACTTATAAGCAAGTTCGGAAGTGACTGCATTATTATCTGATAGTTGTACATTCTTCTGAATCACATTCTCTCTCATCAGATTCAGTCACACTCACATGATTATATTATACACTCTCACAAAGAAACTTTCACTATATTATATTACTTATTCACTAATGTTTCTCATTCTTCAATCATCTTCTTCATTATTATCATCATTAAATGCTATTATCATTTTATTTCTACTTCTTCTTCTATTCAACTCTTTGTATCTGTTCATCTATCACATTGTACATGTTTCTGGCAATGGCCTCTCATTCTCATAATAAGTGTTCTCATAGTGCTCATATCAGACAGTTTGTTAGCAGTAAGTGTAATGCATTGTGAAATATGATCAGAACTTGTTTATCTTCTAACAATCATCAGAACATACTATTATAAATGACATATCTTCTTCATCTTCTTATATACTCTTGACTATTTTTCTTCTCAGTGAGTTTCTGATTGTGTTTTCTGACATAATTTTGCATGAATGCAGATACTGATGTTTGTTTTTATTTATATAGAATCTTCATGTGTTGACAGATCTGTATCTGCTAATAATAGTGAACTCAATATTAAATCATTGATCAAGAACTTGAAGAATGTGATAATGAAGAAATTATCTGTATTCTATATAACTAGATCTTCTATGTCTCTTTCTGTCTCTTCTGCTACTTCTTTCTCTGCTGCTCTCTCTCAATCTTCTACACTTATCTCTGTGTCTGATTCTCTCACTCTCTCTACCTCTGTTTCTGTGACCTCTACTTCTGCTACTTCTGGTTTTACTGTCTCTGCTTTTGTTATCAGCTCTCTTCATTTCAAGAAGATGTTGTATAGACTTAATAAATCATGTTTATCAGTGTATATACTTCTGTTCTTCTTGTCAACTTCTAGAATAATTTATTGTATAAAGACTGTATATAATATGACTATCTGAAGCTTGATTACAGATGCTGATTATTATATTTATTTTAAATATTTATAATAAGATAATCATTTATTCATATCAGAGAATTATCTTCTCTCTCAACAGTATTAAGATTATAAGTCTTTTTCTTTTTCATCTTTTCTTTCTGACACTGATTTTTCTGTTCTTAGAAGAAATTATTATAAGTTTTACTATATATAAAGTCATGATATTCACAGATACTAAGAAACTTTTCATAACTATTAAATTTAATATTATAGATATATTCACTCTGATAAATATCTTCAGAATAATCAATCTATATCAGTCTATTCTCTGATATTTGTTATCTGACTTCATAATGCAGGTGAAGAATATTCATGTTTTCAGAAATAGAAATAGAAATATTATACTCTTTTACATCTGCAGATATGAGACTTATACATCTTATCTGAGATGTTGTTATAAGAATGAGCTGTTTATATACTATATTCTACTTTCTGTATTTCTCTGTGTCTCTCTCTCTCTTTCTGAGAAGTCTTATGTGTGTTGTAATTACATATACAACTCTAAGATCAGTGAGTATTTATTCAGTAACTATTCTTATCTCTGAATTTATAATTTTTATACACTAATAATGATTCTTAGTTGCTTCAGTATTAGAGATTATTCTAATCAAAGATAATAACACTGCTGAGACTATTCTCTCTTACTCTTAAGCTTTTCTCATTACTTTCTCTCTCTCTTCTGTGAGAAAGATTGTATATATACTGAGTTATAACTGTTCAGCTCTGAGTGACTTCTACTATTATTTATCTAATTCTGTATCTTCTTCTTCTTCTGTTTCTTTCATCTCTGTTTCTTCTGCTCTGACTTCTGATTCTGCAGATTCTGCACTCTTCTTCAATTTCTCTACATATACACATGTGCATTTCTATATTAGCATTTCAGTCAATCTTGTAATAAATGACATTAATGTTGTACACAGAGTGATAGAGAAATCAGAGACATGTACAGTGTTATTATAAGAGTAACTTACAGCTCTTGAATTTCTTATGAATCTTGAGTTTTGAGATTTTCTTTGTTTTTGATGTTTTTCAGATGATGTGGTGTTGAAAATAGATTAAACATATAATATATGAAAATAAATGAGATGTGTATGATAACATTTATCTTTTATAACTGACTCTTACAGTTAATAATCAATTCATTATCTCTTTTCTTATACTTTTTCTTTATCTGTTAGTCACTACTCTTATATAATTTCTATATAGTACAGTGTTCAGTGACTAGATTCAGCAGCTTTTATCTTTTATAATTCTGTCTTATACATTATACTGTCTCTCTTCACTCACTCAGATCACTACAGTGAACAGCTTATTAAAACTAATCTCATCTAATCTCTGAGTGTCTCTAGAGATTGAGATGACTTAATCTCACATATTTACAGATGTTTCAGATAGTTCATTCTCTGTGATCTTTGTGATTGAACTGATGTAAACAGTTAAATCTAACTCTGAATTTCTTTTTCTTCTATAATCTAACTCATGTACAAGTCTGCTGCTTTGAGACTGCTCTTTACTATATTATATCTACTATCTGAATTGTATTATTATATAATCAGCTACAGTCTTATCACTTATTAAAGTGTGATATTCATCTAATTTCTTCATTACTTTTCATTCTTTTCTTATAATTATGAAAAGATCAGAATAAGTGAGATTATCTGATTTATAAGTGTCTATGATTTCTCTTATCTTATAAGACTTTTCAATTGTAAGTCTCTTCTTTTTTAATACTGATAATAGTGTTATAAATAATTATAATTCACTCAGATCTTGCATCTTTACTTTTATAAGTTATGAATTATTTATTA